CAACATAAGTCCCCAGGTCCATAAGTAAAGTAAAAAGTAAAAAAGCCCAGAAGCGAAATATGCTGGCACCATAATCAATGGTGGTACTCCCATAGAAGGGTGAGACCAACAAAAGATTCCAGGCCCAGAAGTGAAGTAAAGCAACAAGTAAAAAACCCTCAGAAGCGAAAAATGTTGGTACCATAAACAATGGTAGGACCCTCATGGAGGGTGACACCAACATAAGCCCCAGGTCCATCAGTAAAGTAAAAAGTAAAAAAGAGCCCAAAAGCGAAATATGCTGGTACCATAAACAATGGTAGGACCCTCATGGAGGGTGACACCAACATAAGCCCCAGGTTCACAAGTAAAGTAAAGGAACAAGTGAAAAACCCTCAGAAGCGAAAAATGTTGGTACCATAAACAATGGTAGGACCCTCATGGAGGGTGACACCAACACAAGCCCCAGGTTCATAAGTAAAGTAAAGTAACTAGTAAAAAAAACCCTCAGAAGCGAAAAATGTTGGTACCATAAACAATGGTAGGACCCTCATGGAGGGTGACACCAACATAAGCCCCAGGTCCATCAGTAAAGTAAAAAGTAAAAAAAGAGCCCAAAAGCGAAATATGCTGGTACCATAAACAATGGTAGGACCCTCATGGAGGGTGACACCAACATAAGCCCCAGGTTCACAAGTAAAGTAAGGAACAAGTGAAAAACCCTCAGAAGCGAAAAATGTTGGTACCATAAACAATGGTAGGACCCTCATGGAGGGTGACACCAACATAAGCCCCAGGTTCATAAGTAAAGTAAAGTAACTAGTAAAAAACCCTCAGAAGCGAAAATGTTGGTACCATAAACAATGGTAGGACCCTCATGGAGGGTGACACCAACACAAGCCCCAGGTTCATAAGTAAAGTAAAGTAACTAGTAAAAAAACCCTCAGAAGCGAAAAATGTTGGTACCATAAACAATGGTAGGACCCTCATGGAGGGTGACACCAACATAAGCCCCAGGTTCATAAGTAAAGTGAAGTAACAAGTAAAAAAAACCCTCAGAAGCGAAAAATGTTGGTACCATAAACAATGGTAGGACCCTCATGGAGGGTGACACCAACATAAGCCCCAGGTTCATAAGTAAAGTAAAGTAACTAGTAAAGATAGTGACAGGATTAAATGAGTAAGTAAATAAGTAAATAAGTGAGTAAGTGAGAAGAAAGAAAGAAAGAGATTTTTTTTGGTTCAAGTTGACCGCATTTTTGCTTAGATAATCAGTCTCAAACAAGACCACATCTTTTCATTTGAAGAAACTTGATGAAACTTCGCATATTTGCATATATAAGCAATGTCAGGTAAAGCGAGAGGAAGAAACATGATGGCATTACACATTCTGGATTATTATTAGAAGTAGAAATTTCATAGACATGAGATTTATCTTACCTTTAGGCCGAATAATGATAATACTCACTAGACTTCCTCTGACACCCTATATACTACTACTATAGCACAAATGAAAGGATAGATCCATAGAAAATGCAGCACTTCAGGCCACCATGTGGGTGTAGATACAGTCATAGATACGGTCATGGGTATGTCACCCTAAATCCTTGCAATTTGGCTCCAATCATTCTATGATGAGATTCAAAGGCAATATAATGGGAAGAATATAGAATATGGCAGACCATCCACCTCTTTCTTCTCTTTTTGAGACTGATTGACCTCAAACATCTCCAGTGCTGTCTTCACTACCCCTGTCATGATGCCCCACTTCAAGCTCGAGTTTTTCAGCCTTCATCCATCTTGTCTGACTTTAACTAGGACTCTTTCTTAAGATTATGAAGCCCTCTGAATGCACTGGCAATGCTCATTTTGTCCAAAAAAATCATGTTCCAGAGTTGACCACCACCCTTGTCATGCTGCCCTACTCAAAGATCGATTCACTAACCCTTTATATGATAAACATGTCATTAACTAGGGCTCATTTTCGAGGTTATTGAACACTATTAATTGATTGACAGCACCAGTTTGGTCTCTGAAGATCATGTTCCAGAATTGACTACCACCCCTGTCATGGTGCCCCATCCAAAGATCGATTTACCAGCCCTTGATATGACGAATTTGTCATTGACTGGGACTCATTCTCGAGATTATTAAACCATATGAATGGATTGGTGATACCAGTTTGGTCTCTAAAAATCATATTCCAAAGTTGAGTACCAGCCCTATCATAGTGCCCTACCCAAGGATCGATTTTTTCAGCTTTCACATGACTTGCCTGGCTTTAGCTAGGACTCATGGTAGAGGTTATTGGACCATATGAACGCGTTGGTCATGGCAGATTTTGCTCTAAAAATCATGTTCCAAAGTTGAGTGCCAGCCCTATCATGGTGCCCCACTCAAAGATCGATTTTTTCAGCCTTCATATGACTTGTCTGGCTTCAGCTAGGATTCATTCTAGAGGTTATTTGACCATATGAACACATTGGTCATGCCAGATTTCGCTCTAAAGATCATGTTCCAAAGTTGAGTACCACCCCTATGATGCTCTCCTTGCTAAAGATCGATTTGTTTAGCCTTCATATGACTTGCCTGGCTTTAGCTAGGATTCATTTTAGAGGTTATTGGACCATCTGAACACGATGGTCGAGCCAGATTTCGCTCTGAAAATCATGTTCCAAAGTTGATCACCACTGCCATGCTGCCCCACTCAAAGATCGATTTTTTCAGCCTTCATATGACTTGTCTGGCCTTAGCTAGGATTCATTTTAGAGGTTATTCGACCATATGAATACGTTGGTCGAGCCAGATTTCGCTCTAAAGATCATGTTTCAAAGTTGACCACCCCTGTTATGCTGCCCCACCCAAAGATCGATTTTTTCAGCCTTCATATGACTTGCCTGGCTTTAGCTAGGATTCATTTTAAAGGTTATTGAACCATCTGAACACGATGGTCGAGCCAGATTTCGCTCTAAAAATCATGTTCCAAAGTTGACCACCACTGCCATGCTGCCCCACTCAAAGATCGATTTTTTCAGCCTTCATATGACTTGCCTGGCTTTAGCTAGGATTCATTCTGGAGGTTATTTGACCATCTGAACACGATGGTCGAGCCAGATTTCGCTCTAAAAATCATGTTCCAAAGTTGACCACCCCTGTCATGCTGCCCCACCCAAAGATCGATTTTTACAGACTTCCCATGACTTGCCAGTGCTCCAAAAGCATTTTTCCTGGGGGCTCTTGATCCCTCTGAACACGGTGGTGATGCCAGATTTCCCTGGAAAAATCATATTCCTGAGATATACAAGGTCCTCCTCCTCCCTCCTACCTCCTATATGTTGCTGTACTTGATTTTAACTTGAAACCGATACTGTAAAGGACTGTCCTGGGGTTTTTCAGGTGTAGGAATCGATTGGTGATGGTCCTGGACCATCTGGAGATCAATGTTTGTGACATATGGTGGTGGGGCTAAAAAGTCAGTATTTTGGCAATATCTCCATAACCGAACCGCCGTTTTCTTTGATTGTTGGCTCATATCCATCCTGAAAGTACCCTCTAACATATGTACCAGCCCACCAGAAGATATTTTTTTACAACTTTGAAATGTATTTCTGAAATGACCATATAAGTTCGTTTTAAGATCCTACAAACATACTGTGTTTCAATATTCAGTAAACAATTGGTGACCCTTCATCCCGGCCCGTTCCTAGTTGGGAACCAGTACTATCCTTGGGATGGAGTATGTAATGACGTACTGATACTTAGCGCATGGCTGATTCAGTGCCATGCACTGCGTCAAAACAAGGAGTCGCTCGTTTGGAGACAGCGAGAAACAGCAAAGCAAGTAAGGTTTGTTTGGAACCTCAAAGGTGCCAAGTGGCGGTGTCGAATATCCTGATCGATCGCAATTATCATGATGTACATAAAGTATGTGTCATGTTTGAGTACTTTTGAGTGTGGAGGCTCAGCTCAGCCGCTTTGTATCCTGACACTAGCGCCTTTCCATCAGCGTAAAAGACTGCGCATTCCACAACGTCTTTGGTAAGAGCAGTGACTCTGATAATGCACTACGCTAAATCTATCATCTACTAGTTGATGCCATCTGAGATGTTCCAGATTAATGATTTTCACCGCGACAACGACGGCAAGAATCAAATACAGACAACCTAAGCATCAGATATTCGACATACCTCATCGAAGCTGCTGTTCATTGCTATTCAGCCGCGCCATCAATACATCTTTCAGATTCAAACCATTCTCGATTCCTCTGCGCAGCCTCTGATCTTATTCCTCGTATCATCAAGCCACGCATGCACGAGTGTCCCCCGGGTATCATCTCCTGGTCCAAACAGCGCAGTCACGCTCGCATCCGGGAGAGGAAGCGCTAGCGGTATCGGTCACAAGCACAGCAAATCTCGAGGGACAATGAGCGGAAGCCACTAAACGTCAGCCACGTAACGCAGTATTCTAGTTCCATTGCAATTTGCTGTACTTGGGCTGCCAGTAAATGATATATCATAACAACATTATCGTGAGCATTTATCCCTGCCTGATGATCCCTGCTGATCCATATTGCAACACTTGAATATGCCTGCCAGGCAGGTGACCGTAATTTTGCGACACAGCCGTCGGTTGTGAGTACTTATATTGCAAAATAACACACAACGAGAAGCGCGCTGCACGACTTCAAAGTTTACTTGCTGCTTTGTACGCACCTGATGAGTCAAGCCACTATTACTGCTTTGTACCTCGACGCTGGCATTCAGGCATCCAAGGTGTGCAACATGCAAAGTTTTCGATACGTCTCAAGGTCTCTAATTCACTCCTGATTCACCAAGTACATCAATGGTTTGTAGTCTTATCATTAGTTTGTCGAGTGCCGTCTCTGACTAGAATAACCAAGTCGGAACGTTTGCAGTTTTAGTGAGTGCCTTCACTGACTCAATTCTCGCGGGTTATGTGATGCTAATGCACCTACCTAGATTTTTGACTACTGCATTACTCTAGAGGCAGAGGTGTGTTTGGGTGGGCATATCACAGAATCTTTCAATGACCATCCCGAAAGTCGCAGTGGGTATGGCATCGAAAATGGACGTTCGTGAGATTTATATTCACTATATCGCGATACCTGCCATTTGTTGGCATCGGGATGACATTCATAGGTAAGCTATGTGTGTTTATCACTCGCTTTTTGCGACAATTGCTCATGGCCGATGGATAGCTGCGCTTCGAACACAATACTATCCTGGTGAAAGTGTGAGTGATGAAACCCCTTACACGCGCAAATGTTCATAACAAAGCTGTATAGTGCATTAGATTCAGTAAAGCGTCTACTGGTTAGCATGCACAACATACTGCTGTGCGTTGATATACTCACCTATTCTTTACTCAGTGTTGCACATTATCTGCATTCTAGCCGCAGAAGGTATGTCACGTCATGAATGAGCCACCAAATCTGACATCTTCTTGTCTAGGATTGCTAATAACGAGGATTTACGCTTCCTGGAAAAGTAAGTGTTTACTCACATTCCTCGTAGTTTTTCCCGTAGTAAGTTTTTTATTCTCCTTAAACAGCAAAGACCTGATGTCCAATTCGACAACCAGGTTTGTTCCGTCGGCTCTTATATCTTCTCGGGCACTTCTCTGGTAGCGAACCTTCCAAACTTTAACACTAACATACGTTAGTCATGTGGTCGTTTATTTCCGCGATTGTGATACTCATGGTGTACAGCGAATCCGGCCAACTGTCTTTTCATATCTGGGAGAACCGATGTCTTCGAGTATGCTACTTTGATGCTCTACGAATTGGGTCAGTAGTTTTGTCTCGTCTTCCAATTCCCAAACTCACGCGTGATTCAGTCCTCCTTTGCCTGATGTCGTTCATCAGATCCAGATGGTACAAAGATATTAGTATTGTCGGATCGTTGCAAAAAACGTTTTTCGATGATTCAGTGAGATATATGATTTGCATCATGAGTAGGATGATTCTGTTCGTCCAATCTGACCCGCGTGCTGACTTGTTTTCCTTTATCAAGTCATGACTTCGTTCACTATCATTCTGACTATGAGTCCTCCGGTACGTTATAGTATGCCTGGCTTCACTTCCATGCACTTATCGTTGAGCACACTGGCAGATCACATGGGTTGCTATCACAGACTCGTGAGTCCAATAATCATGGTTAATGAGATATGCACCACCAACTGATCATGTATCACATTTCTAGTCCACAGATCGTCATCCACAGCGTCCTCGCCTCTCGGATACTTTTCAACCTACGAGAAAGTGAAGAACGTTCGCGAAATCATACAACACTGGCAGAAATATCTGACATGCAGTGTGAAGAAGGCCAGCTTTCAACATCGAGGTCTGAGGCTTAATGAATATCGTGTTAGTGCAGTGCTGGTATCACTGCATATGTATCCCATGATGTAACATACTAATTGACTTGCGAACTATGGTATTTATTTGTTTGCTTGGGGCATCACTTCTGGCACCTCAAACGGTGTGGGCAAGTATTGAGTCGCGGTCCACTCGGGTACCTAAGATGTAGCGTTGAAACCAACCTGGGGGTGAAGAAGTCGTGGCAATGAAGCACGATCTCTGCTATTGACGGCATGGTAGTAAAATGCCTCTGCAGTAGTGTTGCCGCGAATTGAACCGAATCGAAACGAGGTGGGAGTTCGTCATGACTTCGATGGTCGAGGTGGAACGAACCGAAGTGTAATGAATTCGGCTCAAAGCTTCAGCCAATGAAAAGTTTGCTAGATTCTACTGTAAAGTTCAGTAGATATGAAATGGTTATATTTCATTCCATGTTATCGTGGTCGAATATATGGCACGGACATGCGCAAATCAAGTTTCTTCACTAATCTCCTCTCAAGATCATCACGGGCATGACAGGATATGTCGGTGGGCCAAGTCGTTGGTTACATCGGTTGCATTGACTGTTTTTGCATCGCTGAGAGGCAGCATTAAACGAGACAGAGACAGGAAGGAACGACTGCATGCCTTGTCAATGTGTCAAGTGAACGAGTAGATGGTTACCGGTCAAAGTAAACAGTTGTTTCCGAAGTTGACATGCATCATCATATTATGTCTGTGCCACGAGGCTTTCAACGTTCAATCAATCAAGATCAAAGTCACTCGTACATCATATTTTCTAGACAATACCATATTGAATGGTTCTTCTATCCAAGGACTTCTGTTGCCCAAGCAGCAGTCGAGACTGCAGGAGCGACCATATTGACCAAATAGTAAGCAACAAACAACTTATTGTGCCATTAACCTCAGCACCAATGCGAAACCAGAAACATGACTCACTGTCCCGGTGTGCCACTGAGGCAATCACGCACCTGAAAGCATGATTACCCGCCCAAAACTTCGCCTGGGGTTTCCAGCTCCCAGGCCATCGGACTCATGACTAATTATTATTGCAGTACACACCAACGATCTATCAGAATTACAAGGGGTAAGAAATGAATATTAATGTATCTAGGATGCAAAGCAAACCACTCACATCTATAAGCGTCAAACTACAATCGCCATTGCAGCAATCGGCGTTGTCGTTGCAAGAGGCGCCTGGAATCTTGCACTTTTTCTTGCCACTGACAGACATAGATGCTGTCAAAACAGCAATGACGAAGAGGAAGGAGAAACGCATTGTGTGTGCAAGGTTATACGAGATTCAATGAGAATATTTCTGAGGTGAGGAGACGTTGAAGACGGCTTGCTTTTATATCCTGAACATCGTGTTGTGGGCAGGACTCGGACGTTCCGTTAATGGGCTGGCAGAATTGTTGCGCCTGGCAGAACTTCACGGCGAGAATGTAGGCAGAACATAGTGGCAGAACCTCACGGCGAGAATGTAGGCAGAACATAGTGGCAGAACCTCACGGCGAGAATGTACGTACAAGAATATGCAAACTTTACAGAAATGCAACCTGAGGCCTGAGTGACGGCAATATTGCCGAGAATCCCGGCTAATGTGGAATGTAAACACTTACCGAGACAATTGACAGGATTGTTCGTGTCATCTGCGAGTGGGAGACGGACCTGTCCATCGAGCCAGTAACATATTGGATGAACGACGCGAAGATCTGCCCTAGAAGTAGATCGAAGAAGCACGACTCAGAGCAAACTCGGAGCTGAGCGAATCCCGAGTGCACGGCGACAACTACCATTGTTGATTTCCTGGGGCTAGAAGAATTACTCATTGAGGTGGCCGGACATCTTGCGCTGAAAGCAGTTCTCTAATAAAATCTAATCGTCAGTGATCCGATTAACATGAAATTTCATGTTAGACACTCATTCCATGACAAACGGAATGTCGGTCGTAGGTTACTCTAACATATAGCGGATAATAGCATGACCGATCGGTAACCATCAACCGAACAAAGCAACCAGCATTGCGCGGACGACACAACTTTTTCTTTCTGAATTACCATTGAGGCTCTATGGAGGAAGATTCCCCGGAATGATCAACTTGAATTTCTCCTGTTCTCGACTGGAACCATATGTAGGCAAAGCACGAGTCTAGCGCTCTAGCAAAATTCAACTGGGAGCCCTAGGTGTAAATGTCAGAATTCAGCGTGATATATCTCATATGTACTGATTGATATCACATTACAATGAACTTCTCCAGGCAAGTGTGACGAGTAGTGTATAAAACATGCTACACGGATGCGAAGCATAATTTGATGGGGGTAGCCTAAATTAATGAAATTATGAATCAGGCGCAAAGATGAAAGTAGTGATCCCTGTGCCGCACAGGTCTCTACTAATGGAGATTGCTTTGTTGAACGGATATACAGCACAAGAAACAAATCCACCATGGTCCATGAGGGGTTCTCAAGCGAGACGTGACTGTGAGCCTGTGGCACTCGCTGTGGTAAGAGCAAGAGCAGGAAGTGTCGGGGATGTGGAGGCAACAGGAGTTTGCGATGACGATGTATGCAAACATGGAATAGTTGTCCTCTTGCTGCAGTATTAATAACCATCGGCATGTGGGGGAGATGCACAGCAGAGAAAGAGTACAAAACGAGCTCGCCATGGAAGGGGTGATGACTGCGCGCTTGCTGCACCTGGCACAGTAGTATTAGTATCAGTAACGGGTGGTGTTGTGGACACTGATGCTGCAGCAGGTTTAGTTTGCGAAGATGACGCTTGTGTTTGGTCTTGCGATTGAACTTGCTGCTGCTGTGCGTGTTCCGCCCATCGAGGAGATGCACAGCAAAGAAATAGCACAACACGAGCCCACCATGGGCGTTTCGCGATGATGATAGTGGGAGGTGACTGTACGATTGCTGTACCCGTCGTGGAAGCAGCAGGAGCAGGTGTCGTGGACGTCGAGGCAACAGGAGCTTGCGATGTCGATGCCTGGGCTTGGTGTTGCGGCTTCTGCGCTGATTTCTGCTTGCCTGGTTGGCGCCGCCGAGCAACAAACAATGCCTGCACAGAAATCGTTAAACTTCGGTGATTGGAAACACAGGTCAATGAGGCATACCTGTTTGTCTCGTACTGCAGCAACTTCGATAGTGCGAGGACCGCGACGAGGTAAGAGTGTCCGCCTTTGGCGTTGCTGTAGTTCTGTTGCCTCGATAGTGTTGGGGTGGGGGCGGCGAATGAGAGACGAAAGGCGGGAGATGAGCGCACTTGGACTGCTAAAAGAGGGTACGAGAGCGCCGCCGCCGCGAGCAGAGGAACGGGGATTATGCGTCATGGTGAACTAAGAGCAAAGGGTCAGAACAAGAGTTGGGTGAAAAAGGCTGACGACGCACATGAACGTCGTCTCGCGCATCATCGAAAAAGAGTGGCGGCAGTTCATCATTGGCCTGTGTGGCATCTCCCTAGAATGCCGATATTACACTCTCGAAATGTTTGAGAAACATGTCACGTACTTCCATTAACAATGTTTCAGCTGCGACCTGCGAGTAGGATATTAGCGTAGTTGATATGATACCGCAAAGACCTGAGATTTACATTTGCATCAGGAATGGATAGGAGGTCTTCAAGGCCAGCTTTCTTGAGGATGGCATGGATGTCCCACACGTACACCTTTGTATCATGGCAACCAGTGACTAGCAGCTTGCCATCAGCGGAAAATGCTGCGCAGTCCACACCCCCTTCGTGCCAGAGAGGTGGACCGACCACATCAATATTGTAATCTGCGCCTGCACCGTCCACATTATCTTCGTGTTGGGAGGGTGCTTCGACTGGGAGGTTCACATCAATATTCCACAGCCGCACTGTGTTATCCCATGATGTGCTCGCAAGCAGGCGGCCATTTGGAGACAAGGATATGGCGTAGACAGGTTCTTTGTGACCTTGGAGAAAGGCAATCTCTTGCCATGTGGCGGTGTTGAATATCCTAATCGAACCACTCCCTGACCCGGAGATAAGTTTCTTTTCATCCGATGTCCAAGCCAAGCTCAAAAGTATTCCATCTCGTTCGAGTGTGGTGAGCAGCTCGCCCGTCTTGGCGTCCCAGATTTTTGTTGCGCCATCGTTGAATCCACCTGTCGCAATTTTGGTGGTGTTAGGTGAGTACACCACCGCGCACACCCAACCGTGCCCGGTCTCTATCCTCAGGACTGTAATGCCACTCTTGACATTCCATACTCTTGCAGTCCCGTCGATGGATCCGCTCACGAGTCGTTCACCATCTGCACTCCAGCACACTGACGTCACACCTTGAGTGTGCCCTGTCCATTTGGCGATGACTCCTCCCATCTCGATGTCCCATAACTTCACTTTCCCGTCAAGGCTTCCAGTTGCAACATCGTTGCCGTTTGGAGACAATGCTATGGTCCACACTTCTGCCTCGTCCCCCTCATCTCGCCAGTCGCCGCCTATCTCGGTGCCGCTCTCCAGGTCCCATAGTTGGAGCGAGCCGTCCCTTGATCCTGTGATGATGTGCCGTCCACCTGGCAGGTGCACAACACCTTTTACCCAGTCAGTATGACCTACCATTTGTATTATCATCTGTGTCTCTTGCGTCTCATTGGACGAGGAAGACACGTTCTGTGAAGACATGGTCTGGAAAGATATAGTCGGCACTCGAGATCTTTGAATTAGAACGAGAATGCAGTACAACGGAACTTTGCAGGAATTCAAAAACTGGTCGGTCAGCTTTGCCTTGCAGAAAATCCTAGAGTATCACTCACCAGAAGCACCGTCGAGACCTAGTAGCTCAGGGCTCTAAGTACCAGCAAGAGGCACAAACTGCAAGCTGAAAAATTGGTGTTTGGTTTGGAGTTGAGGAAGTTGGGCACCCGTCGAATTCGTTTGAGTCGTCTTTTAAGTTGCGTCTTATGCTTTATGATCGTGTTCGTTTCACAGCTAGGTGCTGTGAGTGCTGTGTAGACGAAGCACTCAGGTCTGCAACCGGTGCCATGTGCTGCTTTCTATGCCTGCCTTGATGATTGTAACGATCATCCTGCACTCTACTGTTCGTAGATATCCACTGTTCGAACGCTGTCTGAGATGCGATATGCGAACATTTAATGTTATGGCGGCGGCAACCTGTATACAATCTTTTATCGCAAGCATCAAATATCATCGCACTTTATATATCTGAACCACTGTCTCTCCAACCGCCGTCGTCTCAGCATTCTGTCTCACAGAATAATGAATCTCCACATCAAGTTCGCGAGAGTTAGTAGCGCTTTTCTTGCAGTAAAACGTCCCCGTCACGATGGTGCCTGCATTCATTGAATCTGAGCGATCTAGGTGCTAGATGGAGATGTACAACTTACCATCTTCTGCATGTATCGGATCCCTTAATAGGAAGATAGTTTGTTTCCAGTGCGTTGGCTGACTGTGAGGCCCCGTGCTGAAGCTTGTCACTCTCTTATCCTCTTTTTGCTTGAGACCAGGGCCCACGCTTAGACGCCGCTGCGGGGGTGCTTTCCCACCCACAGGCCAGACCTCGGCGAGCGTCACGTCACCGTCCTTTGTCACCCTGACGGGCACTTCTGGAGCAACCGGTTCGCCTGTCGTCGTGAAGAACGTGTCAAAGTACAACACGAATGCGTGGATTTTGGTGCGCTTTGGGGTAGTAGAAATGAGGCTGAATTGGGAAGTGAACTCGAGTTGCCGAGTCGTGATGTCTTTTAGGTGGAGGTCTTTTAGGAGATAAGGTTCGCTTGCCATTGATTCTGGCCCGACGACGTCGACGATGGCTTCCCCAAATACGTCACTTGCCATGACTGACAAATCGAAGCCTGTGAAGCGCGAACGTCAGTTTGTCGATCTGTCAGTCGATGTGTATAATACACACCGTAAACATCGCTCCAGAATCCTACACGATCCTTCAAGATCTCGCTGCCTTCACACAACCCGAACATGATCCTGCACTGGCTCGGAGCCATCACGCCTCCCTCTGGTTTCAAGAATCTGTCGCGTGCTTGCAGCACAGAGTCGAGCATGGACTCGTAAAGCAACGCGTAGCCCATCCATTCAGAGACAATGATATCGACGTGTTCGACACCATCCGGAAGGGAGACCTCTTCAACTTTTCCGCGAATGACGCTGTGTTTTCATGGTTAATCATGCGGAACGGATGTGAAGAGATGGCAGATAATCTTACGTGATAACATTCTCTAGTCCATTTTCTCTGACGATCTGTTCAGCCTTCTCGGCGATATCGCTTGCATCAACTGCGTAGACGTGCTTTGCCCCTGACTTGGCGGCGAGGAGGGAGAGGATTCCAGTGCCGCATCCGACATCGAGCACGATGGCATCGCGGAATAGGATGGGGTTTGTGAGGATAAACGAGGCGTAGGTGGAAGTCCGGACTTTGTCCTGGATCATAACAGCGTGGATGTCTTTTCACAATATATGAGGTCTCTCGACACTAAGAGTCTTTGTCAAATCTCGTACCATTTTCGCAGTAGCTGGAGAAGTAATGGGTGTCATCGTCTCGCGGGGACGGTCCTGGTGATGACGGACCCGGTTCGTTGAGGATCTCTGCGATACGCCCCGCGTCAAATTTTTGTCCAACGAGGGAGCGATATTCCGCCATGTCCCTTTGAGCCTGTGCGAGTTTCCTTTCGAGGACCTGCATCTGCCGAAGCGCGTTTGGTAGATCAGTAGGCGGTGCTGGACGTTGGTCTGTGCTGGAGAGGTCTTCGTCGTCTGACCAGTCATCCATTTCCAGTTCTTGGGATTATTGAGCATCGCCTGAAAGACGATTGGAGAAATACGCACGAAGCAGCGGATCATCCTCAATCTGTGGGATCAGGTACTCATCTGATGAGAAGAATGACTCTGCCCCTGTTAGGTTTGCGATGTCCTCTGGTGTGGATGCCTACAGCTGTCTGTCAATAAACAACGCATGAGGGGTCGAATGAAATCGTACATGTTTTCTGATGAAGTTGATGAGTTGTATACGCTGGTGGAGGTCCAGATCTGGGACCGATCGTCATTGATTCGAAATTCACGAGGAGTCTAGACACTGACCTAGTTTTGCGCTTATGGTTCGCAAGTCAAAGTTATAGACATCTTTATCGTGAGCACGAGCAGCGGTAGCTGAAGGAAACGCCTTGTCCTCGAAGAGTGACCGGCATGACTGATTTTGCGCTTGATCCGATACCCAATCGTCAAAGTTGTTGTCTTCCTCGGCGTAATCTGAGTCGGATTTCGATGATACTGATTGATCAGCTACGTCCTCCCCTGTTGCGTGGATTGTAGCTCCGGCAAACCGTATGGTCATAGTTTTTTAGTTGGATTTAAGCAAGAGAAGGAAAGGAGGACCTAGAACGATCCGATTGCCGAAATCACTGACAGGAGGCAATTTTCCTAATACATGTCCAATTATAATTATGGGTATGGGACAAACTCGACCAGAAATCGAGCAAAATATCATTCACAGGTAATTGGGTCAACTTTATATGATCACATGAAGTCCTCTTCGATAGCTTTCCCGGTAAGCTTCGGTGCATCAGGATCCTCTTCGACTTCGAATAATAAATCGTACGAGCGGGCGGCTTTGTCCGCTTCTCTAACCTTGGCTAGCTCTGCTTCAGCCTTTTTCTGTATTCTGAAGTTAGCGTTTGATTTGAGAATGATTAAGTGCGAGGCGAACGTTCTGAACAGCTGTAGCTCTTTTCTCTGCGTTGTCCTTCTTGATGCGGTCTACCCGCTCTTGTTCATGGTCTACGTCCTTTTCGACTTTTGTCTTGTTGAGACGGTTTACGATTGGATTCTCTCGTTTAGCGATGTGAACTGAGGGGTATATTGAGCAAATAAAAAGATCGAACGCGGAACTTGAGAACCTCTTTTGACCTTTACATCAACAGCATTCAGCTGGTGACAACGATCAAGAAATGAAGCACGCACTTGTTTGTCACTGTGAAACGACACCTGACCAACGGCCATGTCTCCAGATTTCTGGTATGAAAATCTTCAGGTGGGCGCCCAGTACGTGCATTGTGGTGGGCCCACCTTGAGGTTACTCCCCGGAGTATAAATGATGGTGATGTTGTCTTTCCTATTTCCTAAACATCCAAGGTTGATATTCGAGTGATAGATGACCTGAATGTGCTCACGAACCTTCGATCGAATTGGCTTTCACTAACTGCGCACAATCAGTTAAAAGCGCCTGGGGAATGGCGTCCCAAGTCATGGTTGGTGGCATGCGAAGATAAACGTGCGCTGATGACAGCTTGTCGACGTGGAACCACACGTCCTGAGGCCATGCATATTTGATTAAATCTTCGTCTGATCTGGGATGGTAAACTTCAGTGTGTTGTGTGGTAGCTGTTGCTGGGCTTACTCTCGACTTTATCCTTGCCCATGTAAACCATTGCTGGCGGATCGACCGCTTGACAAAAAATCAGTATGACCCTTGTTTTTTTTAACAACGAACTTACCAGAGGAGGTGAAGAACAGAACCATTGCGCTTGTACTTGAGCAGGACAGTCAGGACTAGAAAACTAAATTTGCAGACGAAAGAGTGTGGGAAACCTCGAGGGCTGCCTTTGCACGCGAACCACGACGAGCGCTTACTTGCTAGTACTGACCGGTGACCCTCTGCCAGCTGCTTCAAGCTCTGCGTCTATCTGCTTTGCTTTGTTCTTTGTTCTGATTGTCTAACAACAACGCTTACAGTATATCATTTGTATGATTTTTTAATTTTTTAATTCTGGTTCCCTTCTGATTTATCTAAAGAATTGACACACGTCAAGACTTATCCCAATCAAAATGCAACCCGTTCCAAATCGATTAGGACTTGGTCTGCGTCCACCTTTGCCATCATACGGCCAGGGGCCCTCAATGTCGGCTCTCGCACAGCAGCAACAAATGCTTCATCAGGGCTTTGTTCCTCCTCAAGCACAGAAGCTCACAACCCTTTTTGTTGGCTCAATATCTGGTGGTGTCACCGATAGCTTTCTGAACCGACTTCTTGTGGTAAGCATCAGTGTTGTGTCCATCTCGTGTCAATGCTTATCATCACCTCCCAGGCGTGTGGCCCCGTCAAGTCCTTCAAACGTCTCATCACGCCAGCGAACAAGCCGCAGGGTTTTGGATTTGCTGAGTTTGAAGATCCTGACTCTGCGTTACGATGTCTTGCTCTTTTGCAGAATGTTGAGCTACCCGCACTCGAGGATGGGTGCGCAAATAAGAAATTGCTGGTGCGTCGTGCTTTATGTCTACTCCTCTCTTCAAGCCTACGTCGAACATCCAGATCAAAGCCGATGAAAAGACGAAGCTTTTTCTTGATGCATACTCTGCACAAAAAATGAAAACCGACGTGAGTGCCCCCTCTCCCTTACCTGGTAGTCACTGAGTTAATGACGATGCGCTTAGGCTGATGAGACAATGTTGCAACAAGCAAAAGCCAGGGTGGATGAACTAGTAGCCGAAATAAATCAACAGTCACAAGAAGCAGCTAACAGCGGTCTCCTTGATAAAGAAAAATACGTCATTCCGCCACATCTCCACGATCTTCAAGAAGCCGATCTTCCTGAGACTCAGCGTGGTCTCGTGATATCTGAAATTGCCCAATTCCGTGAACGAGCCGCGAAGCGGGAGCGGGAAAAGTTGCGTGACGTTCGTGACGCCATGCCTCAGCTTGCACCTACCCCAAGCGGGCCGAAAGTCCGCGAGTGGGGAAAACCCCAGCCCCCACATTCACCACAAGGAGCTCCTGGTAAACCCGCTCCTCGCGGAAAGGATGCTCAAGGATACAACAAACCTGTGGGATTTGTAAAAGCCGAGGATGGAGCTGCTGCAATGGGGTCTGATGAGCGGAGTATACCAGGCAAGAGCACAAAGACAGATGAGGAACTTGAAAAGGACCGCAAGGAAGCCAGACGCAGAGATGAGGAGGTTTCCTTCCGGGATGTGAGTTACAGTGGCTATTTTATCAGGACCCTCATGTTAACCTTCACGATTTAGCGCGAACGTCGCTATGAGCCTCGAGAGCGCACTCGTATAGCAGCTCTGGAGCGTTCAATAGCCCGTCAGACCGCCATTAAAGAGGCAGAAGAACGGGATCGTGTCGAGATGCAAGCTCGTCTAGATGTTTGGGATGATGACGAAAGTGATGAACTGTTTTACGTTGACAGGTGTGTTTGTAAGTTTGTGCTCCGTAAGTCCGCTCATAGTCGATATCAGAGCGCGGTGGAGACAGACTCGTTCCCGTAGGCTTGTTGCAGAGGAAGCGACGGATGCCGAGTCCCGCATCTATGAAGAACGAGAGACAGAGAATCTTCGTATCGAGTCTGAGAAGTTCCTCGCACGCCAGATGGAGGACATGCAAGCTCTGGCCGAAGAGCAGCGGAAAGCAGGCATGCTTCTCGATGACGGTGCGCCAGTCAAGCTTAGCGTGTCACTGAACCCCCAGCCTGTCAAGGCAGAACCTGTTTCCAAGGACACGAAACCGGCTGTGTTTGGGCAGGAAGAGGAGGAGGAGGAAGGTATCAAGAAGCGGAAAGTACCGCTCGTTAAGCTTGACTTTAGCGCCACTGAGGGCGAGAAGGCCAAAGAACGCCTCCAGATGATCAAGGAGTCTGTACCCCACAACAAGGAGGCGCTCTTCAAGGCGAAAGTCAGGTGGGATGGTGTTTCAGATGTAAGGATTGTGTTTCTCGTGCACGAGCTACCTGCTGATATAATATAACATAGCCTATGATTGACCGCAAGCTGGAGCCGTTGATACGACGCCAAATGGTCAGCTATCTTGGTGAACTAGAGGATGATGATCTCGTTATGTTTGTCGTGGAGCACCTCAAAGATCACAAGGGACCTCAGAAGCTCATCGAAGGGCTGGAGCCTGTGCGCCTTACATCTGATCCGTTTACTTGTCATTTACTAACTTGTCGTCTCTAAACAGGTGTTGGAGGAAGAGGCACAGGAATTCACCATCAGCATCTGGAGACAAATCATCTTCGAGAGCATGGCATACGGCGAAGGCCTACACACGGAAAAGCTGATGGTCGATTGAACAGAGGGGTGGGCTTTTTCATGCTGGGGTTGCTCTGCTCAGGAGGGCAGGTGCGTTGTAGCATTAATATCATGTCTGCTGAGGTGTATGAGCTCCGAGAAGCGCCTACACTGCGCCGGATGGGGGGTTAGGATGCCTGGTAGGCTGCGGAGGGGCTAAAACGGTGCATCCCGTAAGTACGTCATTGACCTATTCCTGTGACAAATGATACTTCTTTCTGAGCGTACCTATATCAATCAATCGGCGAAGATCTTTGGGATGTTGCGCACGTAGCACATGTGACATGGCACCATGCTGTTGAGTTCTCAAGCTCTGCTTACCGGTTTGGAGCCATTAATTGACGAGGGAATGAGTTATGAGTTATGCGGCTAGACTTGAATCTTTCATCCTGTCGCTATCGTCGTCAAGGTACTATTGCTGAACAAAGCGCTCCTTTGAGTGCTGACAGTCCTCGACTCGTTGAGTTTTACCCTTTCTTCGATGTTGGCGGTCTCATTGACCCGATCTAAGCCGCCTGCCCCGGCTGCAGTAGAACGTTATCCGATGGTCGACCGTGACTGTCAAGATTATCCTTTTCATCTTTTTCTTTTCTTTCTGTCATTTTACCGGTGGACGTTGCATCCATTCTGATTCGCGGTTGCAAGTTAGAATGGCGGTACGTTGTGTTTGTCACCATCGACCCGACGTTGAGGTATTTTTGGGTACGTTCACATGGTTGACTCCCCGCTGACCTTACGGGTGGTGTCGGTGAAGCGCTTGCTGGTTGGTATATCGGTCTATGCTGTACTCCGAGGGATTTGCTAGACGAATGGTGTGCCATTGATATTGATCATGTACTATGTGATTACGAAATTCTCTTTTGTATTGCGGCGTTATGGCTTCTGAATCGGAAACGTGGCATATCCTGATCAGCATTTTGCACGCTCTTCACTTGGGAAATACACTTTCCCCTTCTTACAACTCCTGTTCCGTTCAGGCTTCGGGTTTCAACGGTTTGACGGTTAACATACATAACGCCTAAGGCGATGAGAACGTACGTGGAAGCGTTGTTGTCGGAGACCTGTATTAATAATTTGAAAGTTGAAGACGCCCGAGAGTCACCAGACCTCGGCAAACAACTGCTGGCGGGCTTGTCCATTCAAATCAACGTTACCAACCGACATTTGGGTAGCGTAGGCGGTACGGCGGAGCGCCTATAAAAGTCCCATGGCCGGACAATTTTGAGACTGCATCTCGTGGCAAGTGCTGAGCCTCAAGAGCTCCGAGCATTTATACCGTGATGACATCTACCTGAATCGCTGGTGACCAACGCATACGTTATCTCCCCCACACATGATGGCGTTAAGCTTCAAGGCCACGGTTGTCGCCGGCCTTGTTCATAGTGTATTGGCAGCTACGATCACTAACACCACCACCACCACTGCGCCTGGAACCGCGGTGCCGACGCTGACTATCTCGACGGCGGTGGCTAGCCCTAGTGCATCACTGGGTGCGACTCTGCCTTCGCAGGCACCGCTACCCCCTACCCAAGGATGGTGCATTGGTCAAATATTTTGCGCTGGTTCAGTACGTGGTTTACAGTAACTTCTGGATCCCAGTGCTAACCCCACCCAGTTGCTACAGACGGTCAATATTGCTCAGCTATACACTGACCCGAAGACATTCGTAGACAAGCCAACCAGCAAGTCTTCTCAGCAAGTCCTTGCAGACTTCAACGCCTTTAACTTGTCGACCGTCACTGAAGGCAACCTGGTGAACTTCGTTGACAATGATTTCCTTGGAGAGGGACTTGAACTAGAGGTTGCCACTCTCCCGAACTTCAATCCTACCCCAGCGTTCCTCAAAAACGTGACGGACCCCTTGTTGAATGCTTTTGCACAAACTGTTCATGACTACTGGACCCAGCTTGCCAGGAATACCAACCAGTCTGCACTTTGTGACGAATACCCCGGCGGCACGTGCGAGAGCTCGTTGATTCCCCTGAACCATACATTCGTGATTCCCGGTGGTCGCTTTAGAGAACAATGTTTGTGTATTTCTGTGTCTCCGGTTCGGTCGATGCCGATGATATCTGGTGGCTTTCGACAGATTATTGGGACAGCTATTGGATTATTCAAGGTCTGCTTCAGTCGGAGTTGTATGAAACTGTAAATGCGACTTTGCAAAATTTCATGGATGAGATCGAGAACTTTGGTTTCATTCCGAACGGCGGTCGTATCTATTGTGAGTAGACTGTTTTGGAGTGAGTCTCGGTGCATCTCATTGTTGGTGATGCAGACTTGAACCGCTCACAACCGCCCCTCTTTATCCATGTGAGTTCTGGTTAGTATTCTTCAATGTGCTCATTTCATCAACTCGGGGCACAGATGGTCTATGACTATGTTAACGTGACTGGAGATACCTCAATTCTACAACGTGCTCTTCCTTTGGCTGAGGTCGGTAGTGTACTGTCTAATCAGTACAAATTCTGAACTTTTGTTCAGGATGAACTTGCTTGGTGGGCAAATAATCGGACTATTGAGGTTGCGAGCCCGTATACCAACCAGACTTACATGATGGCACACTATGCAGTCAACAATACTGCCCCTCGGCCGGAATCGTATCTCACTGGTGAGTTGTCGTGCTAAATCTGACTTCCCCTATCCCGTCAACGTGGTCATGTCTAGATTATCTAACTATCAACGACCCCACACTTTCTACGCCTCTCACGGATAATCAGGCTGCCGAGCTTTACAGCGAACTCGCATCTGGCGCTGAAACCGGATGGGATTATAGTTCACGCTTTGAGGCTATCCCTCAGCTTGGCAATCCTGGTTTGCGCTCGCTCAGTGTGAAGAACCACATCCCAGTATGTCTCAACAGTATTCTATGTATGTGGACTGTTGTTGTTTGTGCGTGTTGTTTGATGGGAACTTGGGAGAACAGACAAGGCCAGACTGCTTCTTGCCAACCTTTACGGCACATCGAACGAGACTGCTTCCAACAACCACCTCCAGGTGGCTGCTAGCATCCGCGCGGGTATCCTCGACCTCCTCTGGGACCCAACCAAGCTCGCATTTTACGACTTTAACCTGACTTCGAATGCACGCAATGATATATTTACGGCCGCGACTTTCTATCCTGTGTGGAATGGCATCATCCCAGACGAGGTCCTTGCCTCCCAATCGAATGCATTTGGTTACTTCGCTGCAATCAATATGGTTGTGAACAAGTACAATGGCACGGTTCCAGTTACTTTTATTGATTGGACGGGCTTGCAATGGTAATTATCTAAGCTATTCTTCATGCAGGTATTCTGACACGTGTATTACAGGGACGCCCCGAACTCCTGGCCCCCGCATCAGTACATTATCATGCAAGCACTCCGGGCTATCCCATCCAACCTTACTACCAATGGGCTGCCCACACCCAGTTCAACTCAGTCCACATATGATCTCGTTCCGGCAGGCCAGCTTAACTTTACAGAGGCTCAACTCCCTGGCCAACCTTTCCGCGGAGCACAAGCTAATCAGAATGCGACTGCAACCGGGCCTGGCGCGGACATCAACAAGCTAGACGGTACTGTGGTCAACGGCGGGAATGCCACTGCCGGCGAAGGGTGGAGGGACACCCTTCAACGTGAGATGGCTAACAGGTATTACACTAGCGTGCTCTGCAGTTGGTAAGTGGAATGGACTTGTTTTTCATTGGAACACTGCTAAGCCCTCGTCAGGCATGCCACTGGCGGTTCCATTGCAGGATTGTTACCTCAGCTCCCAGCTAGTGAATTGAACCTGACCAACAGTATTGGTAACAGCGGTAACGTCCGTTATTCTCAATCTGATTCTCTAGACATCACACTGACGTGCAGTGCAGATGTTCGAGAAGTTCTCCAACCTCAACGTCGACTCTTCCGGTTCTGGCGGTGAATACACCGTTCAGGCTGGATTCGGATGGACGAATGGTGTGCTCCTTTGGGTTGCCTCTACATACGGCGAGCAGCTTGTTGCTCCACAGTGCCCACCACTCGTCGTCACAACTACTACCAGTACGAGCGCGGCTATTGGCCTGCAGGCATCGTCCGGGGCCGTTATCACTGCCATAGTGATGTCTGTTATAGCATCTCCTTTCTTGTTGTAAACGTTCAGACGCCGGACGCTAGCTCTGGGGTTCAAATACCTCTTTTACATAGGATATGACGTCAACTTGTTATACCAGTACTTCGTTCTCTGTTCGTTAGCACTGTTCTTCTTTTGTTTTTTTGCGTATAGAAAGTCCTTGTACTCTTACTATTCGCTGCGTGTGCACTGCTGTGTCGCCAATCGGGATTGCACGAGGGAGTCGGGATTAAATTCCTGGGCCGGTTCAACGTTCAGACCTTACACCAAATCAAGTGTTATTTGTCTCCACTCGTGATCCGTTGGCTAGTCGGCAACTGATCGGTGAGCTGATAGCTCCCTAAGTAGATTGTGTCGCTTGCTTTTGTTTCATTCATGGCATTCTCATCTGATCCTGATGTTCTTTCTCCTGTGGCTCTCGTTGTGTCCGATGTGGAAATAGTGGGAGACGGATCGAAGTTCCGTTGTACATATCCTCTTCCGTCTTGCGTCGCTCTTTCGAGTACCATGAAGTGTCTAGGGCTATGACGCTGTAAACCCCACTTCAATAAACAATTTACATTATAGTGGGAGATGGTTCTAAAGCTAAAAGCGTTTGTTTGGATCCAAAGCCTTTGCCAAACAACCGGCGCCTAATCAATCCGCCTGAATCTGATCATAGCTAATGTCATACTCTGTCTACCTGGTCCACCATCCCCTAATTTCCTTGCTCTCTTTCGTATTCAGTAGTAATGAAAAAATTTGCTCGATAGACCGTGTGGAAAAATATTGGCAAATGAAGGTCTCCAGCGCGCTACACTGCTACAACTAGGCTACTCTGGGCTTCTCTGGTACAAGTCGATATTCGAAGTAATTTGCTAACTCCGGGTCCGTCTGTGTTCGCCAAAATTACTGCAGGTCTCGCGTTGGTCTCGCGTCTGACACCTTCCTTCTCAGCTGTGCCACCCCACGCCCAAGGCGAAGTTTTCGAGCCTCGGAGCTACCAGGTACACTACTTGAGTGCTTGAGTATGTATGGTTCGTTAAACTTCATTCAAACCGTCTTTGGAAACTACACTGTTCCTGGAGCGCTTTGCTTCCGCGGACAGAGAGGCATCGAATGATTCGAAGCTAGGGCGTATATAGCCGAACAGGTGGTGTTCCCTTCTGCCTACTTCGACCATGCCCCTCTCGAATGCCAAGAAAGCGTTCCTGTAGATTGCGAGGGAGTTAGGGCGTCAGTAGGTGACGTTTTCATATATGTTTTGATGGTTTAGTTCACGGTTTGGGCCCTTAATGCAAGTGATGATCACTCACAGCTCACGGTCTGGTAAAATTAGTGTAGTGGTATCTACGTAAGATTTCTGCAGTAGCCTCGAACTTCTAAGGTACACTCTAAATCGGCACTTCCAATTGATAGTTACGAACTTATGTTGCATACTGTTATATCGCGCACCCGACGGGTTGTATCGCTCACTCAGCAGTTGTGTCGCGCACTCTTAACAGTCGTATCGCGCAATTTCATTAAAGCGGGGTTTACAGCGTCATATAGGGCGCGGTGAGCCACTGCTCAACAGATCCTTGAGGACTTTTGTTGCCGGTTTCGGCCTAGAGTGTTCGACGCATCATTGAGAGTTTCCCTAAGATGAGTCATGTTCATTGTCCTGCTGGTGCTAAGCGGCCCGTGTTCGCGGCGTACTGCGGTGTACTGCATATTCATAATTACATAGTGTCCATTCACCTTGTTGGAGCTGGAGAACGACGCTGTATCGTGTGTCTACGACATGGCGGGAGACGACAAGGAGAGGATGGTCTACGACGTAGGTATATATACGTAGTCGGCACTATCCGAACAATGAACGATGACGAAGGGTGGAATGCCAAACTCTAACAACCTGCTCCATGTTCAAACTTTCCTAACAGAATTTTGCCAGAGGCTCCCATCGATTTGTAGGAATGCGCTGCGAGTCACGGTTGCAAGGTTAAGCAGCAAGTTTGTGACTATCTTCCAGCGCTGAGCACATATGATAAACCGATCTGTACATTGCTTGGGAATTCTATCCCGAAGCGAGGTCGTACGAGCGTCGAGCGTGTTAGAATAATGGCTTCGTACCAGCGGCTATGCAGCACGTGGCTTCACTTACTAGTGCACCAGGTCCGACGTTGCTCTTTTCCCCACCCACTCCCTTTTCGCTGTCAGTGTCAAAGTCTTTCGGATCCTCGGGGCCCGGGTGGTTGGCACCCGTGTGAGGTTGCCTGACTCGGAGGTTGCCCACTCGCCCTCGCAGGTCTAAGGAGCCTCCTCCTGCCCTCATCTCGGCTCACTCTTGCAAAGGTTTGGGCCGCTATCGGGGCGGGTTGCCCCTTCGGGGGTCTCCGCCAGAAAAACTATCTGCTTGCAATCTCTTACTGCTGTTGACGTTGTGGCAGAGCTGACTAGTGACTCAAAGCTTCAAATCATCACCACCAGTGTTCAAGTTCGTTAATTCAGGGTGCCGCTCGGGGCAAATTGTTTCCAGCGCCTTGATCAGTCACATTATGATCGACCTTATGCAACTTTAACTCTCTTCAGCTACCTCTGAAGTTCCTTGGAAGATAAGTTATGTATCGATTTTCGTATCACATCCACGTTACTTATAACTACCTTAGTAGTACTAGTGTTTAGTGTGTTTGAACGATTTCCACGTTATCAGTCAGGAAACCTCTTAGCGGAACTTCAGCCTTCGCGTCATATCACACGACACATGATTCATGCGAACTTGCATTAATGTGTTCATGAAATCGGTGCTGTCGTCAAGGTATGATGATAACCGAATGCGGGTTAGGCCAGGCAACTTCTTCACTTCGTTGACAGCTGACTTATACCGACATATCCTGGGGAAAACTGGCAGGTGGTCAGAACCTTGGCATCGAATCGAGCCTGTGAATAGCTCCAATGGATTTTTGCATGGCATCCGTAAAATGAAAGTGCTGAGGTATATAATGGCATGGGTCTTAAGCTGAGTTTTACGGCGTCCATCGTCGACTACGGGTCAACATGCTTTTTTTATGGCCTCTTCTAGTGCTGTTGGCAACCTGCTGTGGTTTCGTGGCTACCAGCCCGTTGAACAACCATGGACCGCCGACAGTGACTCTAGACAATGCTACTGTAACAGGTGTCGCGTCAGGATCGGTAAACAAGTGGCTTGGAATACCCTTTACACTGCCCCCGTAGGTGCTTGCAGTTATGGTTTGACATAGCTAATGTAGGTTATTTCATGCAGGATTGGCAATCTCCGGTTCCAGCTGCCTCAACCCATCCCCCCGTATAACACAAGCTATTCAGCGATTGCCTATGGTTCTTCTTGTCCTCAACAGGCTGTGTCATTACCTGGTGTTCCCCCTGGCTTGCCTACCGAGACCCTTAACTACCTCTCAGAGACGATCTACAAGATCGTCCTTCCCAGTTCCGAAGATTGTAAGTCTGATGCGACAGCGAATGTACCGGCCTTGAACACCCTTTTTTACAAGGCCTGACTCTAAATGTCATTGCGCCTGCAAATGCATCTCCAGGATCAAATCTCCCTGTTGTGATAGTGAGTCCAATTCTCATTAGTGCCGTTACAGATTATGACAGACATCTAGTGGATCTTCGGAGGAGGTTTCGAGTCAGGTGATACCAGCACGTCAGTGAGAAATCCTTATTATGAGAAAGCCGTGACAGAGAATCCAATCGTTCTTCAGTTATGATGGATCCTCCATCGTCGATAAGGCCATCGACCTAAACGTACCTGCAGTTTACGTGAGCATGAATTACCGGTAAGCCTCAGACTTCATGCAAATTTCATGTCAACATGTTTTGACAATATTGTCCATTCAGCTTGACAGGTGAGCGTTCTGGAATCGAGGTGCGATCATTATGATTGACTAAAGACTGTCAGCTTTGGGATTCCTCGCTTCTGAAGAAGTCAAACAAGCAGGCGTAGGAAATCTTGGACTGCAAGATCGTGAGTGGAATGCGATGTGTTTGTGGCACAGAGTTCTCATGCCGCATCGGCTTATAGAGCGACAGGCAATGATATGGGTCCAAAAGTATATTAGCGCTTTCGGTGGTGATCCCACGAAGGTCACCATGTACGTCGTGTCCCTCATGCCACATGGATACTAATATCGGTCACTTCAGCTGGGGCGAAAGCGCAGGCGCCATGTCCGTTGCGCTTCATATGGTCACCAACGGGGGAAATACCGAGGGACTTTTCCGCGCTGCATTCATGCAAAGTGGATCGCCATTTCCCGTCGGTGATATCACTCAAGGACAAGGTTACTACGACTTTATTGTGAACCAAACCGGATGTGCGGGCTCCCCAGACACGCTGCAATGTCTGCGAGAGGTCCCGCTTGACATGCTCATGAACTCTATTAACCAGACACCAAGCTCCTTTTCGTACCAAGTAAGTACGCTTATGGAAAGTCATACACATTACTGATCACGATATGTAGAGCTTGGTGGTTGCCTGGTTGCCTAGAGTGGATGGTGTTTTCCTGACGGCTGATCCACAAGAACTAGTCTCGCAAGGCTCCGTCGCGAATATCCCCTTTATCACGGGGGATTGTGACGACGAAGGAACTCTGTTTTCATTATCTAGCCTCAATATCACGTTAGTCTATTATTATGTGGTTTTAATCACGCTAATCTACTCCTCAATTTTTAGGATGGACTCTCAAGTTGAAGAGTATGTTCAGACGTACTGGCTTCCTAATGCTCCGTCCACTATAATTCAGCAGCTGATGCTGTATTACCCCGAGGACATTACGCAAGGCTCCCCGTTTGATACAGGAAACCTCAATGCCTTAACTCCGCAATTCAAACGTATCGCGGCACTCATGGGTGACGCAGTATTCCAGGCACCGCGCCGCTTTTTCTTGGAGCAACGCTCCAGCAACCAGAACACTTGGGCATTCCGTGAGTAGGATCTTACAACCTTCCAGGCATTTTCTAACATCCAATCTAGTGAGCAAGCGTTTGAAGACAGTTGTCGCACTGGGATCGGTGAGTTGCCGTGACAGATACGTTCCTATCCTGTGACATTCACACTCGTCTACCAGTTCCACGGATCCGATATATTCAATATTTACGGCGGAAACGACATGACCTCATATCTGGTTCGCTTTGTGACTAACCTTGACCCAAATGGCGCAGGACAGCTTCAGTGGCCGACATGGACCTCAAACTCACCAAACCTCCTGACTTTCCTTGACGGCCTGATCCCTCAGCAAATTACGCAGGATACATACCGTGCTGATGCAATGACCTACCTGACGAACATGGTCATGCAATACCTGTTTTTTTGAGATGGTTTCCTCTATCAATGTTTTCGACGCGTAGATCATCAGTTACTATATAGTCATAAATAGCACTACTGCATAATCGATGTAAAAGCGATGGAGATTGAGGCATGACGGACAAGAAGATTATATCGTGAGTCACCACTGCTCTCATCTTTCAATGTAGACTGTTCGTTGCCCTCAAGTGTGGCCCAGAACACTTGGGCATTCCGTGAGTCGAATTTGACACCTCCCAAGCAGTTTCTCACATCCCATTCAGTGACCAAGCGTTCGACGACAGTTGATCTTTTAGGATCAGTGAGTTGCGGCGACAGGCACGTTCGCATCCTGTCATTGACATGCCTCGGATTCTAGTTCCACGGATCTGATATATACGATATTTATGCCGGAGGCGACATCACGTCATGTCTCGTTCGCTTTGTGGCTAACCTCGACCCGAATGGTGTAGGGGAGCTTGAGTGGCCGAAGTGGACCTCAGACTCACCAAACCTCCTTACTTTCCTTGACGGCTCGGTTCCTCAGGACATTACGCAGGATACATACCGTGCTGAGGCAATGACCTACGTGATGAAAGTGGTACTGAAATACCCAATTTGAGATGGTTTAGCTTTTCCTCCTTGTAAGTATCAATTTTCGTAGAGCAGAGGTGATCAGTTATGTTACGTCGACGGTCGACGGTCTATATGATAATAACCTGAGTCGTACCCGGAAACGTCCCCGGTAACGAGGCCGCCATTCCTTGCAGGATCATTGTCTGTCCGTGGACTCGGTACTGGCCCCTGGGTGAGTTAATCTTGAAGCTTGATGTGTGACATTCCGCACAATCACCGAGAACCCAGATCATGATGCATTCAGGCCCTGACGTAAGACATGTAGAGTCGGTTGATCTGCTTCAAAATACCATTCCGTCATCTCATCAGTCACTTCAATACCTGCTGCAGGAGCACTTTGGTCGTCGTGTTCAACAAGGGCATGCATATTCCACCCTCTCTTATTGGAGGAGATTTCAAAGACCGGATATCGACTGACATCGCAAGGTTGTCGCAAGACCAGCTTGGTATACCACACCGCAAGTGCCAATCGGTGACTCCCCTTCCCATGACTTCGCATCTTGATGTTATTGTACAATGCATCTAGTCTAACACGCCTATGCTCTGGAAGCGTCGCGATCTAGTTCAAGTGTAGCTGCTCATGCACTCAGAGTATCCGGTGCCTTGTTCGGGGGCACTTTTACCCCTCACGTAGTTCCTTGATCGCTCAGACGATCGCCAACTCAGGGGCTTGCATCTGATTCGGCGGTGCTGTAAGGCAGCGTCGATCCAGCATACTTCAGGCTGGTGTACTCATTTCTTTACGACAACCTTTGAGTCCTTCACAGCTGACGTTGCAATATGCGCCCGGCCCAAACTGTGGATTGTATGGGCCTTCGTATAAGACAGTGCCCATATACTCACTAACGGGGAAACAGTTCCCAGTTGGGCAAGACTGGATAGCAATTACGATCGCTATCTCCTGAAAGCTCGTAGCAGTATCCTGAGAGTGAACGGGTCTTAATTAATATGACACTCTAAAAGATGCGTGTTTGAAAGCCTACTGCCATGCCTATTTGCACAGTAAAGTTGGCACCAGCAGTGTTACTGGAGCCAGGCGCAGGCTGGTTAACGTAGGCATTCTGAGTACATACGGACGCTACCACGAGAGTGGTATCAACCAACGCTTTTATTGGGAAGTATATGAGTGTGTGCAAGTGATAGTTCTTGTGCAGTTTCTGGAGGGATGGTGAATGCGCCAGAGGTGTCGAAATTTATATGCCTGCGTGAGCACTCTATTTAGTAGTCCTTAAACTACGAGGTGTTGTATCAGCGCCCAATGCAACCGCATAGCACTACAACGAGGATTCAAACGCCCCGAGAGTGAAGTGCTAGCTGTGATCAACCTATGGATCATTTAATAACCAAGTCGTGCAAAGTTAATTAGCGATGGACGGTATTCATACTACTGACCTGCCCAACTCTGGTATATGCGACGTGAGCTGCCATGAGCTGAGTCGGGAAAGGGGAGGACATTATGCGGTGCATGTCTGCAAAAACATTGTTACTGCCTCCGCAAATTTGGCCTGAACATAGAATTCCGGTTAGGTACTTAACTATATGGACTGATCAGAGCTGAACGCGAATTTGTGCACCGTAGCATGGTTTTGTATGATGTGACGGCCACTGACTCCTAAACAAGTGATTCGCATTCACCCTTGGCCTGGTAAGTAAGGCAATCCAGTCCCCTGGTGGAGTCGGAATGAGGCGACAGTCCCGGTGAACGATAACCGTAACATTATCTGGCAAGGCCCAAGAAATGGAGTATTACTGTAAATGCGTCGCCCGTTTCGATGCTTTGAAGGGGTTCATGCCCGTGTCCTAAAATGCGATTTGGAGTCGACGAGGAACTCTCCGTATTCAGATTCGAGTTTGAGTACGAAGGGATGTTACTTACTTCTGATGGCATCATCGGTATACGTTTGTAGTGGCTCCAAATATAAGCAGGTGGGCGTTGCGTAGTGGCCACTAGTAACTAGAATAATTGAAATGAGGTTAGCAACGATGTCCAAGTTGTTCCTCCGGGAGTGAGCGCAATGTTGTTCATGTCTCTATTTGAACATCAGGCCTAAATCATGTATGGTAATCTGAGGCTCAGGCGGTATCCTTGGAGTATCAACGTTACGCGCCGTGTTGCATTGAACCAGTGATTCTCTCGCTGGAACATTGACGCCGACGGCGTGTTTCGTCCATATTGTCCGGTCACATCGGGACACCACACCACTCCATCACCTGAGTCAGGGCCCAGGATGATGCAGCCGTGTGGAGCAGTGAGTCATAATATGAATTAACTTCAAGTTAGCTAAAACGAACCTTGTCACACTACGGTGAGGTTACTCCTGAATGAAAAACTTTCTCGATATAGAGATCCACCAAAAATGAGGACAACGACAGTTGTAAGCACACTTCTAGTAAGTAGTCCAGGATGGAGGAATTCAACAGAAACATGTACAGCCGAATTATGTGCATCGTTGTGATACTGTAACTATAGCGTCTATATATTAAGTAAAACAGTCCCCAAAGTCCATAACTGCGATATAAGACATAACGAAACTAAGAAATTGTGATGGTACGATTCAAAGTCTCCAGCCAAGGGTACAACCCAGCCTAAACCATAAGTCAGTTAAGAGCACAGACTTTGAACAATGTTTAGAGCACTCACCCCGACAAGAGTGACATGAGCGACCCCAAGAAGAGCGGTTCCGCTAGCAATGCTACTCGGAATCTGAACTGTGAGGTTTTGATAAGGGGGATTGTACGGCTCGTGATACTGTGGGTTGAAGGGACCGTTGTACAAAATCTGACCCATGTAAGCAGCGGGGTCAATGCACGGCGTTCCTGGGCATGACTGTAGGCCAATAACAACAGCAACTTCTTCAGAACCCGTCAATGAATTCTGCACACAAAGTCGTTGATTGATGAACAGTGAATAGTTTCATGTCAGAGACTCACAGGCCTCTCTACCTGGACAGTCAAACTGCTTCCAGGAGAGACTGAAAGACCCTGTGGAGGGTATCCGATTGCAGCGTTCTGGGCGAAAGCAGAGACTACAAGAAGAGCGAGAGAGAGAATTGACTTCATGATGAATGATTTTGCTGAATTCGTTGTGACAATAGAAGCCATCCTTTTATACGTTGAAAAGAGTTCTTTGCTTTAGGACAGCGTTCGCCGCAACACCTCAAACCACGCGTGTCAGAAGGTCCTAGTCGGTTCTAGTTCGCTGCGCCATCAATATTTACTGGGAAAGCTTCCCAGTATTCAGCCGGCGTGATCGGTGACAGTCGGACGGTGGTGTTGCCATCCAGCCTGACGGTGATAGAAATGCCGTCGTGGAGCCGGCAACGTTCGGAAATGCAGCGCGCAGCTTTCGTTAATGTTGAAACGTTAAAGGCTATGAGGAAGCTATGCTGCTAGTCACGTGAACGTCTGTCTATCCAGGTGGCAGGAACAGGCACCGTTGAGAAACCAGTAAGATGATGTGTCCCCTTAAAGTCCCATCATATTTTACCTTCACCTTCAGGAAGTACATAGCCGTTGTCATTGCCACCCGATCGTACGCATTCAGTCTTTGCGTCTCTCCGGCGGAGGCGCTAGGCCTTTGTATGAACGCGTTATCTAATAGAAGATGAAGAGGAGATTAAATATTAAAAGGACGTGATAGTATCGGATGAGCTTTAATATTTGCTATACGACGAGTCCAGAATGAGGCTGAACAGAGGGGAGGAGAGCTATGAGAATTAGAAAAGCTTTGAGAACGAATCGAAGTGAAGACGACATAAGTTGATTCGTTTTGTGTGTGGGAAGGTCTGGCGAAGCCAGGCCCGCGCGGGAAGGCGGTGTCTGGACTAAGCATGTGATCCCAAGGTAGCGACAAGAAGACAGTGCTTGATCAAGTACCGAGTAATTGGGGATCAAATAATCAAACTTTCGGAGCGTGTTCGGGCGAAACGTGTACAGACCGAATAGTCCGTCAGGAAAACACGCATTCAGACAAAACACACTGTATTTATCAAATAGCTATAGGGAGGTGGGTGGGTGGACGAAAATGAGGGAACGACGCGCAAATGGGGATGAGGCGTCGATTCTCGAATCGAGTCCTTTTGACCAGGTGCGTTCGGACGTGTGCCAGAGGAGAATCTTCACGTGACCGCGTACAACTAGGCCATGTTTCGCGTGTCGACATCTCGCAAGCTCGCGATCCACTTGAAACGGGCACGAAGGTATCTACTCAATCCCCGCACGGCAAGCTTCAAGCAGTTGAAGCAACCAAGCCAAGACTTCAACATCACGATCCCTCAGTTCATGAGCACCGGTAGCGCACTTCGCACCGTCACTCACTCTGCCTTCATTGGGGTAGCGTCGCATTCTTATGACTAACCGCACTTTCAGTGCCATGTGAACCTCAAACTTACCAAACCTCCTTACTTTCCTTGATGGCTCGGTCCCTCAGGAGATTACGCAGGATATATCCCGTGCTGAGGCAATGACCTATATGATGAAAGTGGACCCCCAATACCCGATTTGAGAGGGCTTATTTTTTGCCTTCTTGTATCAATTTCTCAAAGTAGAGATGATCAGTTATGTCTAGGTCTATATGACAATAATCAATGCTACCCAATGATCGATGCAGACGATAGAAATTGAGGCATGACGTATGGGATAGGTATTATAAATCGTCACTGCTCTCGTCTTTCAAGGTAGATGGATCGTCGCCGTCAAGTGTCATCGATTCGTCCGTCTGAAATCGTGAGTCATTATCACTGTCATACTCAGAAACTTCCTCGACAACCAGAGCATCCGTTCTTGTAGGATCACTCTCTGTCTGTGGACTCAGCTCTGGGTGAGTGTCAATGAACGCTTGCAATGATATGGGTTCATCATCTGGATCCGGTGGTTGGAGTGTCGATCCCTCCGCTTCATAGAAATCGGCGAGGGTGAGCGGACGCATGTTGAAACCCTGGCATTCGTAGTTGGTGAGTTTCCTAAAAGATGGCTCTAAAGTGCTCACCTCTCTCTCGACCTTCATCAATGCTTCTTCGTCATGCTCCATGGCGCGCATACATTCCCTCACTGGAACCATCGCAGCATTGCGGCATAACTCGCGCAAATCAGAACCAGAGAACCCTGTTGTCTGAGAAGCAAGGGTACGCAAGGAAAGATGTGGATCCAATTTCGTGTCCTTCAGCATCTAATCGAGTGCAGAGTGAGAGCAATTTTAAAATCAGTGGTATAGACACGTACTAGGGACAGAATTTTGAATCTCTGTTCTGCATCTGGAAGATTTACAGCGAACCGCTTCGGCATGCGCCGCAGAATTGCAGGGTCAATGTCACCTGGTCTGTTCGTCGCGCCGAGCACTAGTATCCTGTCAGAGCCTGACGTCAAACCATCCCATGAACTAGACACCCGAGGGCCGAAATCAGTCAAACACCAACAAGCAAATACGTAGCTCACGTCATGAATTCTGCCTTCATCATACCCATAACCTCATGATCGTCCCCACGGCGTTCCCTCAGAAATGAGTCAATCTCGTCGACAAATATGATTGCGGGTTGAACCTTCCGCGCGAGGCTGAACAGACCCGCGACCAGCTTGTTGGACTCGCCGAACCACTTATTTGTGAGCGTAGATGCGGGAACGTTAATGAATGTTGCACCAGATTCTTTGGCTAGCGCACGTGCGAGCATAGTCTTCCCACACCCCGGAGGTCCGTAGAGTAATACACCTTTTGGGGCTCCGAGGAGGGGAGAAGCTGAGGTGAAGAGAGTGGGATGGATTAAAGGATAGATTATGGTTTCGCGGAGAGACGATACGATTGGCTCCAGACCCCCGATGTCTGAAAGGTATTGATTAACGTTGGGAATTGATTTGCATAAGATTCTGAACTCGCCTTGAAAACGAACAGTAATTTCGTCTGGATGGACGACCTCCTTTGATATCGCTCCTGCAAGAAGTATCAGATATCAGCAGGAAACGATGCGTAGCCAAAAAGGTTACACGCACTCTCATACTCATCGAGCTTGAGGTTTTTTTGTCCGATGAGCTTCTTGATTGCCTCAGCACTCTTTGTTGACCGGTCATCACTCCGCCTGAAGTACCACTATAAGGGGATTAACTGTGCTTCCTGTGTATTTTCATGACGGAGACGCACGCGAATGGCACAATAAACCGCTGCCTGAAACGTGGACCTTCAGCTTACAAGAGCGGAAGCATGAATGAAATTAATAATCACCTGCGATGCTAGCAAATAGAGCAACTGTGATCGTAACAGCATAAGTGACACTTATAAATGAAAGCAACGGTAAAACAGACCATCAAGTATGATTAAACGTCTCGTGCTCAGAGAAGATGACATGGAAAAAGAACGGAAATTTGATTACTTATTGTAGTCAAAAAGCAGGCACTTGTACCCGCAACTCTTATAGAAGTGAGATGGAAACGTGACAAGTGGCAGCAGCGACTCCGAGGTGGCTAATCATACTGCATGTTCTTCAGTGTGTGTATATTTGGCAAGAGCTTCAGGATTCAACAGAGCCAAACAACCCGTATGTACTCGGACTGCTTGAAGTTTGGACTGAGTCACGAGTCTCTGACAGACGGTCAAACAGAAGCATTGGAAGTAAACACGAGCCTTGTCTTTCACACAGGTAACAACCGTCTCAGTTGTGCTGGCGCTTGCTTACGAACTCTTCAAATCTGCAGTACTCAATAATCTCGTCTCAATTTTATTGTCTTGCATTTAGAAGTTCAAGCTCGCGCAGGCTCGCCTTATCGCCTCCCTATAGCGCTGACTATCAGTATCACCATTGTTGTACTTGATTCCATGTCACCGAGGGAAAGTAAAAAATATGCCAGGACCGTGGATTGAACACGGGACCTCCAGAAACCATCGAACTTCAGTCTGTTGCTCTCCCAGCTGAGCTACCCCGGCTATGAATTAAGTAACGCCGCTCGACAGCTATGAGTGCATCCCATGCCTGTGTCTGGCAGTCGGCGGAACTTTGTAGTGCCTACGTAGACTTGACGTGGACGTCGATGATCTGTTGGCGAAGCCTCCTGAAGCTAGCTAAACCGTCTCCCCAATCAGATAGTGCCAACAGCAAGCAAAAGAACTATCACACCACCTGAAATACCAGCATGATTCAGCAAGCGGATTTCTCGTAAGTGTGACAGTACTTGGTATCATGTGGTCTGCCAGCGGTTCAGAATTGAGCACTGGGATCCCGTTCCCTAGCGTCAGCTTATCGGGTCCCTGCTTCTTGTTGGAACTACCTTAAATAAGTCGTCCTATCCACTATGACCTTCCCAGACTCTCGTCTACTCTCTACCTTTATAACGATGACTGCTGTCTCTGCGCAATCCACTCGATGGACCAAATACTTCCTAGATATCTACGGACAGGCAAAACCGCCCGTTCTGGGCTCTTTCGCGGTGAAAGAGATAGAAGATAAGGCTCGGGAGGTGATGAAAGACCATCTTCGTGCGTGTTATCATCTGCTCAATGTTCCAACTTTTGATTTGGAGGGTCCTAGCGGCATACATGTACACATTTGGTAGTGCAGGAACATGCTCAACAGACGCCGCAAATAGGCGCGCGTTTGACCGGTGGAAGATCGTCCCTGCAATGCTCAAGGACTGCAGTAACCGGAGCGTCGAAGTGGGTATTTATAGCCGCTTACTACCCCTGTCTAATTTAGTATCTGGGTAGACAAAGATCCTCGGAGAAAAGTTCAACGCGCCTGTGTTCGTCTCGCCCGTAGGTGTACAGGGTATCTTGCATGCAGACGGAGAAATCGCGACTGCAAAGGCTGCCGCCGCCTGCGGGATCCCTTACATCATGAGCTCAGCTTCCTCCCGGTCAATTGAGGACATCGCAAAGGCAAACGGACCAAATGGTCAGCGGTGGTATCAGCTCTACTGGTATGCTTAATATCACATCGCCATTCCATTTATTATAACTCGATTGCTACCACTACAGGCCACGCACGGACGAGATAACCATATCCCTTCTCAACCGTGCCAAAGCTGCGGGCTTCACTGCGCTCGTGATCACGCTCGACACCATGGTCTTGGGCTGGCGTCCACACGACCTTGATACTGCCTATATACCCTTCCTTTACGGCGTAGGCGTCCAGGTCGGATTGTCCGACCCTGTGTTCATGAAACGTTACGGGTACGAACCTGTACACGAGAAAACCGTATTCCCTTTCAACCCGGAGAAGATCAGGGACGCGGCGTTGAAAGCAGGTGATGCGACTGCCCAAAAGGCAATGAAACTGGGAAAGGAGTGGCTCGGAGAAACCAATTCAGGTTCTTTCAGGTCCTGGGATGATCTGCAGTTTATCAAGGATAACTGGGATGGACCTATCATTCTGAAGGGGATTTTGCGGGCGTCCGTAAGTTCATCCCTTCAATGATATTCGGAGGTTGTGACAACGGTCACAACAGGATGCGGAGAAAGCTATTGATATGGGCATTCATGGGATCATTGTCTCCAATCACGGTGGACGGCAAATCGACGGTTCCATTGGCGCCTTAGATGCATTATCCAAGATCATGCGCTCGCCTAAGGTCCTCGAGGCGCAGAATAGGGGCGACCTGACGGTGCTCTTCGACTCTGGCATTCGCACAGGCAGTGATGTCATCAAGGCCATGGCTATTGGCGCACAGGGTGTCCTCAGTACGTGTTATGATTTGTCTATGGTAATACTGTTTTTCATCAAACAATTGCAGTTGCTCGTCCATACATGTATGGTCTTGCCATTGCCGGACAGGCAGGAGTCGAGCAGATTTTGATGCAAACCGTGTCTGACATGCACATTACGATGGGACTCTGTGGGTACAGCGATGTCAATGATCTCATTGGGAAGCGAGACGAGCTTCTCGAACGCGTGGATGATTAAACAGCGGGGTGCATTGCATATTAATACATCAATTCATTCATGCGTACTACAATGGTGTATTATGAAGTATATTCCGAATTACATCTCAAAGTGTATACGGCAACAGAACTGATATGCAATTCAACGCTCGATTAACTCCTTCTGGTTCTACTTTAAGTGAACAAAAGAAGAGACGACCCCATACATTCATCAAACCCACCCTTCCCAAGCAGCCTCCCAACCCTCCACGAAGCGCTCCTCAGCAAATGCACTTACAGCCCATGTACGCGCCCGCTTTCTCATCGCCCGCTCTTCCGACTTACTCATGCTCAACACGGTGTGCATAGCCTCCGCAAAGCTCTGTGGATCTCGTGCATGGAATCCCGTTGCTTCACCGTCTAAAGGTACAACGATATCGTGAAGTGGACCACCGGAAGCGTGCGTCACAGGAATCACGCCTGCGGCCTAGTATCGTCAGGTAAGTCGCTGCGGTGAAAAAAGGTAGAATACAATTCGCACCATAAATTCAACGACGTTTATCCCGAAATGTTCGTCAACCATCGTGCTGAGCCCTATGCTAGCCATTGCAAGCCAGCCCAACATCTCGGAGTAGCTTGCATTGATGATGAACTGGACGTGAGGGTTAATATTGAGTTCCCCTGCGAGATCCCTAAGGGATTGCACGCGTGCGTGATCGTTGGCGTTACGTGCGCCACCCAATAGGAAAAGCTTCACAGAAGAGGGACCAGAAGTGTAGTTTGGGTGATCAGCCAACAGCTGCGCAAAGGCGCGCAGTTGTGTAGAGTGATCTTTTTCTGGCCTTTATAAACGCTCGTTGAACTCCAGCAACGAATGAAAAGTCGGATGGAACTTTACCTGAATTGTGCGATACTCAGTATAATTCTTTCCCTCGCGTCCAAAGGGAATTGTGCCATCTCACGGGTATCGCATGGTGGATAGACGATCTTGGCTTCTCGTGGATTGCTCGGCTCCTTGAATGCAGCGGTAAAGAAACGAAGGATAGCAAATGGCGAAATGTAGTGCAGGACGTTCATGACGGTGTCAGAGTGCGAGAGTATTGCATCGACATGATTCTTTGTCCAGCTGGAGTTGGCCATAAGAAAGGAAGGGCGGGAGAGTGCCAGGGAGTAGTGATACATTAGAAAACGGTAATACCTGTGAGAGAACATGTTATGAGAAATTCCATCGCAGTAGTGGAGTTACGACAGGGGACGTAACAGGGCGGAACGTTGAACGGATCAATAATAGACAAGATGATCGATGGTGGAAGACGGGTCAGCAACACTCACCATATCTTCCCGCGGCTCAAGACCACCGAGCCTGCGACATCTCCACGGTTGGTGTGGCCTACTTTCCTAGCCTTCACGCGGGCCAGCATGTCTGTACTAATGGTCGGGTAATGTACATATGCACCCATAGGTATGGAACCCTTAGTGATCCACGCAACGACATGAAATGTGAAAGCGTAGCCCATACTATCTAGGCGGTGTGAGCGTTAATCGTCCGACGGCATCCGAAACAAGTGGACTCACCAATGTATAGGTCTGGGATGACCTGGGCTAAGGCTTCCCAAGCAAGGATCATGGACCCAAGGCTCTGGCCAAGAAGTGTAAACCGTGGCCAGGCGGCATCCTCCACTAGACGTCTCTTCTTCAGGAAAACAAAATGCAAGGACTTGGGGTCAAGAGAGATATCAAAGCGTGATTGAACTTGGGCTATTATTTGTTCTTTGGTCGCGTCGACATCTCCAGTATAAACTAGTGAGATGCAGTTAGGATGTGCACGTTGGGTGGCGGCTATAGCAGTCCAGAGTACACGTTCCCCTCCTCCACCTGCATTGCTGTGTAAGTCCGTCCCATCAGCTAAACATTCCGGTCCTTGGTGGAAAAGACATACCAGTATGGATGAAAGAAACCGATGAATTTGGGGTTTGATGTGATGGGGATGCCAAGGTTCTTGAGAATGGTGTGGCGAGCTTGTGCTGACCGTCTGGCAAGTTTGTTTGTGTAATCAATATAGATGAGGATGCCAAGGAGGGTTGTTAGAAGGATGCACAGCAGGAGGATGGCGTCCCACATTGAGGCCACAAGCACCGTATAGTCGAACACGGAGTAAGCAAGGCTCTGAGCCTTTGAACTTGCGGAGCTCAAGAGCCAAATACTTAGAACTTGTCCGCACCAAGCCCGCACTAAAGTATAATTGACACTGCCACTTCAATGGTCGCAAGGGATAGGCATCCGGATTCCGATGGTTATTGGCCAACACAGCTCTCAGAGGGTCCCTGCGGGCAGATTGCTACTCGTCACTCGTGCGCACTGCGTTTCCTATTACTCCCTTAGTTATTAATACAAGAAGTCTAATTGGGCCAGACCGATGGAGGTCCGAATCAGAAAGCGCCGCCTCGTGTTTACACACACGACCTGCCAGGGCCGTGGACACGTTCAAATGTTGAACCGCAGTTGACTCAAAGTCGACCATTTGTTGTGCCCACTGAGGTAGAATTTCATGTCGTATAGTATCCCTTGGAGTTTCTTCTCTTTTTTCAGCAGATCATTTGGACCAGCTACGAATCGCATGACCTAGCATCACAGGTCTTGCTTGACTGCACGCCGTGAAGCCGCGCACCTGAGGATCCGTATCTATTGCAAAATAAGGTCCTCTGCACTTCCTGCGGAGACTCGCCCTCAGCGGTAGCTACTCGGAAATACTCGGGTGAGTGACATTGAGGCGGTAACTTCGGTATGCTTTTTTGGGAGGCATTTAATGCTATGTACTTTCCAGAAGGCTTCAGCGTTCAGCGCTACTCCTTTGCGTCATCTTGATAAAACTGTTTGAGTGGACGTTGGCAATCTTGGCATTGACTTATAAACTGAAACATCCTACTGTCTTCCACTCCTTTCCCCTGCATCCTTATTACTAGTAACGTCAATGACTTCTTTTGATATCAAACCTATCAAGTCCCTCTCACCCAGGGCTGGAGGTGTTGCCGGCAGTCAGCCCGGAACGATGAATCGCCATACCATGATTGATGTCGTCGTCATAAGTGGTAAGTTTGCGTCATTCCACATTCCTATGGTAATGAATTGGGTCAAATGATTGTCTCTCATCTGTTTTCCCGACCCCGTTGAAGCTTTCACGCCCTGTCGTGATGTTTTCCTCCTTTCGTGTTGGCTCTTGTTCTTGATGCTTGATACTGAAACTATGTCCACAACAGTTATCTTTCTTGCACTCCTTTTGTCACTCTCTGCCCTAGCATGGTGGCGCCCTACCTCTCTGAATTCGCTCCGTGCAATCCCATCCCATGGCCCTTCTCTACCCACTCATAACACAGCTATACCTGTCCACTCTACTGCAACCCCTGCTCGTAGCGTTTCCCACTCCGGGCGACTATGGAGTATGTGGGTCTTATTCTACCATTGGTGGGCACATGTATCCAACACTGGCATTTACCGCAATCCTGCCATTGTTATCGTGCACCATGAACCAACTGTATTTAGTGCCGCCCGAGTATCTGCCCAAGTCTCATCGGCAGGCATACGCACAGAGGTACACACTCGCTCGCCAAGCTTCACTACTTTCGCACCCACTTCCGAGTCTATCTCAGGGGCACCCAGTATCATCAACACTATTGTTGACAACGAAGTCATAGAGCTTCATATGCTTGGTGGCAAAGGCCCGAGCACGTCGTCATTCGCAGTGACCGACAATGCAGACACCGCTGACACTCACGGTGTCATGCTATCCGCCACAGAGCCCATCGCCCACACAGACGTGAGCGCTTTGTCTGAGGCCACTAACTCATCTTCTACTACCGAATTCCATATCGTAGAAAGTTGACATCGCTGAAGTTGCTTTGCGATAACCCAGCTAAGTGTACCCGGTGTTGCACGGCCATTGACAAACGAAGCGGCGAAAGGTGGGGTTGAAGGCGGTGTGGTGAGGGATACGTCAATCTAGGATTGGGGTCAGCAGTTGTCCATGTCCATGTCCGCCTTACACGCACTAGTAGAGATTTTTCGAGTAGAAGATGCCAACGCCACGCTGTACATGTATACGGGCCTGTGCTCGACGTAGTGTGAGAGCCCCAAAACACTGCTTTCGTTTTGCTGTGTACACAACTCAGTAGCCTAACAGAAGGTTCTTTGAACAAGCACAGCACGCTACAGGACGGCCTGGTATTTGCCCATCTTTCATACAAGGTATCAAAACTCCGCCACGGCAGACTCGCTGAGTGACAAACAGCTGCTCTGTCACACCTCAACAACTTATCTCAATCATTTCTCCACCAATTTCGATGATTCGACTTTATAGTAGCTTAGAATATGTGTACAATGATATGTGGTGAGATAGAATATTTATTGAGGCTGAATTGTGTGAGCTATTGCAATGTGTCCGAACCAGTGGTTGACCGAAGTTGTGGTAACCAATAGTAGGATTGAGGCATGAGAACAACGATCCATTAGCTCGATGTCGATTGGTCGCTTTTGTTCGTGCGGGGCTGTGAATCAGCAGAGCACCTCTGAATAGAAAAGGTCTTGCACAGGAAAATACATCTAAAAAAGCCAAACTGCGGTCAAAACAAGGACAGAAACCTGTATGCTATAGCCGAGCGCCTAGCGTCGCCGAAGTACCTCTCCACCAATGAGAGTGCACGCTTACCATCATTCCCTGCAATATGCAAAACTTTCAGTAAATATTTTGTAGCTCCTCAGCTACATCACATTTTCTTTTGCAAATTTGCGTCATCATGTATTTGTATCTCCTCTACATGGATCTAATTTTTACTAATTTTTAGGATAATGTGGTGTGGTGTCGGAGCAAACCCGATAAAACTCAGGGTCCACCTCTAATCTGCAAATGTGTGGTCACGTCTTGTCACGCCTCGGCACAGTAGCGGCACAGTTGACTTTCACTCTCCGTAGGCTTTAAACTGTTGCGCATCGCAAAAGGCTCGAAAACAGTGGATATGGCAAACATTGAGTATCGTGGTTCATCTACTAGGTTTCGTAAGGTTCTGCGCACGTCAACGATGGGTATGGCACGTTAAACTGGCCAGCTGCTGCCAAGAGGTTTTTAGCCCTCTTCTCTCTGACAGCCTGGATAGCAGCTGCAATGTTGGCCTCGCGAGTGGCATCTTCGGCTTTTGTTTGGACTGCTTTCCTGTGGTGTGGTGCCATTTGAGAGAATGATGCAACATGATGCGTCCTCTGTAAGACTTGAATGCTTGACTGCAGAGGATGGATGCCGTGTGTGCCACGGAGGAGATTGACGCTGTTGCACTCGTCATTGATTCTACTACTATAACACCTCAACGCAAGAGTGTAACCTTTATCGCATTGTTTTTCTGACATCCCTATAAGGTATTCATTATGCTCCAGATGAATTACATTGGTAGGATCTTTGAGATCTGGGTGATTTGTGTTGGGTGAAGGTTGTAAATCACCACTATTTCACCCCTCACAGCTGCAACATCCAAGAATCTTTTATTTTACTTGTACAAAATATCATTTCTAGGTACTCTGCATATGCCTGAATTTTTTCGATGCGAGTTGAGCACGATGTTGAAGTGTCATGAACTTTTGCATATTAGCAACCGTTGACATATTACAGGGAATGATAGTATGGCTGAAGAAAGTTTCAAATGTGAATGTAAACTAGGCCGATCTCTCAGCTAATAGCATGCCTGGTTGGTTTTGTGGTAAAGGATTTTTAGGCGAGTGTCGTAATATGCAATCCTTTGCGGCGGATACTACGACAGTCAACCATAAATTTTGTGAACCGAGTGCTCTTTGATCAGAGTCTAAATACAAGTTCTTGAGTCACGACCAAGGATTTGCATTGGTATGGTAGTGGTAGACCTTGGGCAGTACGTCGTTCTGGAAAGTATAAACCCATGACTACACTTACCTTTCCATTTCTCCAGAAGTCAGGATGAAGAGCTCTTCAAGTATAAATCGGCTCTCGGAGGACGTGCTCTTCCTGATATTCAAGCTCGTCTGTGAAGATGACCAAGCTGCCTTCCACGACTATCTCCAAAAATATTTCATGGGCATACATTAGGACGATTGGAGGGATGAATTTGAGGATGATATCGACAACTTGAACATGGACTGGGATGCCCCACTAGAAGATGAGCCTCTGCCGCAATCAGCACTCTTCCCAGCAATGGGCGTGTCCAAGCATTGGCATTCATTCTTATCACAGACTCGAGGCCCGTTGGATATTATGTATCCGCTTTTAACGGACATTGTGTCTCCCATGGAGTTGCCGCACTTACACTGCAGCTTGACTGTCAAATCGCAAAGGATGGAATTCTGGATTGCGCATTTTTTCCACAAGATTCATATGCCTCATCTCCGAATACTGATCTTGGATGGAGTTGCTTTCGAGTACGACTTGACGGAGGTTGATTTCGAAAGCATCCTTCAAGGCTTGACCAGGCTCCCCAATTCCGATATCATGGAATCTCCTAGCTCTTTTCCGGAGTTAGATGAACTTCATCTCGTTAATTTCGCACCTCGTGCAGATACTGCGCTATTTCATTGCCTGTACAATCAAATGGCCAGTATCAAGTTATTGACCCTGGGACCAGGGGGGTTGAACGAGTATGATCCGTTGGCAATCGCATTGCTCCCCACGCCCCACGGACAGGCGGATTTACCTCTCCCTAGACTTCGGACTCTGATTATTTTTGATGTTCGAAAGGACATCGTGCGGCACGTCGTACTAGAACGACTGTCACTCGCTGGTCCGTTGGAGGAGCTATGCCATCATGACTCGGAGGACTCCTATGAAGAGGAGTGGGATGAAGAGAAGCAGGATGAGAGCGTCCCAGATGATTGGCAACATCAAGTGGAGAAGTACTATTGTATCGATCGTCTCAAATCTGAACGCTATCCTAATACTTATTTACCATGCATGTATACATCGCTCACCCCTCTAAGTTGCCAATTATTGTGCCTTTAGGTGTCCAGCCAAACTGATTTCAACACTGATTTCAATGTTAGCAATTAATCAGAGGCCACATCAGTGACCAATGCTAGTATCAATTCCACCTGTCCTGGGCTCCTGGCAGTGTAGCACGCACGGGCCAAGCACTCACGGAGTTTTCACAATTTTACAGTGTAACGATGGAACACGGTTTGTCTTCGGATGTATTGAAATCAAAACTGTATTCAGGATCACAGGTTCGGCAGTCGGTGATGCTCATGACGATATCTACGGTATATGCAATTGCGGTCCTTCCCTAACATACAGCCTCAATTCTCGAAGGTCGATCAGAAAATCGTCATATTAGAGAGACGGATCGAACGCAGCAAATTCCGAACATTCGGACCCTCCTTCAAGATCGGTGTCAACCCATGCTTCAGCGTCCGTGGTATCTCCCGCCGTCACGTCCTTTGGCTGATGTGAGAGGCCAATCGGGAAGAGCGGTCGTCGCGGGCTCGATAAACGCCGTGAATGATGATTTTTCTTCATAGGAGGGCCACGGAATACGTCTCCGTCATCGTTTTCCTGTTCTGCGGGCTTTGAGTTCTGGCTCTCCCTTCGACTGAGCGAGCCTTTGACTTCGTGCAGGTGCGCTGATCGTGCCAAGTATTTGGCAGACTTGGGAATAATGAGTCCTGTAGATGAGTGCGAGTTCGTTCGCATCATGTGTGCACGAGGGAGCATAGGGATGTCTGCGGAGATAGAGGTAGGCATGCGACGGGTAGGAGTGCGGAGTGCAGAAGTGCCGATGGGAGTACCGGACCGTTTTGTGCTGGTAGATGCACGCGGGGTGGAGCGTTTATCTGCGAAGGCAGTAGAATGCGGTGGCCGACGTGGAATGGTGTCATGATCGGAAGATCGCTGCGTCCGATGAATCGGAAAATCTACACGAGATTCTGGGCCTGCAAAACGATCCTTTTCAGATCTCTTACTGATAGGAACCTCAAGAGGACTGCGACTTTGAAGCTTCGAATAATTCCAGCCACGTTCGCCGTTATTACTAGCGAAGCTCAAGTTGTGGCGGCCCCATTCTCTCGCCGAACGATTGGTGAGTTGAGGCTGTTCTATAGATGGTGCACCCCTGGTCAAGCCGATGAACACCAGCACTGCCAGAAGTAGGCAAAGTTGTGCAATGCCAAGACGCTTTTCAAGAATGACCTTGGAACAACATGAGCAACACGTCATCTTTCAACAAATGGACGCGCACCTCTTCAGCAAGGTAGTTTACTCGCGAGAGCAATTCGCCATGTTCGAACTCCAGACGGAGCCGCTGCCTCTCCCACTCCTGTACTGTACGCTGATACATTTGTGCTTGTATGCGACTCTGGAGACGCATGAGTGACCTTGCCCGAAAATAGTTCTGCTGGACTTACGATGCTCTCCAACCTGCCAACATCCTCACCAAGCCTCCTGAGTACCTCGCGTACACCAGTAGTTTGCTCTTCCACATAACGCACATAAAGGCTATGATTGGACTCCAGGAGAGTCAGTCGGGTCATGATTGTCCGGTATATTGACTCTCCACCTGATCCAACTGGTGGAATGGTGGGCAATGTCGAGAATGCTGCCGATGGTGTGTTCGCAGGTGGGACGTGATGAGATGATGGAGAATGTGATAAAGATATTTCGATATTAGTGGTATGTGGGACTTCGGAGGAGAGTAAACGCGGGGAAATGGTGGACGAGCTCTTATTAGACAAGACAGATGTCGCGGATGACACAACGGAGTCGAAAGAATGCGTAGCGTTTTTCTCAGAACTCAATATAGAGTTAGAGGTAGCGGATGGGGTAGGCTGCTCCACGACAGCGGAATCCGTAACGATAATGGCTGGGGAAGACGATGTGGACTGGGACCTTCCGCGTGCCTTGGATTGAGAAGGAGAGCTGATCGAGCTGGACGTCCGGTTCGCCGCATTGGATGCCTGAGGTTTGCTCAATGGCGCCGTAGTGGTTGGAAGTGCACTATCAAGAGGATATGCAGAAGGTTTGTCCCGGGCTTCAAGCTCGTCCATAAACTTGTTCAGTTCAGACGCCCCAGAACTGATGGGTAGGGACTCCGTAATGGAGGGAAAGACTTGGGCTCGAGCTTGTGCGCGTGCATGACTCTCTGCTTCCCATGTATCCCACTTCCATTGTTCAAGGTGTGTGAGACCGTAAACCCTCAAAAGGGAGACGGGACAGTAATACTCGTGTCCATAGTGTGAGTGGAAGTCGATCCGGATGTACCTGTAGAAATCGCGCAAGGTGGTTGGAGTATGGAAGGACTGTGTAAGGGTTAATGCCAAGGTCTCAATATTGGGAAATATACGCGCCTGCACACCACGGACATTCTTTCCTTTGTATGTACCCGCCAGTACCCATCCGTCATCAGACGTCGTGTAGGTCTTTGCGACCTTGACCGAAAAGTCCTTGAACACCCCACTGAAAAACTCGAAGTTTGCGAGCTGCACAGTGTCAATCCTAATATCCTCGCACAACTCCACAACCACGAACTGCTCCTCCTTGCCCGAAGAACATGGTGAAAGCATGTATTTGTCTTTCTTAGATGATAGAATGGACGAAGGAGACTTGGCAGAGCGGTGAGAAGTGTGTACACGCGCAGAGCAGTCCAGGTTTGCATAATTGAAGCGGTCGGTGATAGGTACCCTGAAATGTGGGGAAAGTTCTGTTTCCTGGGGGTATACAGACGGGTCCGGCACAGTGACGTTAGGTTCGTGGGTGGTACTCGACTCTACGTGCTCTAAAGCATCAGTTTTGAGATGAGGAGTTGCCTGAGGCTGGGCCTGCAACTGCGACTGGGATTGGGACTGGAACTGCTTGGACTTCCACTCCTCAAATGAGAGCAAGACATCCTCGACGTCATTTGGTGGTTCTATTGACGGCGGTGGTGTCAGGCAGCACAGAGGCGGCTCAGGTTGGCGTTTGCGGTGTGCTAGAACTATAGCGCGAAATGGGTCATTCTTGGAGGAGGGAAGAGCGACTGCAACGGCAAGAACTGGCGAGGTGAGCAGGAGAAGAAGTAACGTTTTGGGGAGAGCCGTGAAGGAGACCATCAATAAGTCTCAACTACAGCTACAGGTCCTCTTAACACTCTAAGACAGACAGCGAAACTGACATGAGTGCTTGTGACAGACAATAGTAGGCACGTCACTTGGAGCACAGTCAAGCCAGCTGCCACGTCGGCAGTAGATATCCCACAAAGAGTATTTCAGTCACTGTGCCTGACGAGTCTCAACGCAGAAATGGTTTACGAGTAACTGAGTTCACACAACGGAGGGGAATGTCCTTGGATGCATCACTCAAGCAGACAATAGCAGCGCATGAAAGAGTCATGTTTGCAAGCAGAAAAAATGGATGTATTAGACGGAAAACGGCATTGATGGTAATGGAATCCATCATCTTTCACTCCAAGTACATGTCCTCTTGGTGACTTCAATCGCACTGCAAAAACACGTCAATGATATGGATAATGGGGCAGAGGAGAAATATACCAATCCCGTCAACTCTCCAGCTTTTGTGTGCATGATGAGCGCAACAATCAAGCCTACACACGACCGTTCAATACTACGCTTCGTTTACACAAAGTATCGGCGTACCGTAAAGACCCAGCACTTCGGCGAAGATAAGAATCAAAATCTGCACGGTGTATTAGTCTTATTCCTGGCAAAACTAGGTGATCAATGTTCACCATTCCAACGAAAAGTCGGGGTTGTTGTGCAGTACCGCGGACACCAGCGTCGCCGACGATACCAATGGCAAAGCCTGCGGCAAGACCAGCGAGACCAACCGACAAACCAGCACCGAGGTCAATGAATCCCTGCGCAAGTGGCATTGTTGCCTCCACTACAATGTATGCCATTTAGCATCCAGAAATATCGGGGGTAAAAAAACATAACACACGTGAACCGGAAATGAGGACAGACACGACTAGACCGTAGATCTGCGCATTGTAAGAATCGACTGCAATTGAGGCGGATGAAAAGCAAAGACGTACACCGATGATACCGGCCATGATAACTGGGACGACACACTTCATCATGAGGTCTGGCCGGAGGACACCCATCGCTGAAATGCCAACACCAGACTTTGCAGTACCGTAACTGCGCAAAATATTCAATACGTCACAAAACCTGGCACTCAAAACTTGCAGACCTTGCACCAAGACCTAGCAGACACAATCACATGGATCAGTCAGAACACCAAAGCTTCCCATAACCGCTGTTCACGACACTTACAGGTAAACACAATTGCGCAAGTGCAACCCTGTGAACCGTTCAATTCTGAAACCGAACAAGGAAAAACATAGAACTAACCATGGCACCGAAGAAGGGCGCGTAGACGGGACAGAGGTCAGCCATGATTTGCGCGTTGAAGGGAGTGGATGAAGACTATTGAATAGGCGACGCTAGTGAATGGCGGAGCAGTTCGAGTCCAATGAGTAAACACGCAGTGAGGAGAAAGCCGATCGGACATTCAATATGTGGCTGCGCCTCGGCATGAGAATGCCGGCCATTATTTGGCAACAGCTTTAGAACCAAACAACCTCCTACTTCCTCCCTTGGGAAACTTTCAATCGCGTCCCAGCCATATTTAAGAACGCACCGTTGGACAATGTCTGCTTCCTTGCGATTTACCAGAAGGGTGCGTCTTTCACATATCTTGCTTGCGCCTTCTTACACAAAGGCAACTATGTAAGGTGTGGAAATCGTTCATAGACAATAAAGGTACTCTCACGAAGTACTTTTGGGCGCGCGCCACTAAATGCAGCAGCTAGGGCATGATGCGCAATGCTTTCCGAATGTCAGAATATTACATTATCCGCCTGCATCTCATACTGACCTGACTTCTCAGCTTGTTATCCACCGCGCAGTTCCCGGAACGGTTGACTTCTCACTCAAGATAGAACCATCTAATTGTATGTACTCTGCTCTCGAACTCTGATTGGCACTCATCTCCCTGTAGTAAATAGAGTCGGGGTGCGTATGTAGGTTTTTCGCAGTATCCTACTTATTGACACGCCACACTAGACTGTGCACGGCGGCCTGATCTTGTCGCTCACTGATACCCTTGGTTCTCTTGCTGTTGCAAGCAAAGGTCACTACATGACTGGTGTTTCTACTGATATTGGTGCATCTTTTGTACGACCTGCAGGCAGGACTGACGATACCCTCCATGCACGAGCCACTCTCACTGCCATGGGTGAGTGATACGAAGTCTGCTGTTTCTTTCTGTTGAGCTCACCGAACCAGGGAAATCTTTGGCATATACTCGCGTAGATTTTACCAATCCCGCAGGGGACTTAGTTGCGTATGGATGTAAGACCTTGTCTTTAGCATGCTGGAGCATTTTTAGGCTAATAACACCTACTATTAGATCACACGAAATACGTGGGGAAATCTTCGTCCGACCCTGTGAGTAAATCTGAGAATCCTTCTTCGCGCAAAGACCTGACAGTTTCATGCAGAACAACGTGAAATTCTCGGAAGACGGCGAGCGAGTAATAGAAGGGAACGACGTTGACTGATCCATTATTCGTCGTCGCTTTGTGATGTACCAAATGCGCATCAAAATTCAAGAACAGTTGATCCACGCGGGCGATGGGTAAGAGTTACAAGTACAGCGACAAGAAAAACGTCGACGTAAGAAAACATTTCTAATTTGTTTCAGTCTGAAGACCCGATGATTGATGATGCAACAAGTGGAGCAACCGCAAGGCCACTTCTTCCTCATTCGCCCTGTTGAGCGAACTATCCATTTTAATCGATCTGCCAAAGTCTATCAGGCGGAAGCTCTTGCTCGAGCCTGGGCGCGAGATTGGCCATTCCGTTGGCTTGCCTTGTTGCCACATGATGTTCCGCGCTGCAAATGACTCGTGCAACCACCCCGCATGATGAAAGCGGAAGACAAGCGACGCGCACTCTTGCTTGTCATCCAAGCTCAACTCTTCTGGGTCTATTTCGCGGCCACAGTTCTCCAGAAGTAATATCGGACTCAGATAATCAGGAAGACTCGTGCCGTCAGTTGGATCATCAGGCGTGTAGTACCCGTAGAACTGTGGGCAGAGTGCCCCAATGGGGACAGGATCGTGCAGAGGGGGCATGACGTTATATCCGTTCCAGTGTTGGAAGAAGTGGTCAGGGAATGATTGATAGTTCTTCGCCTCTCGGTCGAGGTGGAGGTCGTCTTCGAGCGAGAGTTTGGCAACAACATGGAGCATCGTGGTGCGCGGAACGGGTCGCGTGCCGAAAGAACTGTGGCTGCATCGTTCATGGAAGGGGTCTCGCCACTTCACAGTAGTGTGGATACGAAGACCTGGCCCAGAGTAAGATGCTATGCGGATGACTCTGGGAGGTTCAATGGTGAAAATTTCTTCCTCTTCTTCGCTCTGTTCTTCCTCACTTCCTTCTGCGTCAGCTTTTTCTTCGTCCCCGTTGTCCTCTTTCCCTTTCCCCTTATCCTCCTTTGGGGCACACTCAAGCGCGCTCGGTTCCTTGCAGTCCTCATTGCCGTCTACCCTCATCTCAACGTCAAGAGCCTCAACCTTGGCTCCAGGTTCCGAACCCTGCCCGCCCACAGCGTCCATTTTGACATCAACTTCGGTACCCCCTGTTTCTGCTGCAGAGCTGGTAGAGCCTGTAGCAGGATCATCGTCCGAAGCTGACGTCGTTTCGGCATCATTAGCATCGACGGACTTTTCATCACCCAGGTTGGCCGAATCCACTTCGGCTTGGCTGATAAATGACCCAGTCACCTCTGGAAGCTGGTGCTCCTCGACGGTAATGTGAACAACTGTTCGCTTCGCACCAGAGCCCTGCGAGGGCTCTGTTCCGGAACGGACATCCGGGGCGATCTCTAGCGTTTCCCCAGCTTTCTCGAACGCCCCTTTTAGGAGCGCTTCCCATTTTCCCTCGTCCTTCAACTTCTGAACCTGTCGACGGGCGTCCTGCTCCACACAAGTTCTGCACAGATAAGCCTCCGCAAACAGGTCACGCGGAAGCTCCCACTCCACACCATGCACAACTGAATGATGACCGGAGCCCACTGAACGAGGTTGAAGGTAGAGATGAGCTTCTTCCACTTGCGTCCGCTTCGGGGGTCGTGGAGGGAGTACGACTTCAACCAGCGGCTCTTCCGTTGGTCCCTCTTTTTCAGCGGGGAAGATGCGCAACACGCTCTCTCCCTTCGCTGCTTCGTCTTCGGCTATCTTTTTCTGTGCCTTTGACGCAGCCTCCTTGGCTTCGGGTTCGAGGGAGAGGGAATAGGTTCGGATGATGTCCCCTCCATTGGCGACTTTGGAAATCCACGGAGTCAGGATATCGGAATCGCCCTTATCGATGGATAATTTGTTCCAAGGGTCGTGGACATGGAGCTTTTGAGGGAGAAGGTGCAAAGGAATTCGCTGTTGGAGTGTCGGAGTCTCGTGAGTGCAAGGGATGAAGGGGTATGGAGAGGGATAATCGGCGGGATTGAAGCTGTCATTTGGTGACGACGCGGCGGGTTCACCTTTCGGTTGTTCCGCGCCTTTGTCTGGCAATGTTTCTCCCGTTTGATCCGGTTGCATGGCCTCATTGATCTGCACACCGGCAGTCGCGTCTTTCTCTGCATCGTCATTAGCAACTGGTGCTGCCTCCTGTTCTTGCTCCCTCTCAGTATTACCACCCTGACCATCGACTGGGGAGATCAAATCGTCTCCATCTGTGGTTTCGCCCGTTTCACCGAAAGAGGAAACGCCCGTGCTTTTTTCATATTTCTCTCTTATCTTCTTTCGATAGGAATACTCATCGAATATGCCCAATGCGACGCGCGTGTCATAGCACCGTATCAGTTCCCCGAGGTCGACTACTGGTATCTCTTTTGGATCCTCCTCCTTATCGGCCCAATAGAGCTCATCCTCTGCTATGAGCTCGCCAGCCTGGCGCATCCATTTCGCAAGTCTGCTTCCGGTGGAGGTTGTGATATAGTTTGGAACATTTGGGAGACGTCGAACGTGGTAGAAGTCGTAGAGCGTCGCACCCCACAAATCAAGTCCATTGCCTGCCTGCTTGCCCCGCAATGAAGATGGCACGATGGCTTTCCCTTTGGGATCACGAGGCCAGGAGCGGAAGATGACGCGTTTCTTGCCATATCCGACGCAAGTTTCGTCGTTATCGAATTGTTCTTGGACAGACTTGGGCAGTTTGTGGGGGTCGATCTTACTGAAATCAGCGTGTTCGGCTCGTAAAGTTGAATCTAGGCTACACCCAGACGTCTACAGTGTGCGATAGCGTCAATAACAACAACGTACCGCTCTCCTTTTTTACCCTTGTCTTTGGATTTCTTGTGTGATGTCTCAGCAGATTCCGAATCTACAGCCCGCGCGACGCGTTGTTTTGCCTTCTTCGTTTTCAAGAACCCACGCTTCATGGTGGTATATGATAGAGTCGCTCTAGATGAGATGGCCTTACGGTGTCACGATTATACGGCACTCGCACGAGAAATTCTGGGAGATGTTGGACGAAGAATCAAAGTTAGAGGAGCCGCGATCGATGTCGCGATAACTCTTAAGTCGCACTACTTATGGGCGGCAAATGAGGGGTTAAATTATTTCCTAAATAGTCGCGCCTCACGGTTCTATGTTCACGGTCCACCTGGACCAGGTTGGTATCGAAACGCTGTTTGATTGTTCTATGTGTGATTTGCAGAAGCACATACAGCAGTTGCAGCACCTGGATCCAATGATGGTCCAGGGGGGTGCTCAGCAGGTAAAAGAAGTGAGACATGGATAAGCTAATGATGATCTGAATCACGTGATGATAAACTTTATGGGTGTCGTCGGTCGAGTGCATTGTGCAAAAGCTGATGCGCGCCCCATGGGTTGCAGTTAAACCAACTTAATACTTAAATACTACGAAAGGAATGACTGTCTGGACTGGTAAGTACTAGGCTAAATATGACCACTGCCTGACAACTACATCGCAATAACGTTCAGATCTCTGACCGATACGATAGTATTTCTCCACTTGATCTTGCCAATCATCTGGCACGCTCTCATCTTGCTCCTGCTCCTGCTCCTGCTCCTCTTTATAGTACTCTTCCAAGTTTTGATAGTACAGCTCCTCCAATGGACCAGCAAGTGGCAGTCGTTCTAGTACGACGCACCACACAATGTCCTTTCGAACATTAAATATGATCGGGGTCCGAAGTCTAGGGAGAGGCAAATCCACCAGTCTGTGGGACGCGGGGAGCAGTGCGATTACCAACTCATCATACTCATTCAACGACCCTGGTCCCAGGGCCAATACCTTGATACTGGCCATTTGTTTGTACAGGCGATGGAAGAGTCCAGCATTTGCAGGTGTGAAATGAATGATATGAAGTTTATCTAACTCCGGAAAAGGGATAGGAGAATCTATGATATCGAAATTGGGGAGCCTGGCCAGGCCTTCAAGGGTGCCTTCGAAATCAATGTCCGTCATAATATTGTACTTGTAGGCATTTTCATCCCAGGTCAATATTCGGAGGTGAGGCATATGAACCTCGTGGAAAAAAAATCCGCAGCCCAGAATTCCATCGTTCGCGATTTGATGACAAGGTAATGCAAGTAAGGCAACTCCATGGGAGACATAAGGTCCGTTACAAGCATATCCATAATATCTAGCTCAAGTGCGAGGGTCTGCAGATTGACGAGTGCACCAAGACGTTGTGACAAAAATTTAGCTGTAGTGCTCATATTTCTGTCACCGTTATCCATGCAGTAATGTATCCGCAAGTTGATAAGATGTGATGAAAACATGGAGGGTGAGCCAGGCCCAACTTATGCCGAAAAGGATAAGATCACGAAGGGGAGACGCTGAACCAGGAAAAAGTGATAGTATATGCTTGGCGGGGTGCGTATCCAATATACTGTGTACGAGTTGAAGATGCAGTTTCTCTAGCATACGGGCTGGATGGACGGAAGGGCGTGACATGAGGCCTTGAGGCGAACAGTGCTTGGTGCATGTGAGTTTTTTTTGCGCACTGGGGTGGTCCGAGGAGCGTCGTGGTCGTCCTGTCAACCAACAAGAGCGCTCGTGAAGCGATGACGTAAAAGTAAGTTTGAGAAGGAACTTCACGGAATTTGAAACCGGGGATCGCGTTAGTGTTTCAACTTCGATAAGAACCATAACCCGCTCCTTACGTGTATTCCTACTTGTAAGGCACGATAGCTGGGCGCCGAACTAGTCAGGTAGCGCATGTATATTGTTCGATATCATTTATCGATCATGTCGCACGGCGGATAGAGTGTAATTTTGACATCAAACGGAGTAGGTCGACCTTCGCCTGTCATTTACCGACCTGGCAGTCTTGTGGCAGTAAAAGCACTACCTCCTGACCAAGACTGACAGTCTCCCCTATGGATGCCGATAAGCTATCAGCAGAAGAATATGATGACGTCCCTGGGTTGTTCTTTTTTGGGATGCTCTGATAGGAGAGTCGCATAAACTTGTATGATACTGCGGCTCTGGCACTCACCAATATCACTATCTCCATTGCTGACGAGTTTGTATTCGCCAGTGATAGCAAAAACAACTCGCTGACGTGACCCCTTCAATTTAAAGTGTGGTTGCGTCACCAACGAACCTAAATAATATTCTTGCCATCGTCCTTCCAGAAAGCTACAACGAGCAATGCGTGAGCAGCTTTTGTCCATCTGACAGGACTGTCAATGATCTAATGCAACACTTAGGGTGTTCACTGTGGCTTGTTCCCTCAGAACGGGAACATGACGCACTGAGCTGTCTCATGAATTTCCGACCGAGACATCACAGGTCAAAAACTCACTCGTCCAGATCATACCCCCGCTTCGACCCTCATGTCACCCTCGCCACTTTCGAGAGTTCGTATAAACCCAAAATATCTCTATTCCTGTCTCCGACCACCATCTCGGTTCCCGTGTATTTTGAGTCTATGAAGGTCGGAAACAACTACCTCAGCTCACTGTCCATCGTCGTTGCCAAATCCCGCGAGCTCATGCAATTACGCGATCTCGTTGTCGAGCACCTCGAGAACAACAATATGAAAGACACGAGTCGTTCGTTTCCACACATGTCCTTGTTCTACCTGGACGAAAAGTCCAAAGGAGACCGCCAAGAACTTGGCAAGCAACTAGAACGATCGGAAAGAGTCCGCGAACGAACCGGTAGGAGAGTCATAGAAGCTGCGCTGGACTGTACCCTGGATGGTGCTGAGCCTGAATTTGATGCCATGTATGGATTTGAGGGATCGTCGATATGGCTCGTCGACTGCACTGGTGGAGTAGAGGATTGGAAAGTCCTAGAGAAACAGAAGCTCAAATCAAGAAGGCACGATCTACGCGATGTCTACCTGTCGAGAGGCGAACCTTTCTATTCCTTTTCCTGGCCAACAAATCCTGTTCCTGTCGTAACAATGCCACCCTCTCCAAGAATGGGGGGACGCCAACCTTTCTTGTACGGGTCAAATCCCCTACCAATGACACCATATTATCCCCCGGACCCAAGGTAGCGTGCACTTTCCTGGCTGTACTTTGTGCTTAAGATTGTTCCAATCACAGGATGAATAGATGGAATTACGGACAAGGTGTAGACCCGAGAGTCCGAGGCAATATGTTGAGGCGGGGGGTCCCGAATGCATATTGGGGTCGGTACTGAGAGAATTCATGCACGATGTGCCGTTGATGTTTATACAGGGTGTTGGCTGTAACGCTTCTTGAGTTAGTATTCAGATACGACTTGCATGTAGACCATAGAATGTACAGATTTACCTTGACGGTTTTAAATCGGCATGACAGTGTGTAGCCGTACACGTCCGTAATCACATTCTTATGATTTCGAGGAATGACAGGATGTGTTGCTGCACTTCCTTAAAGCCGTGAGAATGATGTAGACGTTAAGTGTATATTGGGCCTTGGTGGCCCGTGGTTCCTACAATTCGAACATCTTGGTGGGATAACCAGTCGTCTAGCATCAGATATAACCCAGTGAGGCTGAAGGAGAAGACCACGCTCACTTGTCTTGTCTTCGATCAAACTAGTTTAACTTGGGAGAGGATTGATCAGAGCTCGATTCTCGAATGAATATTGATGTTTAGTGTAGGAGGACTAGATATTATGAGCAGTTGCCTTCAGTCGTCGGTGTGAAGTAGACGATCGTACACTGGTTGCTAGCGCAGTCTTTCAAAGACCTGGTCTGAGGTGGTGAATTAGCTTAGCGTATCTTGGCTTGGCACAGATAGAAACTGTACTTAGACACGAATCCGATTACCGACGCCGCGCTGCCGAGCCGCACACCGGCTACTCATTACATGCCACGCTTTATACGTGGCGAGAGTGCAGTGTCGGCGGCAGCAACGTTGTTGCTCAGCTTTCTGCTCAGCATGGATGTCGATGAATCTTCTGATGTTATGACCAGAGAATTGCCGGCAGAGCGCCGTAAACGACATGCGCGGGATCGTACGACTTCCTTGAATTCACTTCCTCATTTCAAAAGTGGTCCGTCCAAGCACAGACAATCCACCCTCCGAAGTCGTGCATCCAACGCCAGCATGAAAAGTATCGGGTACATATCATTCTTACAAGCTTGACTAGTGCTTATGTCTATCACCCAGCTCGGAACTCGACTACTCAGAAATTGTTGCCCCCATTCCCCGCCGACATCTCCTGCAAACATCACAAAGTCTCCATTGGCTTCGAGTCGACTCTTCATCAGGAGATGAATGGCTTAACAGAGGTGTATCTCCCGTATCCGCGTCTTCAGTGGGCTCTGTCTTCCCAAATAGCAGGACGAGCAACCAACTTAGCTTCACCGCCCTCATGGAACACGAAAGGGCCGCTGCTGGCGCGTCATCGATGTCAGATGCAAGAGTACATGAGGATGATCAGGGAAATGTTGGGGCTGGAAGGCGGTGGTTGAAGTGGATGCATCGGAATAATATCAAGCGCTGGGTCGTTCCCTCAGCTATCGCCGCATCTGCCTTGGTGAAATGGTGCATCGGACTCGGAACGTATTCTGGTCCGTAAAATCACTGCGTCCATGCTTTGATATTAATGCACCCCGCAGGTCACGGTACGCCTCCTATGTTCGGTGATTACGAGGCTCAGCGACATTGGATGGAGCTTACCGTACACCTCCCCGTTAGGGAATGGTACACGTACGACTTACAGTATTGGGGTCTTGACTATCCTCCTCTGACCGCTTATATCTCATGGCTATGTGGAAAAATGTAAGTCTGCCAAGTAGACTTCGTTATGTTATCTTCAATGCTTTGTTCCTCAGTGGGTCGTTATTCGAATCTTCATGGTTCACGCTACAGACCTCGCGGGGCATAGAGACCGCAGGAAGCAAGCTCTTCATGCGAGCCACTGTGCTCGTACTCGATCTCTTGGTTTATGTCCCGGCGTTGTACACATTTGTACGGGCATGGCAGGGCACGCGATCATCTAGGAAACGAGTACGTTAGTCCAATCCCTTGTCATAGCAACTCCATATATTTACTATTGTACTATGGATAGCATGCTGCGCTGCTCACATTACTGTTCCATCCAGCCCTTCTGTTGATCGACTTTGGTCATTTCCAATACAACTCCGTCATGCTAGGTAGCTCACTCCTGATTGCTAGCGTTTCCGATTCTGACCAGTATCTTCACTCAGGTTTAACTCTACTTGCGGTCAACGCCTTTGCAGCCGGACATGATCTCCTTGGAGCTATTTTCTTCGTCCTGAGTTTAGGTTTCAAACAGATGACTCTTTACTACGCACCTGCGATCGGCTCCTACTTGATCGGAAAATGCATTTATCTAGGCCCAGTTCATGGGTAAGTTTGTAGCAGCTGCAAGCCTTCCGATAAACTAAATAATTACTCCCAGCACTCGCTTGTTTCTCCGCCTAGCGCTAACGACAATATTAGCATTCATCATCATGTTCGCGCCCTTCCTCCCTCCCTTCTCTCCTCTCTCCGCTATGACTGCACCTATCACTCGCATCTTTCCGTTCGGACGTGGCCTCTTCGAAGACAAAGTGGCCAACTTCTGGTGCTTTACTAACGTGTTGGTGCTGAAGTGGAAGCGAATTTTTGCTGGTCGAGAAGGCGTTCTGATAAAAGCCTCTGCTGGACTTACCGCTCTCGGGTTCCTGCCTGCTGCAGCCGCGCTCATTTTCGGTGGCTACAAGACCCGCTTGCAGAGGAACAATGAAAACGGCCCAGCGAACGGGCCGACTTCGATAGTACAGGCAGTGCCGCCATCACCTACACCAATTTTGCCACTCTTACCCTATGCACTTCTAACCTGTTCACTCTCGTTCTTCCTATTCTCGTTCCAGGTGCATGAGAAGACTATTCTGGTTCCTCTGCTACCTCTCACACTCCTTCTGTCGGGTGCTGCACCTACCGACAATGTATTCTTATGGGGCGCTTTGGGCAACAACATCGGTGTTTTCAGGTAGGGAGTGTGCACTTCAATATGCATTTAAGCCGCTAACGTGGATTCTGTTCACTTGTAGCATGTGGCCTTTGCTCAAAAAAGATGGACTGGGTGTTCAATACTTTGCGATGCTTCTTCTCTGGAACCGGTTGATCGGGCACAATCCGTTCAAACTACACCATAGATCTTTCGTGGAACTCGTATCTTCCGTACGTAGCAGCTTAGCGCTTCTTATGCACGGTTCACTCGCATCTCACAAAACCTCATCTTAGGTCGTACACACAGCCATAATTATTCTCCACCTGCTCGAGCTAGCAGTGACACCACCCGCGCGCTACCCTGATCTCTTTGCAGTATTCAATGTCCTAGTGAGCACCCCCGTTTTCGGACTCATCTGGCTTTGGAGCATCAAGCGTTCTGCGGAAGTGAGCTGGGCTATAAGCGGACTACCTGGAAAACGCGAAAAGAAAGAAGGGCCGTCTTCTACGTCTGCGATCAGTGCTTTCTCTTCGAGTGCTGCGTTTAGGCGTGGTGAGGTGGGTGCGCGTGCGATGAGTCTTGGGTATGCGAGTGGGCATGGGCGCGGACAAGTCGATGCTAGGAGACGGGCGTTGGAGGTGTTGAGCGCGGGGAGTGGTGATCGGGAACATCGAGATTAAGGATTAAGGGATGAGTTTGGTTTGTTGTTGTTATTTAAGGGAATTTAATACGATTGCGTTCCAGATGAAAGGTTTTCCTTTCGAGCCTCTCCCTGTCAATGGTAATTCAGAAGGAAACAGCTGTGTCGTCCGCGCAATGCTTGTCGCGTTGTTCGGTTGACAGTTACCGCTCACGCTATATGCTCGGACCAACATTCTGTTTGTCGTGGAATGAGTATTTAACAGGAGCTGCCATTGAAATTCCATGCTCATTGGATCGCTGATGACTAGATTTTATTGGAGAACTGCTTTTCAGCGCAAGATTTTCGGCGATCCCAATGAGTAATTCTTCTAGCCCCAGGAAATCAACAACAATGTCCAGGCTGTTCACCAGTATGTGCACCTCACTTGGTGTTGGATTCATCTTTATCAGACTCCAAGAACACTCGATATTGTACTGATATTGAGGTCGGCTCTCCACTCCAACATGCAAGGTTATGCTCGCTAAGAAAATACACGTTTCTCTTTGCCGTGCACTCGGGATTCACTCATAGTTCTGAGGCGTGCTTCTTCGACCCACCTATAAAGCAGATATTCACGTCGTCCATCCAGTTCGGTACTGGCTCGATGGACGGGTCCGTCTCCCACTCGCAGATGTCACGAACAATCCTGCCAGTTGTCTCACCTTTACCTTCAGTAAGTGTTTACATTCCAATCATGATTAACGCATGGAGTAGGTTCCATTAGACGGGATTCTCGGCATGGCCTACAATATTGCATCTCCGTTTCTGTGAATTCGCGTCTACGATTTGCATAGTCTGGATTGTTTATCCGCCGAGGCTCAAGTTCTACCAAATCGTGCCTGCATTCTCGCCGTAAGGTTCTTCTAGGTTCTGCCTATATAATCTCGCCATGAAATTCTATCAGGCGCAACCATTCTACCAGCCCATTAGCGGAACGTCCGAGTCCTACCCACAACACGATTTTCAGGATATAAAAGCAGGCCGTCTTCAACGTCCCTCCCCACCTCAGAAAGATTCTCTCATATAACCTCACACAAATAATGCGTTTCTCCTTCCTTGTTGTCATTGCTACTTTGACAGCATCTATGTCTGTCAGTGCCGACGAGGAAAAGCAATGCAAGCAGCCAGGCTCAGTTTGCCTCTACGACAAGGACTGCTGCAGTAAGCATTGTAATTTCGTAGTCACGGGTGTGAGTAGTAGCTTGTTTTGCATCCTGGATTCATTACTCACCCCATGTAATTTCAATAGCTTCCTATTGTGTACTGTAATTATTAGTTAGTTCCGTGGATTAGCAGCCTCAGTGGCACATCGGGACAGTGAGTCGTGTGTTTGATTTCGCATTGAGGCTGATGGCATAATTCGTAGTTCATTGCTGATGTGGTCAATATGGTCGCTCCTGCCAGGAGTCTCGACTGCTGCTTGGGAAACAGAAGCCCTTGGATAGAAGAATCATTCAATATGATATTGACTAAGAAACATGATGTATGAGTAACTTTGGTCTTGATTGAACATTGAAAATAGTCCGGTTCCGAACCCCGGTTCGAACCTGAACCTTTCCGAACCGGACTCACAGTCCGGTTCCAGGTTCGGCCAAGACTCAGAACCAAACCTATAACCAGGTTGGGCGCGCGGATGCGATTTCCGCGTGAAGGTTCAGTAGATAGAATATGACATGCTCTAGTCATGGACGAGGAGCTAATACGACTACGCGCATGATTAAGTACAAGACTTGCCGTCTTCCCTATATGAAGCAAACATCACAGGGTCGCTGTTGATAAAACGATCGAGGTCGCAAGAAAATTCTGGATTCAAGTGGGTCTCTTCATGGAAGATCAGGATCTGCTAAGTGTAGAGTGTTAAGCAGACATCACCTACTAAATATTGGCAAGCACTAAGGATTCTGTTAGATGAGGTGACTGCTATAGATACATCTTACGAAGCAACAAGCTTAACGGCTGTACATCTTTGATATGAGAGCCAAAACACCGCCATAGGTCGGTGATCATTGTTTGTCAAAAATGTACACCTGGCTTACTGTGAGGTAGTAGCTATCGCTCGCTCGGTAGGCGGCATATTATTGTCTAGAAACGCATCATCAGCACCGCGTCATAGCATCTTCCGGTAGCATACATGATGCCTGCCATCCAACTGGGTATAGCTAGTTTTGAGTTAGGGAGAACAGAGTTTCGAACAATGATGGGATCTGTTCGGCGTATGATGTCAGTAAGTGGACGGAGAACATTCATAGTGATGCCTACAGGCCCAATCGACATGCTAGCTTAAAGCTTGAACACATTCTGAGAAATCCCTGCAAAAACACCACTGGGCGAGCTAGCGACTATGGTGTTAAACTGGCTGTAGTGATGAACTAAGCATCTTGTTCAAGAAAATCAGCTGGACCCCATGTACCAGTAGGACACGAACGAACTGATTCTGGTGCCGAAAGTAAGCAACACCTCTCATCTGGTTGCAGCGTCGCTCGGCGAATATCTTCAGGTGCGCCAGTGTGGAACTGCACTACCCGGAGCCATTTTCCTTGTATGTGGGAGAAGCGCTAGACTCGTAGTACCTCAGATGAAGTCGGAAACATGCGATGGATGTGTTTGGGACCCAGACGTTTGCTCGACCTACATGGGCCAAGTGAATCCTGAGTGTACAGCGAAGCGGAACATGGCTTTTTTATTATTACCGAGGGTACTCGGAACGACTGAGGTGGGGTGCCCAGGCAGCCCAGGTCTATCTCAGTATAATTTTGAGCATTCACGGAGTCTGGGAACTGTGAATCCAACAACAAGGGAGGAGAGTAGTACATACTGATGAGGTGGACCGCATTGTGAGTACAAATGATGTAATCTCCTGCAGCCAGAGTAATAGCAGGTATGTATCGTCCGCGATTGGTGAACGAATGTTGCGTCCTAGGTATTCAAAGGTCCCATTGCTCAAGCAGCAGCTAATACCAACCATATTGATCAGGATCAACTCAGCAAGGTGTCGTTGACACTTGACAGTACCTGTAGTTCCGTCATTTGTGACTGCCGTCGTTTGTGCCGTTGTTTTGGTGACAGTGTAGCTGAACCCATGCACCTCCATCAGTCATCAGTAAACCACAAACTCTTGCACAGAGTTTTGATTTAGCTACAGATTCCCACAGTGTGCCAGATACCACAGAGCTGCCAGATCCCAGAGCCACAGAGTCACAAATTCCCACAGTGTGCTACAGACCCACAGAACTCACAGAGATCCGAGAGCCACAGAGCCACAATTCCCACAGTGTGTTACAGACCCACAGAGCTCACAGGATTGAGCACAAAAATTTCACTAAGTCTTTCTATTACCTATCTATTTGAGTTGAATGGCTATGGGGGTGTAGAGTTCCTCGAGGAATTTCGAGGAATTTTACTACATATGGTTAGTTAGATACTATAAAAGGAAGTAGAGGGAACAGACTCATGGGAAAAGAGGGAATACCTGTGGGAACATGGGGAACAATATGTCATAATACATACAATATCAGTTATGTAATGCCCCAAGTAGTCCTAATTGTGACATAAGTCCATGTGAACAGAGGAACAGGAATCACTCAAGTGGGAAGAGGAACAGTGGAATATACCTGTGGGAAAAAGGGAACAACATGTCATAATGGGAAGAGGAACAGAGGAACAGAGGAACAGAGGAACAGAGGAACAGAGGATCACACCCATGGGAAAAAAGAGAACAGCATGTCATAATGGGAAGAGGAACAGAGGAATAGAGGAACAGAGGAACAGAGGAACAGAGGAACAGAGGATCACACCCATGGGAAACAAGGGAACACTTTGTAGTCATATGTGTTCCCAGTGAACATTATGAAAACTTTGCTTAAATCTCATCAGATATGGCCAAAATACTGACTTTTGAGCCCCCTCAACATATCTCATTATTCACGACCTCCAGATGCTCTGGGATCATCACCAATCAATTCCTACACTTTAAAAACCCCAGGGCCATCATTTACAGCATTGGTTTTGAGTCAGAATTGACTGCAGCATGATTCCTTGGGTAGGAGGGGGGAGGAGGACCTTGTATATCTTGGGAACCTGATTTTTCCTGGCAAAATGAAGAACACCACCGTGTTCAGAGGCCTCAAGAGCCCCCCGGAAAAATACATTTGAAGGACAGACAAGTCAGGGGAAGGCTGGAAAAATCGACATATCCATATACGGACAGGCAACCCACAAAATCGATTTTTTTTCGCCTTGTTCCTTCCACTTTTTATTACAACACTTCTATCCCATCTTAAAGTCCGCGAGATTCTGCAGGGTTCACAAGAAAGCCCGGTCCGAAATAGTTCAGTAAATGTTTGGTTATAGGCACAATCAAATTTTCACTTTTTCACACAGTTTTGGGACCTTCTTTGCCTTGTATCTTTCCACCACGATGTCCGGGGACCTCGACACATCCTGGGCTGCATAAGTCACTGCCCATGATGAACTCGCACTTTCAACCTCGTCTCTCGCATCTCTCATTCCCAAGTTATGGCCTGGAACAATCCTCCTCGGTCTTCTGCAGCAAGGAGGAGGGACACATTGCTCCATATCTTTTCCTGATGACATCCTACCAGCCTGATATTCTACCATCCTAATCTATGGACCAACAGCTCGGACTCGCACCAAAAATATCGCTGCTCGCTGCTCTGGATCAAAAGTTATGGTCCTGTCTTTGAGGTACAAGGGGTGGAGGGCAGGAGGGGGAAGGTGAGCTCATATCTTTTCCTGATGACATTCTACCGATGCCATATTCTATTATCCCGATCTATGGACCAATAGCTTGGACTTGCACCAAAAATTTCACTGCTCGCTGCTCTGGATCAAAAGTTATGGCCCTCTGTTGGTCTCCAAGCAGGCAGAGGAGGTAATCCGCCCATATCTTTTTTTGCATCGCACCGCCTGGAGTCCAGCCTTTGTCACCTCACTCTACCCCCTCACAGCTCGCTCCTGCGCCACTTATTTCGTCTCCCGGCTCAAAACTGCTCAACCTATGCCCCAAACTTCACTCTGGGCAGCTTAGAGAGGGAGGAGGAGGTAATCCGCCCATATCTTTTTTTCCATCGCAATGCCTGACCTCCAGCTTTTGCCATCGTACTCTGCACACACATAGCTCACTCCTGCTCCACTCATTTCGTCTTCCTGGCCAAAACTGGTTGATCTATGCCCCAAAACCTCACTCTAGGTAGCTTAGAGAGGGACTCGAGGAGAAGGTCCATCCATATTTTTTTTTCAACGGAGCGGCTGGCTAACAGCTTTTGTCACCTCACTCTACACACTGACAGCTCGCTTTCGCAGTACTTATTTTGTCTCCTGGGCCCAAAACTGGTCAACTTATCCCCAAAAACCACATCCTGGGTGCCTTAGAGCATGAGGAGGAGAAGCTGACCCCTGACCGTTGTTATATTACTCCATGATCATCTTGGTCCATCCAACGCTACCTAAACCTACAACCCAGTTCTTGGTAATTGAACTTTTGATCCTAACTCGTGTATTCAGTTGTTGCATGGTTAGGCTGCTATCGTTCTGTGCATCTGGATTACATTCGGCCTCAGTCTTTTAGCATTAGGTTGGTTAGATGTTTAGGACTCGGCTTTCACATCCATCTTTTTCGTCAAGAATCCTTTGCTCGTGTTTTCTTGATAACCTGGTTGACCTCGGTTCTTCTCCTTATCTTTGTCTCAGTTATCCTCATCAACCTCCTAATCATCGTCTTGATCATTGTTCCATCTTTGTCTCTGCCTCCCCTCTACACTCCGGTACACTCACGCTCGCTTAAGGCACTCGTGCGGCTTAGACTCTTAGAGTCTCGATACATAATCTCATTCAACTCCCCCGCTATATCTGTAATTGACTCTACTATGCGAGTCTTGTTGCTGGCTGACATGAGTCTCATCTGCGACTCTTAGCTAAGGGTTTACCCCGAATCTGTTCCATTGTACTACTCTCATTCACCCTTGTACTCCTCTCTTCACCCGTGTTCTCCATCTCAAATCTTACCGCCATTTCATTCCCCTCTTCCAATTCCCCAAATCACCTGCGTTTTCTCTTCCCTTTCCATCTTCACACGCAGCCGTATATATTTTTGGAAGATAGCTCATTGTCATATAGCAGTTTTTCGTCAGTCGTTGTTTGTATACTTACGACATACCTACATAACATCGTGAAGGGCTTCGTGGATCAAGCCCCCCAATGGGGATGGTTCTATCTATGTCTCGCTCGGTACTCAGTTTTAGTTTGATTATGATTGAAGTTGGGGTACATAAGCGTGGCGGCGGTGGTTCTTGTGCCTCTACTAGTCCACTTGCTTGTGAAGTGGGCGGTCTTATCATCACATCTCAGGTCCTGAAGGTCAGACGTCCAAGGTCAGTCACGTTGTGCATGACCTGATTCTTCACCTATCAAGCATTCCGAAGCCACACCGTTCTCCGTTCATCATACCCATACATTCCCGCAGTCCTCAGCGATTGTCAATTTTGCTTGGTATCCTGGGGCATCATCCAGCAACGCTCCAGCATTCTGTTTTGTTGCTTCTGTGCGTGACTGTCCGGTGAAACTTCTTGATGCCTCGGATGCAAGGGTAGTGCACCTGCTATTTTTGTGCGTTTTCGTTGGACTGCTGATCAACTCACTAGCTGAGAGCCTCTCACCCAATTGTTGATCATGGTGAGAGGTTCATCGCTCCTCATAATCTCGTGTTCAACTTGACAGCAGATAAGTAAGTCTTTCATGGAACTTATGTTTGATAATGATCATCATGGGAATTCTAGGCTATACTGTGGTTTTGAAGATGCCATCGAGATCTTTGACATTCAACATCCTGGGGAAGGCGATCGGCTTCCGACCATACCTTCTGAGAAAAGTAAGGATGGACTTAAAGACACAATGTCTGATTTGGTACTTTGGATGAATGCTCACTGAAATTCAGGCATCATATCCAGTATTGCATTCTCCTCCTCTTATGACTACTACGCAATCGGCAGCCTAACACCTCCCTGACAAGCAATGTATAAAATTGTGTTGTATTCCGAGCCAAATAAAGTAGCCATCATGCCTATAGGAGGCACAAATGCTCAGTCCGGAGTTACGCGGGCATATTTATATCTGAAGCATTAGTAGTTCATGCTGAGCTCATTCCCTACAGCTGAATTTTCATCCGACAAAACCGCATATCCTGTATGCTGCATTTCGGCGACATGATGAAATATGTGCCTGGGACCTTCGCAGTGATACATCCATACCTGTACAAGTCCTCAGGACGTCCCCTGATTCTTGGACCAATCAGAAAATCGAATTCGACATAGACTGCACTGGGAGATGGTTGAGCGTTGGTGATCAGGTACAGTACTTTCCCAGATGTCGGACATTCAGGCTCCCTGGCTAACAATTTGGTGATAGAACGGACATATTTCGATGTTTGACCTTGGAGATTCTGATGAATTGGATTCTGAACAATTGTCAGAGATGTCACCCCAGAATATGACCCCAAAGTTGACTTTCAGCACACACAGAGGCCAGTATACCAACCGCTCATGCGTATTTCTTCCGTGACTAATTTGGTGACCAAAGATGTGGTGGGCTGCATGGCTTTTCAGCCCCTGCATTCTAACCTTCTATCGGCATCTGGCTCACGCCATTTTGATGGAGGCATGAAGGAGATTGATTCTGATAGTTCTGACAAGGAGCATTCAACAGACCAAGAGTCAGATTCTGAGAGCCAGAACATGATCACTAAGTCGAGGTGCCGACGGCTTCCATATGTCAAGGACTCGTCTCTGAAGCTGTGGTCTTTCAACCCAACGCAGGTTGTACATCACACACATGATTGATACTTGCTTTACAGATATGTTACATAGATGCTGCCACTGCCTAGCTCGCCCATCTCACCCATCACGCAGGTGGTTGGCCAACCATATAATACAGAGGAGGACATCAATTGAACCACATGTTCAATTACAATGCCCTTGAATCTACGGGACTGACAAGTGTCATCTTAACCCACCCTCTCTGAGTATTTTATCTTTCTCGACCTCAATCCTCACAGTGACCTTGTCGAAAACGGATATCGTCACATCAGGTCGCCCAATATCAGATGAAGGGACACTGATGGTGTAGCTCTCCGCATCAAACTGCACGTCCCACTTGAACATCACCAGACCCTCAAGTCCAATCATAGTCTGATGGAGAAATGTGTTACACGTGTACATGTGATGATTAAGTGAGTGGATGTAGTATATGGCGCGCTTCAAATCTTTACCTTTAATTTTTTTTCTCAGATTACCTCAAGCACAGCACTTTAGCAGTCCCTTGTGAACACTTCCCTGACAAGGGTGGTGCGCCCTGGAGTCATCCAGGGATCTTCATCTTACCTCCTTTCTCCTGTCAAGGAGAGAGTGTGAATGAACCGACTGAATCTGATATTTTTGCCCAGATCCTGGCATACCCTCATCAATGTCATTCGTTATTGGCATTGCAGCAAGGTCACGTTCTTCAGGCATGGAGGTCGCAATCAGTCCCCCCAGCAACAAAATCCTCAGTAAATTGCATCCAGGTTGTGAGAGCACCCTGCATGGATCTCACTGGAGCTGTCTCCGTTTTTTTGCAGTCACAGTATAGCCTTCCTGTGATGCAGCTCGCTGTGATTTCAGGACTTTGACCTTTGACCTTTGCAGAATGATTTTGGGGAAGTGAGGCATTATCTGGCGTGTTATTCTCTTTATTGAGTTGTAGAGTTGCACGGGACGTCGAAGCTGCTCCTTGTTGACTTTAGAGCGCTGTTTTTTTGAAGGTCCAGGCTGTGCTTAGCGCACCATTTGGTGTTAAGAGGTTGTTATGAGATTTAAAATATCATGTCTATGAGAAAACGAGGGTTGCCAGTGCATACAAGAAGTAGGCGCATGTCGTGGCATAAGCGCACAATTACAAATTCTAACCTGAAACTATCGTGCAGAAGATCTATCCATCAACTTTCGCCTGCAAATACTTGATGTGAAAGTCTCTTCTCTGGTACACAGTGTCTAGTTTCACTATTCCTATGTGTATTGTAGTGCGGCTGGCTTATATAAGCATTATTGTTTGTTGGTAGGCATTGCCCACCACTTCTACTCTGTTTTTTATATGCACCTAGAATGGCCCCAAGACATAATATTCATATTCCTGCTGCCATTAAACTGGGAACATTGTGTTTTGCTCCTGGCCAGTGCGATATCGGGAGTCTGACTGCTGGGACCCAGCCGTCCTCTTCTATTGATGCTACCTTGGATCATGGCATGGCTGGAGATGCTATCTTCCTTCCGATTGCTCAAATCGCTGCGACATCTTCTCCTAATGACCCACTTGGCACTTGGTGTCATTTGTGTTGTGACGCTTGCGACTCAACATCCTCTCATCTGTGCGTCAACTGTGCTGCAGTCATATGTCATCAAACAAGGCCAGGTGGTTCAGGTTGCATCGGCCACAACTCGGTTCCAAAGGGCTGGGCATTCCTCTGTCCACTTTGTGTGAGAAGCATTGATGGAGAGGAGAGGAGTTTGCCATACACATTCATCGGGCTGTGGATGTGTACAAGGGCGAAGATGGTGTGGCCTGTGTGCGTTGTGCACATCATGCTGGACTCGATGAAAATTGAAGACCACTACCTGAAGCACCTTGTCAACAATGACTTGGTGAATCATTACAACAAATGTCCATGCAATGTAGGCCATTATAATTTACATACACTCTGGATGCTAATGCACATACCATAGTTGTCCACCACGACCCTTTGCATGAAGGCAAGAGAGAATAAGACTGAAGTGCGGAAGATGAACCCCGCCACGGAATTTGTCATGCGGAGTGTGCTGATTGGCAAACCCAGCAACATGTTCATCATCATGGACAGCCGCTCGGACGAATATGCTAGTGTATTGCAGTACACCTCCGGGGCCATCACAGTAGCTGAGACGGTAAAGTCCTATCTGGGTCAGCCATTCCTAATGGCCATGAAGAGCGTTGTATTGTTTGCGAGGCAGGACAACACAATTGAGACCACGATCAATGGTGGGACGCCTTGGTGCAATACGACAGCCAAGGCAAGGGGTGGTCGGCGGGGACTGTTCCTCCTCACATCCGGTCCTGCAATGTGGGTTAAACGCTACTTTGAGGAAGTGCTGACTCTGGTCAAGGAGTGAGTGTGTTTTATTTACTTACTCCCACACAGTTCACCGACATCTCTCATAGGGATATATTTGATTTCATCATCGGATTTCGAGGAGGGTCGGAACTCCCTGGGTTTGTCGGCCCTGCAGTGCTAGGATTCATTCGCGCAGCTGCACTTTTTGGTTTCACTGATGTGTGGGAGTCAGTTTGCAACTTGCTCGTAACTAATCTGGATGTCCTGGAGCACACCACCGTCATCGTGGTCTATGCCTCCTATGTGGACGGGAAGCACAAAGTAGAAAGTCGGGAGGTCGCTAAGCATCACCCGCCGTATCGTGCATTTGGTTACGACTTCAGCGCATGTGTGAATGAAGGTTGCCATCCCTCGGTGACCAACAATAGGGTGTCTGCGATGGACAACAAGGTTCAGATCACATGTGCCAAGTGTCAGTGGAAATCAGCATGGGTTGCTACTGACAAGGAAAATGAGTATTTCTTCTGCGTCAACCCAATCACTGCCCCCTTGCTCTTCTGGCACCATTTCCCTCCATCTCCTGCACTAAACACTCTGTTTGTGGATGCAAAGCCAGATACGGTTTCAAAAGGTGAGAAGGAGCAAAGAAATGCTGGTGCTACTGATAGCACATCATCTTGGGGTCCTGAAAAATGCCGCAGGCTTTCTGCCAGTATGGAAGGGTGATATATTAGGGAAGGGTCACCCATGACGTGCTAATTATTTGAACACATTCACCCCTGCACATCATGATTATGGACAACCTCTCAAATGACACATTGTAGCTGTGCTGTACCTTTCATTTCTCTTGGCCTTACTTCTGCATATCATCTTAATGTTTCATACTGGCACGGAGAATCTGTCGTGATTTCTTTGTGTCTTTGTGTCTTTGCCTTTATGGCATATGTTCTGTAGTCTGTGATCGATGCAGAATACAAGCAATGGCATTTTGAAGCCGGCATCTCAAAACCAAGCACTCCCACTAAGGTAGAAGTTATGCTAAAGCAACGAACCTCACGTGATATGTGTTACAGAAGGGTGACAAAATGCAAATCAATGATTAAGTAGCTGTAGAGCTCAGTCTTGTAGGATTTGCAAAGATGGCATTGACGAGAATCAATCCACACACGAGCTTATCTTTTCAGAACTACGAAAAACAAACTAGCGAGTGATATAATTAATGTCCAATGAAAGCATGCTCCTGGCAGAGTGTGAACTGAAAGTCCGACAGAGTGTGCCGCAAAGCCATAATGGTGTCAACCGTTGTGATAGCCTTGCTGCATGGAGAGCATCCAAACATGCAAAGATTCAGATAAGTTCTGATTTTGAGTCGGTCACCGAATCTATTCGAGTCATTCTTTCTCAACTTTGTGCACAGTATTTACAACATTGATAGCACAAGCTACTTATACTACATAGTTTTCGGTATTCGCATAAGTACATACAGTTCTCGCATAGTACATACACTAGTTCCCAGCACATACATTACTTACATTGCATAGTATACAACTACAGTCCCTACTCCGCTCATTGGTAGACTTGGGTGGAGTGTATGGTGGATGTTTGGTTACACTTCGACTTTGCCACTAAGCCGGACAAATGTTCAATGTCTGATAAGTGTTTGGTTTGAGTATTGTCATTTATTTCATTTATTTGATTTTATTTGATGTATACTTTGCATATATTCTGTGTCTGTGTTCGTCTTCCCTCCCCTTAACTCACTGGCATCATATATCGCACCTCTCTGTAGCCAGTATGTGCAATGTCTAGTAGTCATACCCGTCCAAACCCGTTCGAGGACTCCCGATGCTGAACAATGGACACCATTGCCTTTGGTCGTGTTACCATCGCAGCGCTGTTAGTACTAGTAAACTATCTGCTCACAAAGCTCAGTGAGTCCTCATATCTCACGTAACAGTCTCTTTGGTGTAACTAACGTTCAAGCTTTCATCTACTTTCAGATGCATAGGGACACAGGGAGAACATTCTATAAGCTGGTTGTATGTCTATGCTGTCTTCTTGTCAGTTCAATTCTTGATGCCATGTCAGGTCATTTGCCTTTGGTATATATCCCTTTGAGTTTCTATCATTGAGCGCGTTGAGATTATACCGTGCCCTAAAGGTCCGTACCAGGAAGTGTGCCCCATAATTCTTTCCAGATTATTAACAAAGATAAAATATCATGAAAAGGCCATTAGAAGGATTGTCATGGGCTCCAGCAACAAGTTGCGACATGCTGAACACATCAACATGAGCACTTATGGTACATTGTGTTTATGGAAAAATGTGCTTGTGGCTGAGGTTTCATTCTTTCAAGGGGCTATTGCACTCTGAAAGACTTGCATACTGACCTCTTCGTCCTACCACTTTGCTTCACACATGATTTTTGATCATATCACCTCTGTGCACGACCATACAAGAACAGAAATTTTATTACTGGTCATTTTCATACCAAACTACTCCCTACATACCCTGTATTTTCCCCAATAATGATCCAAATAAAATTCCATTCTTGTAGCAACATTTGAGACACTAGTTTTAACACCTTTCGCTGTGAGACTGCCTCGTTTTTGTTGTGTTTTCAGTACACAGACATTTCAGTCATTCTGAATGTGTATTTGGCTGTGGCAGTGCTGTGGGAACAGGTCAGGTCTTTGGTGGGTATTGCCCACCACCATTGCAGAGGAGAAAAAGTGAAATTATGGATCGTATCAAGTAGTCTTCTAGTAGTATACATACAAGTCTACAATTATTTGAACTGTTCAGAATCACACTTTGTTTTGGGGGGTGACATAATATTTTTTTGGGGTGACACTACTGTATAATTTCGAGCTTAGGTTTGTCACACTGTAGCTATCTTGACGAACTGAACCTATTTTTTGTGACAGTCACAGCTGTTTTTGGGTCGACAAACCTAATTTTGTGACATAACATATGATATGTTTGTTTTGAGATATGTTTTTTTATGAAAACATTTACCTAACCACTTTTTTCCATTCCTTATTGTCATTTTTGGGCTATACTCTGTGTAGAAAGTACATATATTATCCTACTGAACATGTATATATGAACCTTAGGAACTTATTGTAAGTTTGTCACAGTTGTCCTCGAGAGATGAACCTGTCACAAAGGCATTAGGTAATGCAGTGCAGAAACTCCCATGAACCTAAGGTCGAAATTATACAGTATTTGATTTTTTTTGGGCAGGCACACATTTTTCTCAGTGGGGCACACATTTTTATTTTGGGGGGACACAAATAATATTTGTGCAAATTCAACAGCATACATCAGGGCATTTGCACACCCAGAGATGCAATTAGGGACACATCTTGCCTAGGTCCATCCCTGGCTTAATGAGGTTACCCTTGGGTGCAACCAATGCTAGAGAGCAACACTGGGTGACAAATACACTGCCATTTTCAAGGATGTCCCTGTTGTGTAGGAAGGTGAAGAATGACTGGTGGATGTGCAATACCTGACCTTTACGAGACTGTAAAAGTTTTAAATTGCAGGGTTATTATAGGCCATAAGAAAGGACTGACCTCTCCTTCAATTTCCTTGACATTGTCTTGTACACAGAGCTTGTGACTTTCATAGTCCGTAGCAATGGCACAGTTGGAGTTCCACCACATTGATATTTGGTGAGGGTTGCACCAATTGTACTTGACCATTCTGATCAAGAACACAGAAGGAGTCTCGCTCAGTTTTGAAAATGACACCGACAGTCTGCAAGCTGTACACTAGTGATCAGATAAATACATGCCGAGATGCTGGGTAATTGACTTACTCAAGCTGGACCAAGTCGTGCAATTCATAATTGCCAACAATGTTGGTTCCAGAACCGACTTCAGCAGCCTCACGCAGATCTTTGGAGAACACGGAGACCTGAATATATGTGAATATCAGTGAAACAACAACCAATGGAGTTCCACCCACCTCCTGCATGGACATATCTGATAGGAAAGTCACCACATTGTCTGTTACCGAGATGATAAGACCTGTCTCGTTGTCATGAATTCCAAATATGAACCATTTTTCTTTCCTCAGTTTCCCTTCGGCTACTTCCAGAACCCGAACCAGTCACGTGACTCATCACCCTGTCACACCTTCACCTCTTCACATATCACCCGTAGTTTCTCTGATTGGCTCCCCTACTCCACAGGCTAGAACAATCTTGCTTCCCAAAGAAGAACCGGTCGGAGCTTGGGTTTCTATTTAGTTGCCGTATTACTCATTTGCTTATATATCATGACATCATACTTAGTCATCCACAGTATCGTACGACTCTTTTTTCATTGGCTGATTTCTTTCAGACTCCTATTCAATGTTATGTATATAAGTAGGTTAGTTAGTGTAAGTACTCCTTAGACTTAACCTCTTTGTTTCCTACACTTGTAGTGACTTAGATGTTCATGCTCAATACCATCTTGTTCGCTATCCTCTCTGACCAAGTCCTAGTGGTTGTGTGCTTGCCTTCATCATTATTGGTGAACATTGGTCATAACATTAGGTTAAGTCTTCTTACCACTCCGACTCGAACTTTATCTTGGACGTCACCGTTCTCAATAAACTTCATCGTGCTATTCTGCCGAGATTTATCTCGTGGATTACATTTAAAATCAATCACCATTCCCCGACGCGTTTGTTTATATCAATCTCTTTACATTACCTCTTTAGTAGAAGTAAACCAGGCCCTCGTCTTACTACGAGCTGCCAGTTGATAAGGATCAGTGACACTTAGGTCCTGTTTCCACACGTCTGCAGTTAGGCCCAAAACCCTGCCAACTGTACACTACATATCTGCTTTCTACGTAACAGAATGGCACTCGCAACTGTCCTCTCACAGTCTAAATACTTTACGATAGGAACCTAGGGTGCTAAAAGTAGACCCAAAAGTTCACCGCGTCTTTTGCGAACTCCTCTCGAGTTCTACATAGGTTGACAAACTGCTACATGTGTTGCATTCGCACCTTTGTCATCATTGCCCCGCCATACAGATCCCGCCTAGTCGAGGCTAGGGCTTTCGCACTGCACAACAATGTTTCCTGTTTGGATTCCCATTGCTCCTTCTTCCATGTCCGAGAATCTAGGAGAAACTGGGATCGTCGCTTCAGAGGATATAGAAGTGACAACGGCTCCGCCAGCAATACCAAGAGTATCAACTCCACCAAGGGCTGCAATCCACTCTCCGGCCCCACAAGGATGGATCAACCCATTAGGCCCATTGGCATCTGCAGGACAATCCACCACCCCAACCGCAGGCCCTTCTGCACCCTTCAGCATCTCCGGGCCTGGACAGAGTACCATCACCCATCAGGACATTTCGTGTGCAATCAACGCCGTCGTCATAACAGAAAGAGAGTACACCAGACACTTGATAGACAGTCTGCAGAAGGAGATCGACGAGCTGCAAGCAGGCCTGGTACACGTGGACGATGAGATCGACTACCTGAAGATCAGGTTGAGGGAGTCAGAAAACAAGATCATGGATTTGGAAATCTTGTCTACAACAAAGATCCCAGGCTCTACATCTGGGATTTCAGGCTCTGATCTCAAAATGGCGAAACCAATGGACTTCACAGGAGAAAAGAACTCCATTGATGTCGACACTTTCCTCACTCAGCTCGAAATCTACTTCACAGGTTACCCTGCAGCAATGGAGCAACAAAAGTGTACCTGTCTCCTTTCCTTCTGTCGTGGTGCTGCAGCAAAATGGGCGGAAAGCATTACCCCCATGGCTCTCAGCAGCCAGCCCGGGTCCTATAACAGCATCGTCAAGGACATGAAGGTCATGTGGACCATCGTCAACAAGGAAGAGAAGGCAGCAAGAGAGTTGGAAGCTCTCTGACAAGGCAATCGTACAATCAGGGAGTATATCTCCATCTTCCGCCAGAAGCTCACCTTCTGTCACTTCTCTGACTACGAGTTAATGCTGCAAACTCCGCTTTGGATTGGACCAACGAGTTAAAAACTATTTGGCCAATATCCATCCTAACAGGAAAGACACCCTGGAAGGATTGATCAGGGAGGCACTCCTAATCGGGCAGAACCTCGAGGAACTTGATGATGAGAGGAAGATGAACTTCGCCCCACGACGACCTTGGCAAGGCTCAGCTGCACCACCCGCACCAGCTGGAGCACCCAAGACCATGTCACAGGGAGGAAACGCCATGGACGTTGATGCAACCAGGACAGGAGGTAGACCCTGACCTCAAGGAGAACCAGGAGGTGTTTTCAAGTGCTACCGCTGTGGAGAAGAAGGGCATATGGCTTGTAACTGCACCGGAAAGCCCCTTGACAAAGGCAAAGGACCAGCTGTCCACGCTGGCAAGGTGGAAGAAGTTCCAGCAGTGAAGGCACTCACATTGGAAGATATCAACCGCATCGTTAATGAGAGGATCTGCCTCTCCAGCATGTACAACCCAGCGAAGAAAGAGGAACAAAAGGGTTTTTAGGAGGATCGAAGTTGACTGCGAACTTAGATCAAAATAATCGTTTTTCCATTCTCGGTGACTTGGCAATTATGTTTGCAGAAGTATCAGAAGTTTGTTCTGGGAATAAACGAGACCATTTCTACTTGCCAGTTACGTTGGAAGGAAAGCACAAGAAAGCAGCTGTCAAAGCTCTAGTAGACTGTGGAGCGACAAATCTCTTCATTAGTGAAAAGTTTGTCAAGAAAAATCAAGTCCAAACTAAACAGTTGTTGCAAGCAATGTTGATCCATAATATTGATGAAACAGACAATTCCGCTGGCCCAATTACGAGTTACACAGATTTAAAGCTTACAATAGGGGATCATGAGGAAGAAGTGGCCTTTCTAATCACAGATCTAGGAACTGATGATGTCATCATTGTGATAGATTGGCTACGATACCACAACCCTAGTATCGATTGGAATGCAGGAAGGGTGGCATTAGACTGTTGCCCAGTCAAGTGTCAAGAAGCCAAGGTCAAGGACATAAAGACCAAGGCGAAGAAGCGAAAAATCACGAACTCTTCGATCCTTTCAGTGTTGCCCAATTTGATACCGGCAGAAGATGATGAAGATGAGGATATTGAGGAAGCCTCTATCCATCATCAGGTTCAGTCAAATAGCTTCAATTCTCAATCGCAAGGACATGTGGGTACTATACATGTCAGGCTTGAGGATGAAGAACAATCGGACCTTGCTACTACTGTTGGACACGGAGCTACCAAGAATCTGCCTACAATCGAGGAGGTGGAGGATGAAGATTCATCACAGAACGTGTGGATCAGGTACAAAAGCTCTGTAGCATCAGAGTTAGCGCAGTAGGAGGAGAAGAAGAAGAAGGAAAAGAAGCCCATAGAGGAAATGGTGCCAGACTGGCTCCATGACTATCTTAAGGTCTTCTCTGACGAAGAGTCTACTTGATTCCCTGAGTCTAAGAAGTGGGATCATAAAGTAGATCTCAAGGATCCTAATGATCTTCCTCCTAACGCGAAGGCATATCCCCTGTCCCCCACCGAAAATGACGCATGTGAGAAGTGGCTGAAGCAAGAATATGACTTGGGACGACTGAGAGATAGCGAATCTCCAGTAGCAGCTCCTTTCTTCTTTGTTGCTAAGAAGGACAGAAAGCTCAGACCCGTCATGGACTATTGGAGGTTGAATGAGAAAACCATCCGAAATGCATATCCTCTCCCTCGTTCTCAAGACCTCATCGATCGTCTCTCCGGTGCAAAACTCTTTTCGAAAATGGACGTTTGATGGGGTTACAATAATATTAGAATGAAAGAAGGAGACCAGTGGAAGGCTGCCTTCAAAACTCCTTTTGGACACCATGAACCAGTTGTGATGTACTTTGGCATGACGAACTCCCCAGCTACCTTCCAAACTATGATGGACCAAATCTTCCAAGATCTAAAGGAAGGTAAAGTTGTTGTAGTCTACATTGACGACATCTTGGTCTTCACCAACGGTGATGTAGAGAAACATCAGAAGGTGGTGCGTGAGGTACTACAGAGACTGCAGGACAATGATCTCTATCTCAAACCAGAGAAGTGTTCCTTTGAAAAGAAAGAAGTGGAGTTTCTCGGTTTGATCATCAAGGATGGACACGTCTCAATGGATCCGGTCAAGGTTAAGGGAGTTCAGGAATGGCCCACTCCTACCTGTGTAAAGGATATTCAATGATTCATGGGATTTGCAAACTTTTACCGCCGATTCATTCTCGGTTTCTCGAACATTGCCAGACCCATGAATGAACTCATTAGAAAGAATGTACCATGGGAATGGACGGACAAACAGGAGACAGCTTTCAAAACTCTGAAGGACAGTTTCACTTCCGCACCAGTACTAGTCATGCCAGATGCAAATAAAAAACAGAAGATAGAGAGCGACACATCTGACTATGCTACTGGTGGTGTACTTTCTCAGTTGGAAGAAGATGGACTGTGGCACCCAGTGGCTTTTTTTAGTAAATCAATGCAAGATGCAGAGTGTAATTACGATATTCACGACAAAGAACTTTTAGTTATCATCCGTGCATTGGAGGAGTGGAGGCATTATGTGCAGGGCACACCTCATCCGGTAGAGATCTGGACGGACCATAAAAACCTCGAGTACTTCATGACCAGTCAGAAGTTAACTCGTAGACAGGCGAGATGGTCCTTGTTCCTTGCAGAGTACAACTTCACTCTGCAACATAAACCGGGAAAGGTTAACGACACTGCCGACGCTCTGTCCAGGAGGCCAGACCACAGAGGGGGGGTAGAAAACAACAATTCTGATTGCGTGCTTTTAAAACCCGAGTTTTTCCACATTAAAGCCGCAAAAAGAGGTCAGATTCTGATAGAAGGAGAACATTCGCTGTTAAAGTGTATCAGAAACTGCACCGACTTAGATCCGGAAGTCTGAAATGCTATTGAAACTCTGAAGAAGGCCCTGTGCAGTTGAGAAGAGGATTGGAAGAGTGGAATATGGAGGATGGACTTATTCTGTTCAGAGGAATGGTTTACATTCCCAATAACAAGGAAATATGTCGCTCAGTGCTAGAGATCTTCCACGACTCGCCTGCAGCAGGACACATGGGACATGCCAAGACTCTTGAACTTGTCTCGTGGAACTATTGGTGGCCTCAGATGCAGAAGTGGGTCAATGACTATGTAGATGGATGTGATCAATGCAAGCAAATGAAGGTGCTACCGTCGAAACCCCATGGACCTTTGAAGCCAAACGAGATTCCAGAAGGGCCATGGCAAACCATTAGCTGTGACCTCATCACCAATCTACCCATCTCCCAGGGCAAAGACAGTATTTTGGTAGTTGTTGATCGTTTCACAAAGCAAGTGCATCTTGCTCCAACCACCAAGGATGTTGATTCCAAGGGAGTCGTGGACTTATTTCTAAATCACGTATGGAAGTTGCATGGGACACCGAATAAGGTGATCTCGGATAGGGGAACACAGTTTGTGTCCAAGTTCATGCAGGAAGTCTCGAAAAGACTAGGAACCAAGTGGTCCATGTCAACAGCATATCACCCACAGACTGACGGACAAACGGAACGAGTCAATCAAGAAGTCGAACAATACCTATGACTCTTCATATCCTACCGTCAGAATGATTGGGTTTCTTGGCTTCCAATTGCTGAATTCACGCATAACAATTCAGTAACCATTACTGGACATTCCCCATTCAAATGTGTCTACAGCTATAATCCCGAGTTCACGATTTCCCCTAATTCTTCCAACACAATTCCCCATGCCGATCAGAGATTAGCCAAGATGAAGGAGGCACAAGAAGAGATGAAGGCGATGCTGAAAATAGTGAATGATCAAATGAAGCACTTTTATGACCATAAGGTAAAAAACACACCAGAATTCAAACCAGGTGACAAAGTATGGTTAGACGCGACAAACATCAAACAACACCGTCCGAGCCAAAAATTGTCCGACCGCCGTCTTGGACCATTCGAAATTGAAGAGAAGACTGGCGAGCTAAACTACAAGTTGAAACTCCCTGTTAAATATCACGTCCACCCAGTTTTCCATGTATCGCTACTCACCCCATATCAAACCTCTCAACTCGTTGACCACCCACCTCGAATGCGTCCACCTCCGGAGATTGTTGACCAAGTCCCAGAATATGAAGCAGAGCAAATATTGCAAAGCCACCTATACAGACGCAAGTTGCAGTATTTAGTAAAATGGAAAGGATATGCAGTAGAAGAAGCAACATGGCAGTCAGAGGAAGATGTGAAGAATGCGCCACTCATTGTAGCCGACTTTTATGCAGAAAACCCCAATGTGGTTAAATCGGCGCGGATCTCCGCTTCAATTTTGACAACCCCTGATTTCCTTGAATGGAGACAGAAAAATATACGACCATCTTACATTCGCGAGGACGCTCATCTTAGAAAGGGGGTAATGTCACGAATTTAAAATACAAACCATTTTTCTTTCCTCAGTTTCCCTTCGGCTACTTCCAGAACCCGAACCAGTCACGTGACTCATCACCCTGTCACACCTTCACCTCTTCACATATCACCCGTGGTTTCTCTGATTGGCTCCCCTACTCCACAGGCTAGAACAATCTCGCTTCCCAAAGAAGAACCGGTCGGAGCTTGGGTTTCTATTTAGTTGCCGTATTACTCATTCGCTTATATATCATGATGTCATACTTAGTCATCCACAGTATCGTACGACTCTTTTTTCATTGACTGATTTCTTTCAGACTCCTATTCAATGTTATGTATATAAGTAGGTTAGTTAGTGTAAGTACTCCTTAGACTTAACCTCTTTGTTTCCTACGCTTGTAGTGACTTAGACGTTCACGCCCAGTGAAAATTGACAAGAAACAGCCTGATATGTGGCAAAACAGGTCGAAGTAGATAATGAGGTAGATAGAAATCTAAAAAAATTGAGACGAGAAATGCTCAATTTTGTGCAAAATGCAAACAATCTTTGCTGACATCAAAAATGCAAGAATGGTGTTGTAATTTGCACAGTGCGTTCGACAAACTTAGCATTTGCGCAACATTTGCGACATTGTTATGCTTACGTCATGCATACATCTTATATCATAATCATGCTTTGCACTTACTGATCGAAATTTCTCTAAGTCACCACATACCACACCATGGACAATCTCCAGGCTGGTATATACCGGCCACACGACACTGCCGTCGTTTACATCTGTGATTGCGATGTATGTCTCCAAAAGAACTGCGGAAAACCTAAGCAGGTCAAACGCACCGCATACTACAAGCATTGGCCTGGCAGACTTGCTAAACACAATCCTCCAAGTCTTCCTCCCTCTATTGTCCCATTGCTGCCACCCATACCTCTGAGTCTTGTAGCATCCGAACCTCTCACAGTGCCTGAACCGTCGTCAAGCAAGCGTCCAAGTCCATCTGAGACAGACGAACCATTCAGATCCAGTGGCAGCAAGAAATCACGTACCAAGGAGACATTTGGTCCGTCAGTATGTAGCCCGGCCTTGAATAGATCCAAAGTTAGTTTTGTGCCACTTTATTGTATATTGCAGTGCTCATTGTAGTACTAATCGCCGGTTAGGATATTGTACCCCCGCTGGAGCCACTAGATCCTCAGACTAAAGTCAGCAGCGCCGGATCTAGTCATATGTCTCGTGTTGATAATAATGGGATGGCCAACAGAGAATCTGTACCATCTCGTGATGGCATAGAAGGTCAACTCCTTTTCTTACCGTTTTAAAAATGCTCATGTCAAATAGATCATCACGATGATACATTTGATGCAGCCGGTCATGACTTCGGAGGGGCTGACTTTGGGCAAGGTCACATGACCTTACCTGTCTGATCGTGACCGAGACTCTGATCACAATCGAACTCAGATTTTCAGGTCCATAATAACGACAATGATGAGCTTGGATATGAGCGACAGGAGGAGCACCGGGAAGAAGTTAGCAAAGAGCGTGATTGTGATGAAGAGCGTGATGATGAACACAATGAAGAGCAGGAGGGAATTGGAAACACGGGTGGAGATGCAAACAACCCAGAGGATGAAGTCTGTCCTCAAACAATGGGGTGGACAGACGAGGACCTTGAGGAGCTCCACCATATGGCAAGACTCGATGACGCTCGAGACGCCATGACCTTCATCACAGCTCTACGAAAGGCATCCCTCAACGACCCACACTCTCGTTTGCCTGACAATGCAATCCATAGACTTCGACACCCTCCTCGAGAACTTCCCGATACTACCAACCCTGATCTTATACAATTGTTAAAGTACTATTTCGCTGACACTACGATCAAAGCTTACAATGCTATCCGTGATGCAACAATTGAATGGCATCCCGAGGATGATATTTACACCCATTATCGCATTCAATGAGCCATTGCAGAGCTCAGCGGAGTCATCCCGATCGTGCATGATATGTGTATCAATACCTGTCTTGCTTTCACAGGTCCCTTCGCCCACCTTGACCGATGTCCTAGATGCAGAGAGGACCGCTGGGACATGAAAAAGAGCACCGATCGCAAAAAGGTTGCATGTCAACGATATGACACATTTCCAGTTGGCCCCCAGCTCCAAGCGCTCTGGTGCCATCCTGACCAGGCACAAAAGATGCACTGGCATGAAGACCAAACAAAGAAGATTTTCAAGGAGCTGAAGACAACAGGTGGTGTTCCAAGCATATACGAAGATATTGTCCATGGAAAGGAGTACTTAGATGCTTGTCAGTCTGGAAAGATCAAGGACGGCGATTCTGTGTTGATGCTTTCAATTGACGGTGCACAACTCTATGAGTCGAAACAGAGTGATTGTTGGATATATATCTGGGTCATCTTTGATCATGCACTGGAGGAGAGGTACAAGAAGAAGTACGTCCTGCCAGGTGGTATCATTCCAGGTCTGAAAAAGCCCAAGAATTTGGACTCGTTTATGTTCCCTGGCCTGCATCATCTTCGAGCGATCCAGACTGAAGGCCTACTGATCTGGGACGGTGCAAGGGACATCCTATTTTGATCTAATCCATTTCTTTTCATTGCAACAGCAGATGGTCCCGGTATGGCTTTTCTTACGGGCCTCGTTGGCCATCATGGAAAAATGGGATGCTGGCTGTATTGTGGACTACCTGGGAGACATAAACCTGGTGCTCCTACGCATCACCCAGCCCTCCTTCAGCCTGATCTTCACCATCAACTATGCTGTGACCATCCTGATGTACCAATTGATCATCTTCCTGCAGCTGGATCATACAATTACCACGACAACATGGAACGACTGATTCGCTGCCAAACGATGGCACAATACGAGGCTGTATGACTTGAGACAGGTATTACGAAGCCCAGTATTTTCTGTGGCTTCAACGATCAACGTATCCTGCTCATACCTCATTGTTTTGGCTCCGACATCATGCATATTGCCGCAATTAATGCTGGCGACACTCTCATTCCGCTTTGGCGTGGGACATTTAGAGCTGACCCTGATGATGACAAATCTACGTGGCCTTGGGCTGTGTTGATGAAGGAGACGTGGAAAAAGCATGGCTCAACCATTGCTGATGCAACTCTGTTCCTACCTGGTTCGTTTGACCACCCACCTCATAATCCTGTGGAGAAAATAAACAGCGGGTTCAAAGCTTGGGAATGGCTGCTGTACCTTTATGGAATGGGACCAGCTGCTCTCTTCGGTGTTCTTCCAGATCCATATTGGACAAATCTTTGCCACCTCGTCAGTGGAATGTGCCTTATGCAACAATACCACATCACTCGCACCGATCTCATAAAGGCACATGAACACCTTCTGACATTTGTGCATGACTTCGAAACCATTTATTATCAGCACCATATTGACCGCCTCCACTTTGTCCGTCCATGGATACACTCGACCACACATATTCCATCAGAAACAATTGCAAAGGGGCCTCCAATTTGCTCGTCTCAATGGACGATGGAACGTACCATCGGCAATCTCGCTCAGGAGATTCGTCTCCATAACAGTTCCGTCTATGCTAATCTTTCCCGTCGAGCTGCCTGTCGATGCCAGATCAATGCGATTAAGGCCATCATACCGTCAATCGAACCAGAACAGAACAGCCTTCCGAAGGGGTCACAAGACCTCGGAAATGGCTATGTCTTGCTACGTCGAAGAGAACGGACTGCCCACCCTTTGCGTCCATGTGAAGCAGGTGCCATTCTCCATTACTTGTCAACCTGCAGGATTGATGTTACTGCAGCTCTGTCTGTAACACGGTGGGCTCGTGTTCGTCTTCCCAATGGTCAAGTAGCTCGTTCAGCTTGGAAAGAGAATGCTATGTCACAGCAACCTCATATCGCACGCAACATCAAGGTGAATATTTTTATATGCTCACCAGCTAGTGTTCTCATCCATTTTAGCTATCAATTGACGGAGAGATGAGCATCGCTGAAGTGTTATTCTACTTCAACATGACAATCCATGACGAAGCGAAGACCTTTGCACTTGTTTCACAATTTAGCCCCCCACATGCCGAACTCCTACGTTGCTCATTTCAAACTGTCATTGCATGTCACTATCATGGTGACACCTCATTAAAGCTCATTGAAGTTTCCGCTATTCAGTCTGTTGTTGCGATGGTCCCACATCGTTTTCCTGGCATTGATGACACCCTTTTCTACCTCATTGAATGGCCAGGGTTGGATATAATTCAGATGGGGGGTATCGAATGACATAGTAGCTGACGAGGACTAGTAAAACTTTGTATCTATCTCTAGCATTCAAAGCTGCTTGAGTTCGTCCTTCATCTTGCTGAACACCTCGAAAGCTATCATCTGTGCCCGTCCAGTCGTACCATCTCGCATCTTCTTCACGTGACATGTACTTCCAATAGATAGAGTTTGGGGGTGGCGAACTCGGTGTTGCAAAGAATGACTTCCTTTTGAGTGTAGTCATCGAAGCTGTCGAAGTTGAGAGGGCCAGTTCGATGTCGCTGCTCTCGGGTTCTGTCAAACTGTCAGGATTGTAAACGAGAGGCTGGATGGTTTTCTTTGGTGTATTTGGTGTCTGACTCGGAGGCTTGGGTGGTACACCGACATCACTCTCGGACTCTGTAATACTCTCAGGATCATTCTCGAGAGGTCGGACAGGCTGGACATGCTCCGGGGGTACATGAATGTCGCTTTCTGGCTTGGTAATGCTGTCATCATCGCAAACGAGAGGCTGGGTAACTTGCTTGATGATCTTAGGCTCGGGAAGGTCACCCTCAGATTCAGTTGTGCTCCCAGGGTCATAGTAGACAGGAAGGGGGGTAGTTCCAGTGGCTTGCTTGATGGCTTTTGGTGTGAGAGGTGCACTTTTGAGCTCAGTGTGACACCTGATAAATTTGTCTGTATTGTTACTATTGCAATTGCGAGATCTGATAAAAAAAACTTACATGAACATCCGGTGTCCCAACTAGTCCTCTTTCTCAGGATTGGCGAGCCAGAATGCAGGATTGAGAAGGACATCGTCTGATGGAGTCATGCAAGGTGAGTTGGAGCAGCTGTCTGATATACATTTGCTTCGACATCATAATAGTCCATATTAATTAGAAACATATTTCAATGAGTATAGAATGTACCTGGTATCTGCCTCATATCCTTCAAGATCTGGTTTAGAGGATATATCAAAAAAGGCCTGAACACATTCTGGTAGAACCATCGTCAACTTGCTTAAGCCCAGCGTGGCACACAGTAGCACCATGACGCTACTCAGTAGGTTTCCTTTTTTGTCTTTAAACAACCGTGCACCTTACCTCTATACTACCATCATGTCGTCCATCAACAACATGATTACAGCGATACCCTCTGCAGGATATTCCCACCTTTTACGAGCTCAGCTTAATCCGTGACAGTCATTTTCCGATGTTCTTGATATGGGCGTGTCCCGTCTGTTATATGCATGTGACACACTAGCAATATGGGATCCAAATACTAGTGTGAGTTAATAGTAACAATTCCGATGATTTGATAACAATAGCTCACCTTGAAATTTGATGGCGAGTCTTTTCACTCACAATCCAGCCTTCAATCAATGCTCGAGAATGAGCATCTGGCTTGCAGCGAGTCTGATACCAGTATCATCATGCAGCTCAAGCACGAAGTTTCCGAATTACAACATGCAGTCACCCGTCTACAAGCAGATAGGGCCATGCTTGTCAACGAGAACACTACTCTAAGTACCAAATGTGAAACCTTACAGTGAGTACTATATAATCAGCGCATATATGCAGTCAAAACATGTGATATAGGAATGTTATTATCAATATTCGAGGCTCCGCAAGCTCCGTCGTGTCAAATTCATCAGAGACCTCAAATAATACTAAAGACGAGCAAAAACCATGTCTATTGGACACAACCATGGACGAAGAATGCGATCGAGAGCTAGATCCCAAAGACTACCCACACTTGAAGTCATGGACAAAGCAGCAATGGCAGGAAGACTGTCCAAAAAGCACGTCAGCTGTTCCTGGGTCTGCTGCAAAATCATCTTGAGGATCCGCACGAATGGCAAAAGGCATCAACGTATCTTGCACTTACCTTCAGGACGAGCAAGGGAATCCTGTCTCTGCTCAGCGTGCCAAGGCAATCCAACAGCTTATGCTATCAAGCTTTCGTCAACTCGAGACACAAGGTCTCGCACCTGAATCAATTGGTCAAGCCTCATTGCAAGTTTTACGTTGGCTCACTCACACGCTATGCAAACAATTCCTCAAACTTTGTTTATGTGCTGATAACAGGAAATCCATGAAATTGATGATAGACAATTACTCTCAGTGGTATAACTACCATGTCAAGAGGAGAGGTACCAAACACATCAAGTCCGAAGATATCCCTCTTGCTGGCAACGAGCTGCGCGAGAGTTCTGTCAACACCCTACATTCCATATCTACGTCTGATCCCTTGTCTTCCCATGACTCCCTTGATCCTATGGTTGACCCGCTGCTTCAAGAACCACCAACTAAGAAACAGAGACTCGAGGATGCCAAGAACACCACCAGTGAAGTGCTCCTACAACTAGAGGTCACCATCCTGTGTTAATTGAGCCTCGCTAACAATGACATTCAGATCCCTTTACCACCTGCCGAAATTGACGAACCTGCGCTACCGTCCCTGTCCTTAGAAAATGAGAAGCAAACAGAGACTCTTAACATGGAGGTGCGTAGTTCTAACTGTGACATTTAAAAAATACTAACTGTTCACACTGGCAATAGGTCAAGAATCTGTTGTAAGTCATTTGAGTAATTACACATTCAATCACTGAAATTTCTAATAGGGCAGGATTTGTATTCAAACCCACCACCACAACATCCTTCACACCTACTCCCTTCTCGTCTGGTGCAAGTTCTACCAATACAATGCCACCCGGGCCTTCCAGGATGCCACCATCAGTGGCTGATGTGGCTTCACTTGCCGTCAACATAGAGTTAGTGGCAACAGAGAACACTATCACGAAGGCCGCGAATACGATTGTGAACACACAGCCCGTCAAGAAACGGCAGCCAAGCTTGAAGCCAATGTGAGTGGGGTCGAAGATCACTCTACGGTATGTTATCCTGGCTTCCCACTAGCAACTCGCACTGATTTCTCTCGTCTCTAGCAATATATGCGCCCTTGACTGGCAAAAAAACGGTCACCAGTGGGAGCTGGCAAGTGCATTTGCACTCTACTGGGACAACCTATCTGCTAGCATCAAGGAGGTAAGTACTGTCCATTCTCTCTTAGGGCACAGCTAACACAGCACACTACTAGGAGTACAAAAGCAAGGCAACTGCCCAAGTGAGTACAATCGTCCGAGATCCGAGTCTGGCTGCTAATCAGAGTTTTTTACAGGCTCATTCTTCTTCAACACAGCAGGCCGTTGATGGGGAGGACGCAATCAATGTTGACGAGTAGGAGTGGGTCCCTGCACAGTCCTAGGGCGGAGACAGGAGGGGGTGCGAGAGACGGGATGGCAGGCAGGGCGAGGACCAGCAGATACCCTACCATAACCTAATATCATCAATCCACAGCGATACCCACCTACATTTCATTCTATAGCATTATATTTGTATCGGTACCATTTTGAGTCCAAATTGAATCATTTTCAACGCATACATCGGGACGAAAAACCTATCGATAGACCGAAAATTCCTCTCGACCTCTATCTTTCACCGTCTTGAAAAGTGCCGTTTTTTTGAAAGACCTCGAAGCGCAGCGATAAAATTGACAGCCTCAATTTTCTTCGATGTATATTGTTTCATATCAGCCTGTTTCTGGTCGATTTTCACTGGGGTTCACGCTCAATACCATCTTGTTCACTATCCTCTCTGACCGAGTCCTAGTGGTTGTGTGCTTGCCTTCATCATTATTGGTGAACGTTGGTCATAACACTCGTCCACGTTCTGACCAGTCATTACCTTGACACTGTCACCTGGTTTGAAGTGTTTCTGCATGCTACGTGCAGGAACATCCACCTTCTGACCATCAATATCAACACCAATAGCTGTAACAGTCATGACATCTTGATTGATCAAATCGACAACACCATAGACACCAGACTGCTCACCATCAAATACCTCAACATGATCACCTGGCTGCAGCACAGCAATGGCAGCTTTCTGCAATGCCTCCGCAATGATCAACAGATCCACCAGATTTTCATTGTTGCCACCATCCTGCCTGTCAGGGTCAACACTGAGTAGAGGGCATGCCCTTTTGAATCTTGGGTGGGTATTCCTCCCCCCTGGCGCTCCACACCCACCTCCCAAGAATGTAGCAACTGACAACTGGACACCCTTTTGCAATTGTTCAGAATTTGAAACCGCAGAGTTCTTGTATATGAGAAATCAGATGGCAGCCAGTCAAATTGACCACTTACTGGATTTATGGGTGTCTACCCTTGCAAAGCACAACGACAAGCCGCCGTTTGGAGATCACCGCAATCTCTACAACATCATTGATAGTTCACCCTTTGGGAATGTGAAATGGCAAAAAATTATGGTCGCTTATGATGGTGAGAGACTCACAGATGATATCAAGCCCTGGATGGACGACAAATATGAAGTCTGGTTTCACGACCCATGCAAAGTCATGCACAATATGCTGGTGAATCCAACATATGCTAGTGAAATAAACTATCACTCATACCGAGAATATTCAACCAAGGGCGACAAGCGGCAATGGAAGGATTTTATGTCTGGTGACTGGGTGTGGGATCCAGCTGTAAGTGCTCTTTGTTTCAATGTCAGATAACGATGGCTCAATCTGTGTCTAGGATGAGATAGTGAAAGACCCAAGCACACTGGGGTCCACATTTGTCCCTGTCATCCTTGGCAGTGACAAAACAATGGTTTCGGTCAGGACAGGGAATAATGAGTATTACCCACTCTACGCTTCCATCGGGAACATCCACAACAGTGTTTGACGAGCCCATTGTAATGGAGTGGCAGTGATTGGGTTTGTTAAGGTTGTGCTCAAGGGAAGGGTTACTCAAAGGGCTTCGGCTTCAGCTCATGCGCTGTGCCCCTTACCTGAGTACGTGCCCTTAATTTCCGAGAGGCAGAGGGGAAGTCCGGAGGTCAGACGCAGGGGGAGTTCGGCAGAACTCCAGAAGGCTAGGAATGAACAGAGTAAGGCTACTGCGGACAAGTCTGGAGTAGAAGCGAAACAGAGTTAGACTACCCTAAGGTAGAGCCGGAGATATAGTCCTAAGGTTTAACCCTAAGACTCGGAGGTGGACGAGAGATCAGACTCAAGTCCGGAGAAGCAGGAATGAGCAGAACTAAGATGATATTTGAACTGAGGAGTACCGGAGTATTACAGGAGTTTATATACTGTAGGTATCATGTAAGTAAATCAGTCAGCAAAGTAAAAGCAATGTCCAAAGCATGTGGAAAGTCTATTAGTAAGTGTATAACGGATCAAAGCAGTGAAGTCGGAAATGAAGTACAAACGGACGGATCAGTAAGCAAAGCAGAGAGAGCATAACTGGTAGCCGGAGAACAGTTATTCTAAAAGGAGATAGTTGCGAGTACAGAGATGAAGGCGGAGCGCCGGACGGACAACAGGATGGAGGACCAGACTTTAGTAGGGGAGGTCCGGAATTCCGGATCCAGAGGTATGGGATATGACAGGGTTCCTTGCCATGCCAAAAAGTTTGTTGTCACACAAACTCGGAGGTCTATAACTAATTTACCAATCATGCAGCTACAAACGAACACACCAAAGAGCCGTTGTTCCAAAAATTTCGTCAACAACTATTCCACTCATCACTTTCAAAAATCCTCAACTCACTCAAACCAGGCATGACAACTCCCAAAGTCACGCAATTTGGAGATGGTCACTACTGGTGGGTTATATACGAACTAGGGCCCTACATAGTGGATTATGAGGAGCAGGTACTGTTAGCGTGTATCATCCAAAACTGGTGTCCCAAGTACATTTTTTTTATCTAATATGTTTCTTTGCTAATATTGTTTTCTAGATGTGTGGCAAATCACGATAATCTCCAGGAAGGCACATTATGTCATTTGCATGACCATACTGAGGCCCTTATTGAAGAAGCTCTGAATCTTGACAGTGATCTGTGGGATGATTTTGGAATAGTCGAGCAACTTGTAGTACATCAGTGCGCTCATCTCAGTGTTGTTTATATTAATAAATGTATGTCAACAGCCGTTTACAAACGACTTTCCCCAAGCCGATATCTACCAAATGATCTCCCTGACATCCTCCATCAGCTTGTGAAAGGAACTTTCAAGGACCATCTTGTGGCATGGGTTGAGAAATACCTCAGACACACGCACCACAAATGAAAGGCAGAGAAAATCATGGACGACATTGATCACAGGTAAGCTCGACTGAATTTAGATTATACCGTTACTCATTGCCTTAGAATTGCTGCTGTTGCCTCATTTTCAGGCTTACGGCGATTTCCTCAAGGGCGCAGCTTCAAACAATGGACAGGAGATGATTCCAAAGCCCTGATGAATGTAACTCCTCATGTTTTTGTCATGCTATCACCATATTGATTTATTAGGCTTACTTGCCCACCATCGAGGGTCATGTACCCACAGATGTTGTGCGCACCTTTCGTGCGCTTCTAGACTTTGCTTACTTAGTCCATTGTGATATAATCACAGAAGACTCTCTACTCAAGATCAAAGATGCACTCGCACACTTTCACCATTACCATGAAATCTTCAGGATGACAGGCATCATTTCTACCTTCTCCCGGCCCCGCCAATATTCACTTGTGCACTACGTCCGAAATATACAACTCTTTGTGGCACTCAATGGCCTCTGCTCATCAATAACAGAGAACAAACACATCAAAGCGGTCAAGGAGCCCTGGCGACGATTGAGCCGTTACAAAGTGCTTGGTCAGATATTACTGACCAATCAACAGCTCGACAAACTCTCAGCAGCACGAGTTGACTTCACATGCCGGGGGATATTAACTGGCACTTGTCTCTCAGCAGCCATGAATGCCTTAGGTAGGTCCAACAGTTTACACGCGATATTTTGCATACTAATGTGCATAACAGTTCCTGCACTGCAGGTCAATGAACTCAATGAAGATGTGGTGGTGGCGGCTGCAGCAGCAGCAACAACAGCAGCAGCAATGACAACAGCAATGGCAGCAGCAGCAGCAATGGCAGCGGCAGCTGTACCCGTGCATGCACAGGCACATCCATGACCTGCACTTGCACAACCTGCATGACCCGTACTCACACCACCTGCACCTGCACCACCTGCACCTCCCCTGGTCAGCATCAATGGGGACCTAGAAATTGATGATGGACCAACAGTTCTACAAGTGTATGTACAGCTGGCAAAAACACTCCATAAGACCTCTTTTTTCTTGATTTTAATGTCACACTAAATATACTGTACAGAGGGCAAAAAAATGCGCTCAAACTGTTCCTGCCCTTGCTGACGAACTTGATATCCCTTGCCTACCCAACCTTCTTGGGTGGTTCTTATTCCAACAGTTGCATCCTGATGATCCCCACGACCCATCTGATGTACCTCTCGCCGATTGCCCTCTCTATCTTAACAAAATCTCAGTCTTCAATTCGGCATCATCATGTTTCTATGTGCCAAGCGATTTGAGCAGTATTGGTGGCATGCGTGTTGAATACATCTGGTCCTGTCCCTCCTGGCGGAATGAGCATTCACGACATGACTGTGTCTTTGTCAACACAGACTCCAGTTTACCTGGCATGCAAGGCCTTGAAGTTGCCTGCATTCACACATTTTTCTCATTTCAGTACCGGGGTGAGGTGTATCCCTGCACTATGATACACTGATTCGACAAAGTCAGCAACACCGCAGATGAAGACACAGGAATGTGGCTAGTTTGTCCAGGATATAGTGCAAACAATTCCCCTGAGCATGCCATCATTCATATCAACACCATCTATCATGCTGCCCATCTTATTCCCGTGTGCGGTACGGAATTTTTGCCTCGCGAACTCAAATTTTATCATTCATATGACACATTTCAAGCCTACTATATTAACAAATAAGCCAATCATCATGCATTCGAGATCGCGTTTTGACACTTTTTACTAGTATTAGCTACTTGTACACACTTTGAATATATACTACCATTTGCTCTCTGAATACCCATTGTTTTTCTTTTGCATGCCAAACCCTCTTAATGACTCTGTGGCGCCTTTGAGAAAATGTGGGAAACTTGAGTTATCACAGACTCCAAACCATTGGCAGTGTGTAAGAGAGTCTACATCCCAGTGCCGCCACACAAACCAAATACAAACAACAATAATTCAAACACTGCAACTGTTGTGGTGGCACAAAGGTTGTAACTATTTGTCCCTCCAAAAAACATTCAAAATAGTCGCCAGTTCCCCAGGCATGACACAGGAGTATTTGAATAAACCTATATATAATATAATTATTGAAATATCATGTTTATTATATAAGTAAACTGCAAGGGAATTAGCAGCACAGAAGGAATTGTGCATGGAGAACATAAGGCATAGTAGTCAGCGAGTTCGTGATAAATTGAGTGCTGTGGTGCATGAACTACTGTTGTACAATGAATCTTGCAAGCAGACTGTCAAAAGTGATGCAGTGCCTGCAAGATAATGGCCTGTCCACATCGACCTTCATGAGTGGTGTTCTCAAAAGCAGCCATGTCAAACACCAGGATGCAAAATCTCACTGACATCTAACGCAAATCAGCTGTGCACCCTGCTGAACACTAATGAAGACTCACATTCATCCGTTTTCTCCTGGGCAATTGCCCTTGTGCACACAGACTTGTGTTATCAGTAGCATTTTCTGCAGAAAGATTGTAGGCCAGGAAGCCCAGCATTTTTGCTTTTTTATGAATTTTCTCGCCAAGAATATTCAGAGGCGTCACTATGAGGATGATTCCATTATCATTGAATAAAAGAGGGATCCAGAATGTGAACATTTTGCCTGAGCCAGCTTTGGAGAAATAGTGAAGACATTCTTCTTGTCAAGCTGATGCAAAGCTGACTGAAGTTGCCAAGTACAGGGGGTGATACCAAATTCACTGTGAACAATCATCTTCATATCGGTAAAACTTGGTACTTTGAATTGATGGGCCAACATTGTAATGCTGAAGGTTAACTCAAAAAAATTAAAATGGGGATCTGTTGTGTCACACTAGGTCACACTGTTACTGGCAACTATTTTGAATGTTTTTTGGAGAGGACAAATAGTTACAACCTTTGCACCACCACAACTTGTGCCAGTCGGCCAAGTGTGTTAGAGTCCAAAGTTGCGGTGTTTGAATTATTGTTGTTCGTATTTGGTTTGTGTGGCGGCACTGGGATGTAGACTCTTACACACTGCCGATGGTTTGGAGTCTGGAGTTATCACTGCTTGTACTAATTTTCACGCCTTGTCGCTGACACTAAGGCGGGGAAAGTGGCGCAATGGCGGAAAATGAATCTGAGGTTTTACTGATGTACTGATAGAGCACACGGCTAGCATCAGCCTATACTATGTTGGGTATCAAAGTGATTCAGAGAGTACTTGAGTGGACCGCAACTCAACACTTGCCCGCACCGTTTGAGGTGCTAGAAGTGATGTGCCAAGCAAACGAATAAATACCATAGTTCGCAAGTAAATTAGTATCTTACATCATGGGATACATATGCAGTGATACCAGCGCTGCACTAACACAAGGTTCATTAAACCTCAGACCTCAACGTTGAGAGCTGGCCTTCTTCAAACTGCATGTCAGATACTTCCGCCAGTGTTGTGTGATTGCGCGAACGTTCTTCACTTTCTCGTAGGTTGAAAAGTATCCGAGATGCTAGGACGCTGTGGATGACGACCTGTAGACTAGAAATATGATACAGTCGGTGGTGCATATCTCGTTAATCATGGTTGTTGGACTCACGAGTCTGTGATAGCAACCCATGTAATCTGCGCTCGATGATAAGTGCATTGAAGTTAGCCACACGTACTATAACGTACCGGAGGACTCATATTCAGAATGATACTGAACGAAGTCACGACTTGATAAAGGAAAGCAAGTCAGCATGCGGGTCAGATTGGACAAACAGAAGCATCCTACTCATGATGCAAATCATATATCTCACTGAATCATTGAAAAATGTTTCTTGGAGCAGTCCGACAGTACTAGTATTCTTGTACCATCTGGATCTGATGAACAACATCAAGCACAGGAGGACTGACTCACGCGTGAGTTTGGGAATCGGAAGACGAGACAAAACTACTGACCCGATTCGTAGAGTATCAAAGTAGCATACTCGAAGACACTGTTTCTCCCGCCTATGAAAAGACAGTTGCCCGGATCCGCTGTACACCATGAGTATCACAATCGTGGAAATCAAAGACCACACGACTGACGTATGTCAGTGACGATGTTCGTAAGGTTCGACGCCGCGGGAGTGCCCGAGAGGATATAAGAACCAACAAAACAAACCTGGTCGTCTAATTCGAAATCAGGTCTTCGCGGTGAAAGGAGAACAAAAGACTTACTACGGGAAAAACCAGCAAAAATGTCAGTAGACGCTTACTGGTCCAGGAAGCGTGAATCCTCGTTATTAGGAGTCCTATACAAGAACATGTCAGAGTTGGATTGGAAGCTCGTTCAAGACACGACATACCTTCTGCGGCTAGAATGCAGATAATGTGCAACACTGAGTAAAGAGTAGTAACTCAACGTACAGCAGCCTAGTATGTTGTGTATGCTAACCGTTGGACGCTTTTCCAAACATAACACACTGCACAGCTCTGTTATGAACATTTGTGCATGTAAGGGGTGTGTTTCATCACTCACACTTTCACCAGGATAGTATTGTGTTCGAAGCGCAGCTATCCACCAACCATGAGCAACTATCGCAAAAAGCGAGTTATAAACGCATATAGCTCACCCGTGAATGTCATCCCAATGGCAAAAAATGGCAGGTATCGTGAAATGGTGAATATAAATCTCACGAACGTCCATTTTCGATGCCATACCCACTGCGACTTTCAGATGGTCATTGAAGATTCTGTGATATGCCCACCCAAACACACCTCTGCCTCTAGAGTAATGCAGTAGTCAAAAATCTAGGTAAGGATATTAGCATCACATAACCCGCGAGGATCGAGTCAAGACACTCACTAAAACTGCAAACGTTCCGACTGCCAGGTTATTCTAGTCAAAGATGACGCTCGACAAACTAATGATAAGACTGCAAACCATTGAAGTACTGGGTGAATCAGGAGTGAATTAGAGGTGAGACGTATCGAAAACTTCGCATGTTGCACACCTTTGATGCCTGAATGCCAGCGTCGACATACAAAGCAGTACTAGTAGCGTCACTCATCAGGTTCGTACAAAGAAGCAAGTGGGCTTTGAAGTTGCGCAGCACGCTTCTTGTTGTGCGTTACTTCACAATATAAGCACGTACAACTGATGGCTGTGTCGCAAAATCACGGTTACCTACCTGGCGGACATATTCAAGTTGTTGCAACACGGATCAGCAGGGATCAACGCTCAGGTGATATGATATATCATTTACCCGAGTACAACAATGGAAGTTCTTGATTCAAGAAGTTCGAATATCAGAATATTGCATCACGTGGCTGGCGTCTTCTGCTCAATGTCGCTCGAAAAGCGCTGTCCTTGTTGGTGCTGTCCTTACCGACACTGCTAACGCATCCTCTCCTGGCGGACGCGAGCGTGACGCCCGGAAGACACTCATGCATATGTGGCTTGAAGATGCGAGGAATAGGATCAGAGGCTGCGCAGAGGATGGTTTGAATTTGAAAGATGTATTGAAGGCGCGGCCGAAGAGCAACGAACAAGCAGCTTCCGGACGTACGTCGCGTATCTGATGCTTGGGTTGTCTGTATCTGATATCAAAGTTAATTTTTGCAAGCGTCGTCGTCGTGAAGATCATTAATCCTTCACACACGCACGTCCCGTAATCCAAAACACCCTAGATGCATCAACTACTAGTACATGATATATTTAGTGTCGTGCATCATCAGAGTCACACTGCTCTTACCATAGATGTTGTGGAATGCGCAGCTTTTCCGTTGACACCGAAAGGTACTAGCGACAGGTTGCTGGGATGCATGGACAGGTGAACTGCTCTCCACACCCAGTACATCACTGGCAGGAAAACCCTCCGCTACAAATTTACATGGTGCGATGTTTATATTTAACCATCACATGCACTCATGGAAGATTAGACTTCATTGGGACTCGGAAACAAGCGAGACACTAGTGTCAATCTATGTAACTTGCTTGTTTCATAAACGAATTCATGTCAAGCTTGCTTTTCTCTACACAACATGTCGATCCGTCGTTATAAACACGCAAGCAATGGATTACCTGAATCCTCCACGGCGCTGGAGCCTGAACCTGTAAGCTCTCGATCTTCTGACTTTGTATTGCTGCAACTAATCATCGCTTGTAGAGGGCTCATTCTCTCGAACAGACCTTCATATGTGAATGGGGTCATCCATATGGATCACGCTGTCTTCACTTGATCAGTGGTCATGATCTCCCCTCCCACCTTCGGGAAGTTCATGAAAGTTCTGGTCCAGACAATTCGCACGTCAAGTGCCAATGGAAGCACTGCGGGCGGAAGCTGAGGAAATATATGCTCTTGAGGCATGTGCAAGAGGCGCACCTTGGAGTGGCATATGTCTGCGACCAGTGCGGGACGGAGTTTTCGCGCCCTGATGTTCTCCAAGAACACCAAAAACATTGTTCAGGTTAGCCGTATGTAGATAGAGTGTCTTTTTACAGTACTTGGGTAGAGTCTAGACGCTGTAGTGCTGCCGAAATCTGGACCTTATACTACTTGTTTGTTTGTTTGTTTGTTTGTTTGTTTGTTTCTGAAGCTATCGCCAAACAAACCCTTTCGTTATCTCCTAGTATTAGTCAGGCTAAGTATCCCCGCGTGATCATTGAACATGTGAACCGGCTTAGCTAGCCCGCATATATAATTCACAACGTTGAAAGTGGCACTACTTCTTCGTCTCACGTCCTTTCATCCGCTTCCAGGATGAATGCAGAGAAGAGTGAGAAGGCAGTTTTCTACCAGCCTGTTAATGAGCTGCTTCCGCACCCTCCAGGTCTAGTTCAAGCCCGGAGACATCCAAGGCGACCCTTTTTTCGCAAGTTACTGGTTCATGCTAGCTTTTCCCTCACCCTCTTCCTACTCTACAAGGCCCTCTCCACCAGCTGCTTCGTTGATTTGAAAAAAGACTGGCAGGCATATCATGACAAGAAGTCCTCTGAATCCTATGACAGTTACATTAAGCGTATCGAGGACGGCTATCTGTGAGCACGAAATTGGTGGTGCGCATCCAGATCTTAGTTCACTGAGGCCCATATAGTGCCGTCCCGTCCGCGGAGTCTGCCCTTGCAGCCTCGCGTGACTATGCTACGCACCCGCATTTGGCCGGCGCAGTGGAAGACTTTCAGGATGCAAAGGACATCCTTGCACTCTTCCAGTCCGAGTTTGGTATCCCTGCGCCTGCTACCGAGCCCATCTACCCGGCAGGCTCCCCCGAGTCCCGCGAGGCAACTCTCAGTTCAATCTCCAAGCTTAGCAAACCTGCTGCATGGGTCGACATCTATTACCCTGTCATGAATACAGGTAATGCAGACGGCTTGGCCGTGGAATTACTCGGGGAGAGCGACCAGCCTATCTGGAAAGCCAACTTGCTTGAGGATGGTGACCCTCGTGACGAGACTGCCGCCAAGTACAAAGATGCCATTCCACCCTGGCACGGTCTCAGTGCGGGTGGTGAGGCTATTGGCCAATTAGTGTACGCGAACTACGGTACCAAGGATGACTATGACAAGCTCGTTGGTGCTGGAGTCGACCTCACAGGCAAGATCGTCCTGACTCGCTATGGTGCTAATTTCCGTGGTCTCAAGGTAAGCTGGGTGGTATCAATCGAGACGACGGACTACTGACTTCAGACGAAAAGGTGCAAGGTGCAGCAGAGCGCGGGGCACTTGGTGTACTGATTTACTCTGACCCTCGGGACGACGGCAGTGTCACTGTGGAGAACGGATACGAGCCGTACCCCGCCGGTCCTGCTAGAAACCCTTCATCCGTTCAACGTGGCTCGGTTATGTACCTCTCGATCTACCCAGGTGACCCCACCACGCCAGGTTATCCTGCATACGAGAATGCGACACGTATTGAGGCAACTAATATTCCAACTATCCCAAGCTTACCACTTTCGTGGGCCAACGCCAAACTTCTTTTTGAGGAGGAGCTCGGTGGTGTCCTTGAGGGAACCAAGTTGAATGGGAGGGTTGGAAGCAGAAAAGTCAGGATGGTTAATGATGGTAAGTCATCGCAATTGCAATCCCCCAGCTGGATTGTCACCAATCGTAATTGTGTAGTGGACACCAAGGTCACCCCTATCTGGAACACCATGGCCGCAATTCCTGGCCACATCAAAGACGAAGTTGTTCTCCTTGGGTGCCACCGTGACGGTCAGTTGCGCGATCTTCCTGTACAGTATGTACCTCATACTTCGACGTAGCTTGGGTTATGGGTGCTGCGGATCCCACATCCGGCACTGTCTCTCTTCGTGAAGTCGTTCGGGGACTCGGCGCGCTTTACAAGCGTGGATGGAAACCGCTGCGCACCATTGTCATTGCGAGCTGGGATGCTGAGGAGGTAAGTGCGATCAGTTCTCGTCGGCAGCTTTCCTTATACATATCGGCCACAGTACGGTCTCATCGGAAGCACTGAGTGGGGTGAGGATTTCGCAGAATGGATCCAGGCGCACGTAGTGTCCTACGTCAACGTTGGTATGTTTTTCATCTGTATTATTTATGTGTGGTCTGCTCATAGTTGGCGACAGACGTTTCAGTTGGTGGTTCGCGCTGGGATGCTGGGGCTTCCCCTTCTCTTACTCACCTTATCCAGCGCTCTGCCCAGGATGTCCCTCACCCTACTGATGCCCAAAAGACCCTCTGGGATGCTCGTTTTGACGTTGGCCCTTACAATGGCCCCGTGGATGCCGGATTTGCTCGCATGTGGGACGAAAAGACTTCCAATGCACCACACATTGACCCACTGGGATCGGGAAGTGATTATACAGTCTTCCTGCAGAGACTTGGGGTTCGTCTCTCATCATATGCTCCTGCTGGTGCACTCAAAACATTATGCAGGTTGCCAGCTCAGACCAGGGCTTCGGTATGACACCGACAGATGCGCCATACCACTACCACTCTATTTATGACTCGCAGATGTGGCAAGAAGTATACGCAGACCCTGGTTTCCACAAGCATGTATGTTTTTATGCATTTGTGCTTGCAGTTTTCAATCTTACCTGCGACTAGGTTGCTGTCGCGCAGAATTTGGGTCTGATGACCTTGCGTCTTACAGATTCCATCATCCTCCCTCTGAACACCACTCAGTATGCACTTGAGCTTGACTCCTACGTCGACATGTGAGTGTCTACAAACGAAGTCGCATTATATGCCGTGCTAATACTTTACAGTGTCATTCAGTCTGCTTACCGTGGAGATATTCTGCCGGATCTGTACCCTCTCAGGAAGGCCATTGCAAAGTTGCAGGATGCAAGCTTTAAGCTGGACGAGGAGAAAGCCTCTGCCGAAACGGCCTTCCGTAAGGCGCTGAAGAATATTGATCGTGCACGCGATCCCCGCGTCGTTCGTCGGATCATCCAATGGATCAAGGAACATCTCGGTATTGGTGCCCTGCAGGTTCAAGACTTGAGGTTTGGCGCACTCAAATGGATGTCGTCTGTAACGGAGTCAAGCCTCTCGGGACCGGATATCTGCAGGTCGCGTAGCAAAGGCCCGCTATGTGATTTCGTACGTGCAGCTAAGAGGGTCAGAGTCGCCAATCAAAAACTCGCAGCGTTTGAACGTGGATTTATCTCTGAGGACGGCATTAAGGATAGAGAATGGTTCAAGCATTTGGGCGTTGCTCCCGGGAAACACACAGGTAAGTCTATTTATCTTTAGTTTCATTGTGCATTCTAGCTAATGGTTTTGATGCAGGGTATGCGCCGACGACACTACCAGGTCTAACGGAAGCTATTCTGATTGAGGAAGATCTCGATCTCGCCGAGTATGAGGCTGCTCGGCTGACCACGCTCATTGAAAACCTCGCAGACTTCCTTGAGGTCTAAAGTATCGTTGTATACTACCGCTTGTAGGCCTACAGGTCAACGCAAACAAAGCTCAGTATGAGCATGCTTTCCTAGACACTATTCGGCGTGGTCTGGTAAATTGTTAGCGGCGACCGAAAGTACTGGAAAGCAGCACTACGTGCAGTTATCTCCGACGCTGTCCCGAGTGCCTAATGCAGACGTTGACATGCCTAACCCGAGTCGCTCCAAATTCATTTCGTGGTCCACTTCAGCGGCTGGGAGGGGAGAAACAAGCACGGAAGCAATGTATGACTGAATAGCAGCTTCATGAATCTGTGGGCGTGACACTACAAGAGACCGGCAAGCGCACTGAACCGTTTGATAAGTAATAGCCACGGTAGTGCGTCTACAATACAAGTTTATCCTCGTAACGAGCGTCACGGATTAGCATAGGTACTGTACCGGTATTGACCAGCTATATCAGATACTAGGAGTCCTCCGAATGAGCATCAATCCGATTCAGCATCCGAATTTGAATTAGCATCAAAGTCAACCCAAGAACAATCGAAAAGATCTTTGCGGCACTCCCATGACTCTCCATGCCTATCCCAATCAACGTTTGTAACCGCTTCCTGCATGAGCTGCACCTGATCGACCATCAAATTCCTGCACATCGCGAATCGGAGTTTGTGTATGCGGACGCCACGTTTGGCTCGCATTATGACGACGTCATGAAGGCTTTTAGGTTCACCGAGTTCGAAGTCAATCTTCTCCAATTCTAAAGTATAGAGCAATCGATACGCTACGTCTGAGCGCTGCGTCCCTTCACTGTGAAACGCAGTGATTATGCCTTCAATGAAGTCCCAGGTCACATTGATAACTTCGAGCTCCGGAAAGTAGGCGAACCCAGTGAGCCAGAAGGTTTCTGGGAGATCATAGCAAGGTGTCACAAACCAGCTTCGAATATTGCGCTGAGCGACGATTTGACAAATGTCAAACATGATGGGTAGCTTGATTTCAGCGGACATATAGTTTGTGAATCGGATCGAGATTCGTATATCATCGTCATGAGGGTTCCAGAAATAATCAGATTTGAACGTTGTTGATGTGTCGAATTGGACTCCGGATGTACCCCATTGGACGTAGGTGCCGAAAGACAAGATGATGGAACCAAATCCATCAGGAACTTCCATGGCCGAAAATAGTTCAGTCAACCTGTGAGGGCCTTCAATGCTTGCTAGAAAGTGTAGAGCGATTTTAACGTCGACGGGAAGGGCTAGATGTGCGAAAAGATATATGACGATTTGGATAGGAATCTCTTCCAGCGCTATATGTTCCAACCGAGGGAGTGGGACTTTCAAGTTGTCCAAGTCTTGTATTCCCTGTAAATTTATGGATCGCTGAAACAAAAGTTCTTCCACGTCAGGCATACATCTCAGAGCTGGCAGGAGCTGCGACAGCGTGAAGACATATCCTCCGTCTCTGACATCTAGTATCCAAAGCCCACTGAAAATACACGATGTCCAGCTGATGTTACACCGTATGAGCTCAACACTCCGAAGTTAGGGCACTCGTCCTTGAAAGATCGTCTCTGATTTGGGGCTGAATTCAACATCGACGGGTAAAAGGTCCCCGCGACCGAATGTTTGGGTGTTTGGGGCAACGGTGCAGGATGCGATAATAAGCAGTCCAAAACACGATCGAACTCCGATGGAAATGAGCCCAACTGGAGGAATTTGATTCGAGGTAACTGTGAAAGTACATGCTCCAAGCAAGGTTGTAAGGCGTCCGCACTGTATGTGACGACCAAAGCAGCATTCTTCGACCTCTCAAGCATGATTGGTAGCCATTGAGCAGAGGTACAATTGATAGATGCCCAAAGAGCTAGGCAGTCGAGGGCGACTTAGCGCCAGTGCCTGCAACGGGTTCCGGGGACGGCTCACTGCGACTATGGGATCTGGAGAGCGAGGCACAGATTGGCGACAACTGGCGAGATGAAGGGGATAGGGTAACAGTATTTACTATAACATTGTCTCCAAACAGCAACACAGTTGCAAGCGGAAGCTGGGATGAGACAGTGAGGTTGTGGAACGTCGAGACGGGGAAGGTCGTTGCCAAATGGACAGGACACACTGCGTATGTGAGGTCAGTACTTGGGCTGGAGTCCAGATGGCGAGCGACTTGTGAGCGCATCCGATGACGGGGCAGCAAGAGTGTGGGATGTCGAGACCGGCAAAACAGTCCTTGAAATCAAGACCAGGCACAAAAATGTAAGGGATTTACTCACCCGATTCTACAAAAATTGCAACGGGTGGAACCCAGGAACCCAAGAGCTCAGGGTGCAGTACACGGGCGAGCTGCTCTCCACATTCTTGAAACACGATGGAGTAGTTTGGAGCTTGGCATGGATGTCGGATGGAAAGAAGCTTATCTCCGGCTCAGTATCACATGATGTAGCTCGATTAGGATATTCGACGGCAGCATATACTATATCGCCATCCTCGAAGGTCTCGAATATGCTATAACCAGCATCATGCACCTTGTCTCGGAAGGACCGCCTCTTTGCAGGTGCATCAGTTGATGAATTAGCGCGCCTGTGGAATCTCGACACGAACTTCCTCCCAGTTGAACCACCCCTCCAGCACGGATGATCAAGTGGGATGTGCAATGTATATACGTGTTAGACATTGAGGCCGTCCTAAAAGAAGCTGGTCTTCAAGACCTCCAGTCTATTCCAGATGTGAATGTAAAAATCACCCACTCTATATCACTAACAATCTCCACTTCTAGGTGGCGCGGGATGGACTCGAACACAAAGTACTTAGCATCTCGTCGCTCTTCAGTCAAGATCACATTCATTTCCCGCTCGCAGGTCCCAGCCTACAAGTCTTTGATGGCCGTACGTGAAGTCTTTGTCCGCCTTTTCAATGATTGTACGCGCGTCATTGAGAATCCCGATGAATGGCAGTTTTTCCGTTGTTTCAAAAACGTCCCACGAAGGATAGAAACGTACATTGATACAGCTGACCTTCTATATGACTTCCTTCCCCACGAGAGCTGCACGTTCGACTGGGGCCCGTTCCAGTTGCGTGATTTGCTGTAAGTTATGTTTCCTGCGTAGATACTAATAACAGAGTGCACAGCAACATCAGCCAATACATGCCATGCCCATGTTAGGTACCACTGAGTGGAGCGTGACTCGACACTTGCCCACTCCGTATGAGGTCTAGTTAACGTATGCCAGAAGTGATGTCCCGAGGAGACAAACAAACATCGCACTTCGCAAGTCACACATAATGCAACGTTCATCATGCCTCGAATCTCAACGTCGAGAGCTGGCCTTCTTCAAACTGCATCTCAGATACTTCCGTCTGTTGCATGATTTCGCGAACGTTCTTCACTTTCTTGTAGGTTAAAAAGGATACGAGAGGCGAGGACGCTGTGGATGGTGATCTGCGGACTGAAGATGTGATACATTACCAGTTGGTGGTGCGTATCTCGTTGGTGTAGCTGTTGGACTCACGAGTCTGATAGCAACCCATGAAATCTGTGTTCAACGATGAGTGCGTGGAATTTAAGCCAAGCATGCTACAACGCACCGGAGGACTGATCGTGAGGATGATACTAAACGAAGACACGACTTGATAAGAGGTAGGAAATCAGCACACGGGCCAGTCTTGCGAACGGAGTCATCTTGTACCTTCTAGATCTGACGAACAACATCAGGCACAGGAGGACTGACTCATGCGTGAGTGAAGGAATCTTCTTGAGAGACGAGACGACTGACCCAGTTCATAGAATAACAAAGCAACGTACTCGAAGATTCTCCCGTCCGCAAAAAGGCAGTCGCCCGGATTCGCTGTACACTATGAGCATCACGGTCACGGAAAGCAAAGACCACATGGCTAACGTCTTTTAACCGTGGTGGTGTCCCACGTGCCTGAATTCAACACCAGGTGAGTGTCCGAGAGGATATAAGAGCCGACAAAACAAACCTGGTTGTCGAATTCGACATCAGGTCTTCGCGGTGAAAGGAGAACAAAAAACTTACTACGGGAAAAACTACGAGGAATGTGAATAAACACTTACTTGTCCAGGAAGCGTAAATCCTCGTTATTAGCAATCCTAGACAAGAACATGTCAAATTTGGCGGCTCGTTCAAGACACGACATACCTTCTGCGGCTAGAATGCAGATAATGTGCAATACTGAGTAAAGAATATATGAGTAAACCAATACACAGCAGTAGGTTGTGCATGTTAACTTTTCCAAACCTAACACGCTATACAGCTCTGTGATGAATATATATGCGTGTAAGGGGTTTGATCGCTCATACTTTCACCAGGATAGTATTGTGTTCGAAGCGCAGCTATCCATGGGCCATGAGTAATTGTCGCAAAAAGCGAGATGCATAGCTCACCCGTGAATGTCATCCCAATGCCAAAAAAAAGGCAAGTATCGTGATATGGTGAATATCAATCGTACAAACATCCAGGTCGATGCCATACCCACTGCGACTTTCGGACGGTCATTAAAAGATTCTGTTACATACCCACCAAACATACCTCCACCTCTAGAGTAATGCAATAGTCAGAAATCTAGGCAAGAGGATCAGCACACAACCCCCCAAGAGTCGAATTGATGAACTGCCACTCACTAAAACAGCAAACGTTGTGACTGGGTTTTTTCAGTGAGACAATACTCATACAACACCTAACAATCCATACCATTGCAGTACTGGGCGGATAAAAAGTTAATTAGCTTGAGACATCGAAAACTCCGCAGATTGCACACCTTGGATGCCTGAAGGCCAGCGTCGACGTACAAAGCAGTGGTGTGACTGATCAAGTTCAAAGAAAGCACCAAGTGGGTTGTAAATCGCACTTCTCGTTGTGGATTACTCCCAATATAAGGACGCATAAAGACGGCAGTGCAGTACCGCGTAGTAGTAGTAGGTACTGCGTGAATTTACCCTGATGTTCGTGGGTGTCATGATGTAACATGACATAAATATTGGTTCACATCGTGATGATTCGTTCACCATTTACTTGCGATGAACTTGGAACAAGTTCGCCGTAGTGGCACTCCGAGTCGGATTGATATCATGATGCTGCCTCGATCGAGGCTGTTCCAGTCAGTCTACTCTACGGTCTTATATTTGGGAAGGGATTCACCACTTACCATCTTTATTTTTCGGATCTCGTTGACCGCAAAACTGCCAAACAGTGTCCCTCAACCGGAGATTGCTAGTCCTGGATCAAGGAACCCACGGAAGCGATATATTGATGTCCCGAGCACACCAGAAAACATCGTAGCACGGAAGCCGATCAATATGGACATATGATACATACACGATGGGACCAGCCGGAGTCGACGCACATAATGTTCATCAAGCCTCGAATCTCAGCGTCGAGAGCTGACCATGCCCAAACTGCATCTCAGATACTTCCGCATGTGTCGTATCGTTTCGCGATCGTCCTTCAATTTCTCGTAGGTTTAAAAGGATACGAGAGGCTAGGACGCTGTGTATGACGATCTGTGGACTAGAGATGCGATGCATTATCAGTTGGTAGTGCATATGTCGTTGTTGATGGTTGTTGGACTCACGAGTTTGTGATAGAAACCCATGTAACCTGTGTTCAATGATGAATGCATGGAAGTCAAGCCAGGCGTACTACGACGCACCGGAGGAACCATAGTCAGAATGATACTAAACAAAGATGTGACTTGTTAAGAGGAAGGAAATAAGCACACGAGCAGCTCCGACCAACAGAATAATCCTACTCATGATACAAATCATATATCTCATCGAATCATTGAAAAATATTTCTTGAAGCGGTCCGACAGTATCTGTGTACCTTCTGGATTTGATGAACAGCATCAGGCACAGGAGGACTGATTCATGCCATGCGTGAGTCTCGAGAATTAAAATACAAGACGAGACGAAATGTCTGACCCAGTTCATACAGTAATAAAGCAGCGTATTCGAAGACGTTGTTTCTCCCGCCCACGAAAAGACAGTTGCCCGGATCCGCTGTACACTATGAGCATCATGGCCACGGAAATTAAGACGACATCACTAACATAGGGTAATCGGAGTCGTGTTTTTTGAATTGAATACTAGGGGAGTGTCTGAGACCAGATAAGAGACGATGAAACAAACCTGGTCGCAGTTAGAGCATCAGGGTTTCGTGGTGAAATGCGAACAAAAACTTACTACGGGAAAAACTAGTAGGAATGTTAGTAGACGCTTACTTGTCCAGGAAGCGTAAATCCTCGTTATCAGCAATCCTAGATAAGAAAATGTCAAAATTGATGGCTGATTCAAGACATGCAATACCTTCTGCGGCTAGAATGCAGATGATGTGCAGCACTGAACAAAACTTGGATGAGAAAACCAGCATAAGTACTAGTAGTAGGTTGTGCACGCTAACCGTTGGACGCTTGTCCAAATCTAACACACTACGAGGCTTTTATGAATATTTGCGCGTGTAAGGGGTTTCACCACTCACACTTTCACCAGGATAGTATTGTGTTCGAAGTGCAGCTATCCATCAACCGTATGTAATTGTCGCAAAAAGTAAGTTATAAACACGTATAGCTCACCTGTGAATGTCATCCCAATGGCAAAAAATGGCAAGTATCGTGATATGGTGAATATAAATCGCACAAACGTCCATTTTCGGCGCCAGATCCACTGCGACTTTCGGACGGTCATCGCATGATTCTGTGACCAGCGTGTTAAACACACCTCTGCGTCTAGAGTGATGCAATAGTCAAAAATCTAGACAAGTTGATTAGCACATAAACCCTCCGAGTTGAGTCAGTCAAGATACTCACTAAAACAGCAAATGTTGCGACTGGGTTGTTTCAGTGAGATCATATACACTCGCGCGGACATCTAACAAGACTCCGTACCATTGCAGTACTGGGCGGATCAAAAGTCGATCAGAAATCACGTATCAAAACTTCAGATTTTGCATACCTTGGATGCCTGAAGGCCAGCGTCGACGTACAATGCAGTAGGGTGACTTATCAAGTTCATAGCAAACAGCAGGTAGGCTGTAAAAGGCTGTAAATCGAGCTTCTCGCCTCGCGGCACTCCTCAATATAAGGACACATAGTAATAGCCGACGGCTGTGCCACAAAGTACGTAGTACCTGGCATAATTACTGACGGCAATAGACTAATAGTGCTATGCTAAGATACGCCAAGCGTTGCAACAGGGATCAGCGCTGGAGCGGGGCTGATCAGGGTTGATCATTCGAGAGATCAACAGGACGTGATGGATCGACAGGGATCAATGCTACTTACTATGAGATGGGCCACCGACGCATTGCCTGAATAGCTCCTCCTTGCAACACGTGAGTGAGCAACGGTAGACTCGTTTCGATTATTTGGTGGCAAGGATGTTGGAAATAATTAGATGGAGGCATGGTAGACATAAGACCAGTGTTCTGCCGGTCAGTGACTGTAGCGTTCCTTCCGTGAACGCAAAGGGTGTGAAAGTCGGCGACTGTCGGCAACGTTCACTCAACTGTGAACATGAGTCCTAGTATTCCTTATATAGAAAATAATACTTGAGCCTTGTGATATCTAAATCGTAAAGAATCTATAGATAATAGTATCGACTATCGAGCACCGTCGTTCCGACTCGTTCGGCAACCGGCAGAACACTGATAGTATCAACTATCGAGCATCGTCGTTCGGCAACCAGCAGAACACTGATAGTATCGACTATCGAGCATCGTCAATTCGAGCCAGCTACTACTCACATCCAGACGACGGTCCTACAGTCACTTCATCTTACGTGTCTCCGCCTTCTTTGTTGTGTCTGATGTATTAATATAAACTGAATTGTGCGATAATCAGCTCCACTATCTATGCTGAGTACAGCTAGTCCAATCCTTACCATTATCCCATGCGGAATCCTCGTGCCCACATGTATATGGTTTCTCATGGCTCTCAGTGCAAAATACAGCGCCCGCAGGCATCAGCAAACTACAAATTTGGTTACAGAAACCACACGTCAATACAGAGCAATACAAATCCATAGACGGTATCACGATTCACAAGGATCCACAAGGATTCACAGAGCGATACAAGGAGTACAAGGTGACAAAGTAATTACAACATAAATAGAACTATAGTACTATACTTGAAGGTCGAAGATAAAAATTCTATATATGTTCTGCCTCCGTCTCGGTTATATGAACTTCAGTGGGCCCAACTTGAGAATTTTTAGATAGTGTGAGTGCGAGCCTGAGTTAGTGATGGAAAAGTTCGGTTCAGTCCGGTTCACCAGGAAATTGGGTGAACGTTGAACCGGACGTCACGTTCGGTTCAGTGATTTTGCTGAACGCTGGACCGAACGTGCTCGAACGCGTTCAGTGCAGTTCGGTTCACGTTCGGTTTGGCGTTCGAATGCTAAACATCTGAAATTTGTGCACAAGGTTAAAAACACTGCGTGGCATCATGCGTGGACGTTTGTGTCTGACGCTGTTCAGGGAAGTGTGCGGTGTCGGGCCGTGAAGTTGGCGTGACGCCTCAAATGCTCTAATGTGAGGACTTAAGAACACTCGTACAGTAACGTCATCGGCCAACCAGGGGTTCTCATCGAGTGCAGCGGAACCTTGCGTGAACGCAGTCCAAGAAGCCGCCATTGTCATGAAGGTGTGCAATGTCACACAGCTTGTTAGAGCCTTCACAGTGATATGCATTTTAGGAGCTTTACAACCAGTCGAGAAGGAGAAGGATTGTGAGAGAAAGTCAGCAGGGACAGCGAGATACTCATGTTGGCGTTGTAGACCGACAGTGTATTGACGAGTGACATCTACATGTAAAATCTAATTGTTCGTGCACAGCGGATCAATGCTGCTCAAGCACGTCTAGATACAGATCGCGAACTGTGTTACAAAGGGATATTGTTTCACATAGGTACTGTGAAGGTATGAATGAAAACGCATCAGGGGATCTCCGTCCTTCGACAAGAATACAGCTACAATATCTCTAGCGTCCTGACATCCATCATGTCACGAACAGAAGCCATGTCCTTGACTTGCGCGATGATATTGCTATCCGAAGCAATCCTTTTGTACTCCCCACCACGCTGCTGCGCTAGCAACAGTGCACTGAAAGGCTGTCCCAGACGAACGATCAACCTCAACTCTCGTGAGTGAGACTCTGAATCAGCTGGCTCATTGTCTCCAGGAGACCAGATGGACTGATCATCTGACGGAGACTCAGGCTCCTGCCAGTTTTCCATGCTCTGCGTCTTGTCAGCAGAGTCAGGCAGCTCGATGTCATATCGATTCCACGGACGGACGAACAAGAATGGCTGCCGACTAGAACTTGCCCGTGAGAGCTGAATTAAGTGATCTTCTGTGGTGATTGATAGGTCGTTAAGCCCGTGTGCCTTGACAGTATAAGTGAAACACTTCTGCGAGTCTTGACCATGCTTCCATTTGAGTTCTGTGACGGGGAATGCGATGCAAGGCAGATGCAGCCTGCAGTCCGCGAAACGAGGAGCACTTAGGCGGCTAAGTGCATCACAAAGCGTCAAAGCCAGCTGCACAATGGCAGGATCTCGCAGCAACGAGACTGACATCTGTATCTGATCTTCAGATAGAGACGGTGACATGTATGGCGGAAGGTTGTATGAGGCAATGTCAGCTGGCAGACAGCTATTGAACTCGGATGCTTTTCCGACCCAGTCCAAGGCTGTAATGTCGCCGGACTGGGCAATGATGGCCTGCAAGAGTCGTCCGAGTGCCTTCTGCTTCGTCTCGCCGTAGATGACAGGGAGGTGAACGCCGAAGACGCCAAACATGCGTCCCAAGCACAACCCATCAATCTCTTCACCCAGGGAATCGACTTGGAACAAAGTACACACGTGATGTGACACGAAAGTCACTGAAAGGTTCGCGTTCGGCGTTCGGACATGTTCGAACACGTTCAAAAAGGTTCGGAGAAAGCTGAACGTAGAACCGAACTATGGGTTCGGTTCAGCCCATACCCCGAACCTTGAACCGGACTTCAGTTCGGTTCGGGAAAAGTCCGGTTCGAACCGCGGTTCAGGACTGAACTTTTCCATCACTAGCCTGAGTATGACTCAGGCTCTGAGTTTAGTACGAGGACAAGGTGCCGACTGTCTGACTGTCTGTAGTAATACTTTTGTAGTTATGATAGTGACCGGACGCGGAGAGTGAGCTGACAAGAGAATGTATTATCTCAGTATCTGATAGAAACTCCGTAGCACAAGTATAGTACCTGACAAGAGAATGTATTCTATGTCTAGTTAGCGCTCTGTATAGTATAGAAATAATAAGGGCTTACATCTCAGTATCTGATAGAAACTGAGATGTTTGAACGGGATACTTGTAGCTTTATACGTAGTCAGTATAACAATGCGAAATATAAGATGCATATAGGATGGCATAGGGATCAAGTCCAATTATCAACTAACCTCGGCCGACGTCAATACGTTGCCTCGTCTCCTAGCATGGTTGCACTCATCATGTCTCACTCTGACGTTGCTAGTGTTCCCTTCATTTTGTCTTCCGATTCTCCTGATACGTTAGAGCTCAACAACTTTCAGCAAGTCATAAATAACAAAATTGAAGATGAATACTCACTGTTGTGCCCTCTGAGTGACTCCAAGTCATGGACATTGAGATACCAAATTTCTTTTGCTCCGTATGTAGGTGTTCAACATTGAGCTCCACCATCAACAAATGAGAATTTGCGGCCTGGATGCACTGATGCCAGATGTTGAGAATCACCAATTGGTGTGCCAAAATGCAGTTGGCCAGGTGCTTCTTGGCCTTGCACACCTTTTGTTTAGCTTTTGGCAGCTGCAAGTGCGAGATCAGAGTGCTTGTTGCCTTCTATTTCTCCATCCAATGGGGCATAGTCACCTTGCTGCAGAATGTGAGTCCTGATGAGTGAAAACAAGTAAGGTACTCACAAGGTGCAGTGCTATAGGGAATTTCTCATCCTCGATTGATGATGCTTCATGCCAATAGGCACCAATTGATTTGTGGTTTGAAGAGGTCTTTGGTCACATGGCTCATCTGAATGTCCTCCAGGACTTGGAGAAGGGGATGCAGTACTATGGAATATTTGAAATGCCAAGTCATGATTGTGTTGGGTATTAGAGGCTGCACCGCTGTGGGGAATACTCCCACTGTAGGCATAAAACCCTGTTGATTCTGCATCGTCTCACATCAGTTCTGCATATTCTGCACATTCCGCATTTCCCATGCATTGTCTGATGTGTTCCGCATTCCTGCGCATCCTTCAGAACACACCTGCACTATCCGATATTCCCGCGCATCATTGGACAACCTTTGCATGTCCTGTCCCCATCCTTCCAGGTCCATTGGTACGCTGTATCTCTCTTCCCATTGCTTCTAACGTTATCCGGATCACATTGACACATGCCCTTATGGCATGGACCCCTATTGCACAGTATTGCGCCCATGTGCACTGCCTGCCTTCACTTCCGCTTCCTGGGAATTTACTACCTGTACCTCAGTGTTCCTTGAAAATAATGTTCCCTATAAGTAGTGGTACTCAGGACTTGGGTGTTTTTTATTGAATCTCATCTCTTACCTTCCAACTTTTCTCCGATTTTTCCTTCACCTTACTAGAGGACCACTTTGACTTATGCTCACTATCAATATAAACTTGTGATATACTCCCTCGACTTGATCTGCAAGTTCTAGCGAATCTGTACATTCTGCATTTTATCTGTTTGAGTTCTGCTTCATTCCACTTGTTCCGCATTTTTGCAGATCCTCATCCTACCTGCAGTAGGGTTGATTAGGGTCATTTAGGCAGAGACTAGCACCCCCCAGTAGCAATCCCCATTAGGGTCGAACATGCTTGTTCTCAAGTGAGGCAGCAGGCAGCAAAGACCCAACTGTGTAGTAGATCGATTTCTTGCTGCTACACTTGTTGTACCCACACCGCATGTGTATCTGCACAAAACTCTCATATAAGGCTTTCCTGCTCATGGCTCTCATCCCAATTCCAAAGTATCTACATCCCAATCAACGAATGCAGGGCATGCTTGAAGACCATCTCATCCATGAATGCCTTTTGATCGTGTTAAAGCCATTGATGAAAGCTGCTGAAGTCAGGATTATGATGTCTGATCTGGTAGGAAATGTCTGTCATTGCTTTACCCCTCTCACAGCATACATTGTTGATACCCCAGAGGTGGCCATGCTTGCATGTGTGCGCGGAAGGACCTCTCCTTTCACCATGGCCTTGTATTTGCAGTTTGGGGATAATTTCTGGCACCCTGATTGTACGTGCACCATCACTCTTGGACAGCTTGCTAGAATCAAGGTCAATCCTGACTACCTGGAGACTTATTTTGAGGCTTGTGCTGACTTGCGGCTGAATGGCATGTATGCACTGTTCTGGATGGATTGGCTGCTCGCCAATCCCTCTATCTTTCTGAAGCCAGAATTATTGCACCATTGGCACAAAGAATTTTATGATCACAATCTTCAGTGGTGTATTGTGGTTGTTGGAGCTCAGGAACTGGATTTTTGGTTCTTGATATTACAGCCGACTACTGGCTATCGCCACTTTTCTGGCAGAATATCAAAACTGAAGCAAGTTACAGGTAGGGGTCACCGTGATATTCAGTGCTATATTGTTGGCCTAATATCCAGTGCAGCCCCTCGTTGTTTTGTCATCATGATACATGCGCTCATGGATCTTCATTACCTAGTGCAGCGTCCTGCACCTGGCAACAATCTCTTAGTGTGTATTGACCAATCTTTGTCAACCTTTCACGAACACAAAAATGTTATCTTGACTTTAGGCACATGGATGGGCGCAAAGAGGCCTATTGAAAATTGGCATATTCCTAAGCTCAAGCTCCTACAGAGTGTCACTTCCAGCATGTGGAAAGTTGGCGCCCTCATACAGTGGTCTGCAGACACTACTGAACACGCACACATTTCTGAAATAAAGGAACCTACATGGCAAATGAATAACAATGATTACTGACCCACAGATCTGTTGTCATCTTGATCGGGAGGAGAAGTTGCAGTGTTTCGCAATTTCCACATCACTTAAGAGCCATCCCGCATCCCATGATCCTGATTTTAGGGTTGAAGATGCTCTCAAGGAGGATGACCTGGACAATTGAGACTGACAGGAAACAAACAATCTGTCATATCCCATACCTCCAGATCCGGAATTCCAGAACCCCACCACTAAAGTTTGGTCCTCCATCCTGTTATTTTGCCCGGTGCTCCACTCTCATCTCTGGACTCACCCCTATCTCCTTTTAGAATAGCTATTGCTCCAGCTACCAGCTGTGTCCTTTCTGCTATGCTTACTGATCCGTCTGTCCTTGTTTCATTTCCAACCTCACTGCTTTGATCCGTTATGCACTTACTAATAGACTTTCCACATGCTTCGTACATAGCCCTTACTTTGCTGACTGATTTACCTACATGATACCTACAGTATATAAACTCCTGTAATTCTCCGGAACTCCTCAGTTTGAATATCATCTTAGTTCTGCTCATTCCTGCTTCTCTGGACTTGAGTCTCATCTCTTGTCTACCTCCAAGTCTTAGGGGTTAAACCTTAGGACTAAATCTCCAGCTCTACCTTAGGGTAGTCTAACCTCTGTTCTGTTTCTACTCCGGACTTGTCTGTAGTAGCCTTACTCCGTTCTCTCATAATCTTCTGGAGTTCCGCCGAACTCTCCTGACGTCTGACCTCTGGACTTCTCCCAGACTTCCATCAGACTTCCCCTCTGCCCCTCGGAAATTAAGGGCATGTACTCGGGTAAGGGGCGCAGCACACAAGCTGAAGCCAAAGCCCTTTGAGTAACCTCCCCCTTGAGCACGACCTTAACACAATCTGTGAATGGCACTCCTTGAGGAGATGAACCACACTCATGTTGCAACCGATTATTTCAGCAAAGCCAGGCAAATGGCTACTGTGAGATGTGATTCCAGTATCCCTCACCCTCATCGAACATTTATCGCTGAAAACACTGCCATCCACCTCAACTACAATCCATCTCGCATGGGAGTCAAAGTTGATGATGTCAGTACTGACTTCAACTTACTGGATCTGCATGTTGTGTTTTCAGGCTTCTTAGAGTGTGATGTGAGAGAGAGGAATAGTTCATGGGGTGGGGGGTCTGAGATGGAGACTGTTGATTGATCATCTACCAATCCTTCCATTCAACCGCATTCAATTATGGGACATGGTTTGCCTCCAGCAGATGTCTTTCCATGATCCCAGTATTGTGTTGCCGGCTCAAACTGTCCATGCCTCTCCTCCTGGCCCTGGGTGGCCAAAAGGTTGATGGGACACCATCCTTGTCAACATGGATACCACACATGAATGGCCTAAATCAGGTCTATTGGGTGAGTCCTTTTTCATCATATACAGTGGCTCAAAAAACTGTCCACATGTTTGTGCTATTTTCACTATTTACATTATTGTATATGAATGGACAGGTAGACCGGGGATATGCCAGTGGGGTACTCTGTAGTACTCCTTTGGTGCATGAATTTGAGCCCTTGCCCGTGGGAATTTATGGTAATGTGGTGGCACTATAAGCCTTACAAAATGATGACTCATGTGGACAGTTTTTTGACCCTAGATTAAAATTATATAAATCATTAGTTATGACACCATAAAGTCATGCCACTATTAAATAAATTATGAAGTGGTGTCATTATGACATTATTAAACCTATCTCTAAGTATATAATGAAGTGTGTCCCATATATCATAGTCATAATCACCATGAAAACCATCTCCTCTGCTCAAAGGGATAATATCCTTTCTCTGTCTACTACTGGCCTCTCTACTTGTCAAATAGCCTCTAGAACTGGTTTATGTAAGTCTACTGTAGCCAACCTCATCAAAGAATGTCACCCAGACAAGGAAAACTCCAGTGGAGGTCGTCCATCCAAACTCACCTCTACTGATAGGAGGGTCATTATCCAACATATCACCACAGGAAAGGCTGATAATGCCGTCCAAGTCACTCATCATATCAATTCCATCATTCCTACTCCAGTTTCTTCACAAACAGTGAGGAATGTCCTTAAGGAAGCCAATCTTAGGGCTGTAACAAAGAAGAAAAAGCCTCTTCTTTCCATCACTCATAGGAAGAGAAGACTAGCCTTTGCCCTAGCCCATCAAAACTGGACTGTAGAGGACTGGAAGCAGGTCATAAGGTCAGATGAGACTAAAATCAATAGAATTGGGTCAGATGGGAAGGTACATGTGTGGAAAAAGAAGGGGGGCCCTCTTACAGACAGAGAGATTAATGGAACTCTCAAGTTTGGAGGAGGTTCTTTAATGGTATGGGGATGTATGGGGTGGAATGGTGTGGGATTGCTTGCAGAAGTTGAGGGGAGGATGGATGCTGAGCAGTATATGGATATCCTCCATTATCAGCCTTTCCTGTGGTGATATGTTGGATAATGACCCTCCTATCAGTAGAGGTGAGTTTGGATGGACGACCTCCACTGGAGTTTTCCTTGTCTGGGTGACATTCTTTGATGAGGTTGGCTACAGTAGACTTACATAAACCAGTTCTAGAGGCTATTTGACAAGTAGAGAGGCCAGTAGTAGACAGAGAAAGGATATTATCCCTTTGAGCAGAGGAGATGGTTTTCATGGTGATTATGACTATGATATATGGGACACACTTCATTATATACTTAGAGATAGGTTTAATAATGTCATAATGACACCACTTCATAATTTATTTAATAGTGGCATGACTTTATGGTGTCATAACTAATGATTTATATAATTTTAATCTAGGGTCAAAAAACTGTTCACATGAGTCATCATTTTGTAAGGCTTATAGTGCCACCACATTACCATAAATTCCCACGGGCAAGGGCTCAAATTCATGCACCAAAGGAGTACTACAGAGTACCCCACTGGCATATCCCCGGTCTACCTGTCCATTCATATACAATAATGTAAATAGTGAAAATAGCACAAACATGTGGACAGTTTTTTGAGCCACTGTATGTCAATGAATATAATTAATGCACTTCCCCAAGGTCACACTATCTGCAAATTATGCCTCATAATGTGCCCAATCCATTGTTGAGGTTCTTGTATCGCTTGGCAAGATCAGTACCTTTGTTATGTGCAGTGTCTGAACATTGGCCCCTGTGATCCTGCCACTGGGATGCATGTGTTGAAGTGTGCCAAGTATGTAGACAGTACCCCTATAGGTAGTATCATTCCTCTTCGCCAACTCTGTGCATTTATTAGTATCATCCCTCATCTGGGGGATGTGGTGGATGTACGATTGACTTTGGCTATGTCTATGCATTACTGCTAGGATTTTCGCTTGAACAAATATTTTGATAAGGACTTTTATTATGCACTTCACTATACTACTACCCCAGATAGCTAGATATCAAATTTTTGGATACCAATGCTACTAGTGTGTGTACTGTTTTAAATGCACTGCCAATTTTAATATTATCAAATCAATGAATTTCTATGTAGCTTACTGAAAGAACAAGAGTGCCACGCTGCCAGTGACAACAGGACAACAAATAGCACCTCCCATGTCAACATCTTTCACCAACTATCTTCTAGTGGCTGTCAGTACTGTCACCATCCATCCCATACATTGCACAAAGGATGAAATGGATATACTCATGAAGAGTGAGTTGGGCCTGCAAGACAAAGATCCCTGGGTTCTGTGGGAGGAGGACCTCTAGCCTAAGACCTCCATCCTTATAAGCCTTGTCCCTCATTCAAATCTCAACAAATTGGAAATCAAGAGGATCACTTACATCAAACAAGTACCAGGAAGCCACACTTAAATACATGGGGCTCCTGTTTTTGATAAGGAATGGCGGCTCAAGGATGCTTTTCAGAGGAAATGCAAGGTGCCAGCTAGGCATACTTGGCTGCAGGATCAGACTGAGTCACAGACAGATACCGACATAGAAGGAGATTCAATGCTAGAGACAGAGGGTAGCTTGGGGCAGCAGGCTTTCATCAAGGCTGGAATGAAAAGAGCAAAGCCTGTAGGAGAAACAGAGGAAAAGAATTGGGAGTGTCTTTTCTGGGCTGTATACTATCACATGCATGAGCTGCTCAAGGAGCAAATCCCAGAGCACAATGCTGATGGATTGCAGCCCTCATCATCATAGCGCTCGCACATTTTGCCCTTCACAGAAATGGCAGCTCTCCAGTACTGGTCTTCAGAATTTGCTACCAATCCCATGCCAGACACTACCAATTTGTGGAAGCCTGATCTTGTCCTCCTGGATTACAGGCTCAGAAAGTTCAGTTTATTGGAAAAGTCCTGGAAAAACATCCTCACAGGAGTTGAGATCACCCAATCTGACCTCTCTGTTGATTGCAAATACCTTTGTTCTTGGGGGTTGCTACCAAGGGTTATCTGATGATGCGGGAGCAACTGTGGTGTTGTTTTATCCTACTTTTGGTATCTCTAAGTTCAAACTCTGTGCTCATTATATGGATTGTTCTGGCATGGTGATCTCAAAACCACTCCCGATCGTTACATCCCCTGTATGTTTTGTTGACGTGTTAAATACCATCACTTTAGCAAATCGCCCTTCCCTTGGCTTTGATCCAACAATCCATATCTGCAACTCTTGCAACACCATTCCAAATCAAGCTAATTTACCGAACAGCTTTGATGTCATGCTTCCTGGGGCGATAGGTTGGGTTTATGACAATGATGAGAATGTGTACTTGATCATAGATATTCTATGGAAAAGCTGTGGACTTTTCAAGTGGGGAACCGTCTGCTATCATGTTCAAGACAAGTTTAATCAGGAGTATGCACTGAAGGATTGTTGGGTCGATGAGGATGTCAAAGACATTGAGATACGGCTTCTCAAAGCGGTCAAATGCATCCCAAATGTGGTTCAACTTAGGAAATATTGGGATGTGCTGTATGATGGGCAGCCCAACTCCACACCACATATTTGTAGTCATTGCTTGACATTCAAATTTGAGAAAAAAATCCATTGGTGTACTCTCTTGACACCCTGCAGGCTCCCATTGACACACTTCAACAATGTACCTGAGTTAATTGGGGTTTTTCGTGACCTTGTTGTTGGTGAGTTCCTTTCACAATCACCTGAAGTCCTCTGTAATCACCATGAGTTGTAGCCCACAAGGCAATGGTGGGCTGATGTGTCCTTCATGGAGACCTCAGCCCCAACAATGTTATTATTTACAGAGGAAAAGGCTATTTTATAGACTTTGACCATGCAAAGTTTCTCAATGATGATGAAAAAGCGGACGCAAGTCCACATGGTACTGTGCATTATAATGTCACAATTATTTCTGCTTGCATTAACCTCATGGTTTATAGGGAACTGTACCATACATATCCTTTTGCATTCTCTGCCTAATGGGAGATGGCCTTTTGGTCGAACATATGCCCTGCAATGATCTTGAGTTGCTCTTTTACATCCTGCTCAAATTCACTGTGATGTATCTAGGACCGAAAGGTGCACTGACCCCCCAACCTAGCGAAGAAGCTTTGTGACGGGACACCATTCAGAGGTGGGGGCTCACCTATGAGAGCATGACCCGTGATGGTCTTGTGACCAGCAGTATGTGGAAGCGGGAATTCATCCATGGTCTGGCTGACCCACCATTAATCACCCTGTACTTTATCCTCTGCTGCCCCCTCCTTGAAGAGTGGCATTGTGCAATCTCTCTTGCAAGCACTCAGTCAATTACCCTGTCTCACGATAAAATCTGCAATATTCTAATGCGGGGCTTAAGTATGATCAGTCAGCAACTTGCCCAGATACCTCCTCCTGCACCTCCATCTGTGCTGGAACCAACCCTGCATCTACATCACAGCAGGTTGCAACCATCACCATATCACAGACAGTACCTCCTATACCACCATCTGTGCCCACCAGCATGCCAACTGTCGCCCAGTCACTTCCTGATCTTCCCTTAGCTGTTTGTCGGGCTCGTCGTTCAAAGCCAGCACCTGTCAAACACTAGTTGGCTGGTTTGGTTTTTCTCTCATTGTATACATATATGTAGAGTATGCCCTGTGACACACACTCACTACATCCGATATCTCATGTTTATTCTTCACTTAACACCCCACAAATGTGAGCTCTACCTACATGTAGTGCTTTGTATAATGTACACTTCCCAGCTTACATAAGTCCCTGTGGTTATATTTTGGGATGTTGTCCAACCTCAAACTTTGTCAAGTTCTATCCATACATCCAAAGAAGAAAGCCAGGCACACTTCTCCCAGATGGTCCTTGAGTCCCCACAATTCAAGGATGAGGAAGGTCACCAATACAGCACATGAAGACACTGATGGTTCTCGACGGCCTCATATTGTGATGAAGATGGCAATACTCACATGGATCTCAACCAGGGGAATTTTGACAGCCAAGTCTTGGATGACAATCCTACTCATCATGAAGCCACAGACACTTTTGATGTCCTTGAATGCCATCAAACGAAAAATGGACAATGCAAAGCTCCCTCCCCGACTCATTTAGCACACATCCATGTAAGTTTTCATTTTACTTATTATGCACAATTACTGATCTGTCCCCCAGTCTTCTCATGAACACAGGTCTACCCATCCACGTGAGACTGGCTCAAAGTCTCATCAGCATTCACCCAGTCATGTAAGTTCTTGTGACTTCAGGTCTGTTGTTTTTCATTTATTGTATTAGGGATCTCGTCGCCCCTTCCTCGAACAAGCATACACTTCTTCCTCTTCCATGCACTTGACCCATGGACACGCACCTCACAGAGCACCATCTGAAAAAATCACATCAACCCACATGCAGCCAGATAGACTACCTGCACACCTCTCTGTTACTCATTCAAAGTCCCCTCAACACTTACCTTGTTCTTCCTTCTTCCGCAAACTGTCTCCTTGTCCGTGCTCTCCAACTCAGTCTATAGTTTCTTTCAGTCACAAACTGCCCTCCTCTCGTGGACAGTCTTTGGCACAGTCTCTGCCCAGGCATTCTGCTCAGCCAGATCAGACACCTTCTCCTGCTCCTAGTTCAAACCGATCTCACTCTCGTAGGGCCACACCTGTTCAATGCAGCAAATCCGGAGATGGTGCATGGTGTACCATCCAACAAGGTAATCCCTCAAAGCTCAGCTTCTATTCAGCATCTTGGCAAGCTTTCCTGCAGGAAGTGAAGTTGGGAATGTGGTTGCAGGGAGTTTTATTGCATCCTCTTCCAGCTCATCAGGATGCGGTATCACTGGTACAAGAAGTTTTGGATACCATATTATGGACATACCACATTAAAAAGCTGAAGCTTGACAATGGTAACTTGCCCTGCACCATCAGAAGTCGCTCCAATTTGATGTCCTTGTGAAGGTTATTTCCCAGAGTATAAAATGCCGATGCCACAACTGGTAAGTACTGAGCTTAAATACAAACTTCACTAATGAACCAACAGCTCTGTGATGACCTGTTCACCTTTTGTATGGAGCTCAAAAAAATTGTGATATTTATTGCGAAGCAATTATACGGTATATTCTTAAAGGGCAACTCAATGCACAAGGAGCATGTCAGGGAAGCAGCAGCTAAGCTCCTGAAGACCAGTGAATATCTTCGGCTCCCTGACTCTTCTGAGGTCAGTGACAACATCATGGCGTGCGACATTCATTATTGACATTTGCAGGGAAAATATACCAATTTTGTGTCACAAGTCCTCAAGGAAGCCTACCTCAGTTTTTACTATGGCAATGGTAAAAAAGCACTCAAACTAACTGATGAATTTCAACGCAAAATTTTTGTCAACAGCCTTATTCTGGTGGCCATGGTCATAGGCTTTGGTTTTATTAATTTTTATATTCATTGCTGATCAATGCTTAACAGATGAAGGGTGTTCTCTCCAGCTTCCACAACAGTGGTACTGACAAGGTGCCTGACCTTACCACTGACATGTGCAGGGCTGACTTCAACACACTGCAAAAGTCTATCAACAAGTTGATGGTCATTCCCAAGTGGCATGTTGAGCTTGAAGAGATGCTGAGGGAATAGGCCAAGGAGGGGATGATAGGTGGACTTCGCAATGACTTGGACAACGCAGCGGTGTGGGGAATTCCCCCACTGTAGATGTAAAACCCCATCCTTTCTGCATCGTCTCACATCAGTTCTGCATATTCCGCACATTCCGCATTTCCTGTGCATTGTCCAGTGGGTTCCGCATTCCCACGCATCCTTTGGAACCCGCCCGCACCATCCAATATTCCCACACATCGTCGGACAACCTTCACATGTCCTGTCCCCATCCTTCCAGGTCCATTGGTACGCTGTACCTCTCTTCCTGTTGCTTCTAACATTATCCAGATCACACTGACACATGCCCTTATGGCACGAACCCCTATTCTGGAGTATTGCGCCCATGTGCACTGCCTGCCTTCACTTCCACTTCCTGAGAAGTTTACTACCTGTACCTCAGTGTTCCTTGAAAATAATCTTCCCTTTAAGTAGTGGTACTCAGGGCTTGGGTGTTTTTTGTTGAATCCCATCTTTTACCTTCCCACTTTTCCTTCACCTTACTAGAGGACTGCTTTGACTTATGCCCACTATCAATCTAACCTTGTGATATACTTCCCTCGACTTGACCTGCGAGTTCCAATGAATCAGGACGTTCCATGCTTTATCCGTTCAAGTTCTGTTTCATTCTGTTCCATTCCACTTGAGTTCCGCTTGTTCCGCTTGAGTTCTGCTAGTTCCACATTTTTGCGGATCCTCATCCTACCTGCGGTAGGGTTGATTAGGGTTTTTTAGACAGAGACTAGTACTCCCCAGTAGCAATCCCCTTTAGGGTTGAACGTGCTTGTTCCCAAGTGAGGCAGCAGGCAGCAAAGACCCAACTTTGTAGTAGATCAATTTCTCGCTGCTGCACTTGTTGTACCTACAGTGGGCAGCAAGGATATCAATATCATCATTTAGTAGATTTTTTGAGCCATTACAATGTCATTTGCACAGCATGTTTGATCTGTCTACAATAATCTGGTCTGCCTGCAATGTCAAGTTTGTCTACATTGTCCAGTGTGTCCAGTCTGTCAATATTGTGCCTTTCTGTATGGATTGTAAGGCTTTGTGACAGGATTGTAAAGAAGGGACTTAGCTGTGGGATTGTACTGTTTGTACAAATCTGTACAAATCTGTACAAGGTTCCCCTAGTTTGCTGATGAGTTTTTCTCCTTGCATCTCATGGCTTCTGGCAAGAAGAAGACTCAAAGCAGCAGTCAAGGCTGGTGGTGGGCAGAATTTACAGAACATCCTGGCTACGAGAGTTCTGAACCAGCATCAATGGTGCAGCAGAAGGCAAAGGTAATTTGCACCAGACTACTTGAGCACCATGTTGCAGCAGAACAGCTTTGTGATCAAAGTGAGATACAGTTTGGATTGTGGGATCATGTACAAGATGAGCATGCAATTAAGGGAGCAGGTATTAACTTCCTCTCACAAATTTTACTATTGTCATTTGCTAACACTTACTACATCAGGAAAAACTATATCTCTATATAGAGGACCATCCTCTATATAGCCCCGATAGCACACCACAGCTCTATACAGTCTATGGCAAGCTATCACAGCACTATAGACCAGTATAGACATCATGAAAGTCTATATATTACCATAAAGTTTGGTAAGTGTATTTAGAAGTAAAACATTTCAACAACTATAGACCCCAGTAGACCATGGGAACTTTTTTCGATGAAAACCAAAGTTGTAGTCCTTGTCTAGGGAAGTCTATCCATAGTCTTATGACTTCAATAGGTTAAGATCCTAGTGAGTTATAAGGAAAATACTCGAAATTGAAGGGTTCAAGAAAGCAACTTGACCATGGGAACTTTTTTCGATTAAATCAAAGTTGTAGTCCTTGTCAAGGGAAGTCTATCCATAGTCTAATGACTTCAATAGGTCAAGATCTTAGTGAGTTATAAGAAAAATACTTGGAATTGAAGGGTTCAAAAGTGTTAAGGTACACCTTATTTATGTAAGCAAAAACGCGAAAATTCACCTTATGTGTATTCAAAATCCTAATGCTAACAGTCAATTTCATTGTCTTTTTCTTACTGTCATAATCCTAGTCCTATTAACCAAAAACTCGAAAATTCACCAAGTCTTGTGTTGTGGCTTTGTTTGGCACTGCTTATGTAAGCAAAAATGCGGTCAACCAACAAGTCTTTTCCCATTCTTTCCTTCCCCCCCACTGCCCCCTCATTAGATTATCTTCCATATTTCTCTTACAATTTTCGAGTTTTTGCCTCTCTTCTCTTCTTCTTGCTTCTCTATCCTTCTCTTGGTGTTGATGTTGTTGGTGCTGGTACTGGTGCTGGTGCTTTGAACTCTGGTAAGTCTCCCTCCATAATTTTCGCATTTTTGACTATTTGACTAATCTTTTTTCTAACCCTCTCCTTCTAGCTCTCTTCCCTCCTGCTCCTCCTCCCCCCAACTATTTTCGCATTTTTGACCATTTGGCAAGTCTTTTCTCTGACTCTCACTTCCTCCTGTCTAATCCTCTCCTTCTAGCTCCCTTCCCTCCTCTTCCCTCAAGAATTTTCGCAATTTTCACTATTTGGTAAGTTCTTTCCTCTCTGATTCTTCCTTCTAGTTCTCTTGCCTCTTCCTCCTGTAATTTTCGCATTTTTGCCTGTTTTGTAGTTATTAGTTTACATGTATTGTAGCAGTTGAAATATAATTTGGAATTTTCGCTTTTTTTAATTTTTAATTTTGAGAACACTATCATGGCAACAAACAGCTATTAAGAGAAATTTTTGCTTTGTGTTTTGAGCTATAATAGCTACAATAGTTGTGGTATGTTCCACCCAGCTATAGCAACTTTAATAGAGCTATATAGCACTATACACTGGTGTAGTAAGCCTGCACAATTGGGCACTTGGCTATACGAGCTATAGGGCTATGGAGTCTGTATAGCAGTCTATAGCGCTATGGGTGGCTATATAGCCTTACCACATTTTCCTGATGTATTGTAGTATGAGCTACTGGCCAGCAGGATTCACAATGGATCTGGCTCATCAGCCATCCTAAAACCCTTCTGACCCATATTCAGGACTGTGGCCTACATACAGAGAGTGTTTGGTTGCAGGCATGAGGTGATCTTGCAGCACATCAACCAGCAGCAGTACTATCTGTGCCTCAGTTGTATCATGATTCTTCTCAGATTGCAGGGCCCTCCTCAGCCATGCATTCAACACCATCTTATCTTCCTTCTTCGGCATCGGCATCACCAGCTCTCAGTCTCTTTATTCCTTTGGTGTCTGCCAGTGGCTCTTCAAGCTTGTTATCTTTACCAAACCCACTGGCATTCGACTCTCATGCACCAAGTCCTTCAATGTCTGATGTTGCCCTCCTTCCACTTCAAGTTCCCTTAAAGCGCCAATGTCTGAATTCAGGTGTATATACTCTATTTTGCAGCCTGTCACTCCACACATCGGAGCTCACTGGCTAACCAGCCAAACTTGGACTGAGGCTGACTAGGCAGATTGGGAAGCAGGGATAGCACGTGTAACTGCAAGTACAGGATTGCTGCTACAATGGGTCGAAAATACAGAGTGGTTGAAGCTCTGTGATAGGTTTATTCCTCATGCAAAAGTTTCGTCGGCAAAGGTCCTTACAAAACATGTCATACCACAAGTCCTGCATGATATCAAAGGGAGCGCAAAAGAAGAATGTCATGGTGCAGTAGGAACACTTCAATGCGACAGATGGACTGGTGAGAATAGCCATCATTTGTTTGGTTTTATGATGACCATAAAATGAAAGATAAGTATCATGTACATTGTTCTATGACCTTTCCTGAAACATTACTAGCTGTATCCTGTCTGTGCTCATGATGCATTGGGTGATCCACACCATGCTAAAGAGCTCCTCAAGCAGATGATCAAATCAATAAATCAAGTCGAGTGCGAGTGGGGAGTGACTATTATTGCATGCACTACTGATGCATCCAGAGAGTCTTGTAAGGCTTGACAACTCCTTTGTGCAAGATTTCTGCACTTGGTAACACCTGACTGTTTAGCTCATCAGGTAGATTATTGATGCAATAATACTAGTATATGAGTTAGCTCCACCTTTTTTACAGTTCAACCTTATCATGGGGGACCTCTTCAAAGCCAAGGATGACTATGGGCAGTATGGTGACCTCACACAGGAATTAATCACATGGCTTCATAGCAAAACTCATGTTCTCACTCTCCTTTGTGAGCTGCAAATGTCAACCATTGGAAAGACATTAGCCATCATTTGTGCTGTTCTCACTCAATGGTTGTCACATTATTTAGCATATGTGCAACTTTTGGATGTTCGGCCAACACTAGAGCTGTTGATAACAAAGCACAAGGCAGATATATGATCCACAGGGGATGCTTGGTCATAAGCAAAGACCTCAGCTGCAATTGCCATAATCAAAAACCCAATGTTCTGGCATGTGATGGCTAGGTGAGGATATCTTTGTTCGTGATATAGTGCAATTTTAGCTGATATTGCACTACCGTGAGATGGAAAAACCTTTTGGAACCAATTGCCCTGATGACAAACATTCATCAAGCTTCCCACTCCAAACCTGAGCATATTCCCATCTCGTTTGGGTTTCTCTACTACCACTACCCAAGGATTGGTGATGACACTGACCTTGTGGCTCGAAACGCAGTCCTTGAGAGTGTGGAGTGCCGCTGGAGTCAAGTTGATCAAGAAGTCTTCATTGCTGCTGTTATTGTCAATCTGCTCTACAAAGACAAACCATTCAGCAACATTCCTCTGATGACCTGTGCTGGGCTAATGTCCCTCTTCAGCCACCTCTGGAAATATTTTTATGACAGGACAGCACCACCTGAGCTTTTCACAGATCTTGATAACTATCTGAAAAGTTTGTCTGAATTCCAGCCACTTGACATATATACACAGATCTCAGTATCCCATGCAAATGATCAGGTAATGCAACTACTAGAGCCAAGAATTATATTCCAAGTCTGACCAATCTCTGCTAATAGGGCACACCAGTTGATCCTCTTGATATTTAGAATAAATTTTCACACCACAACTCTGAAATCAAGCCCCTCCAGAAAATTGCTCAACAGATTCTCTCCATCTATCCAAATTCTGCCTCATGTGAGCATCTTTTCAGTATTTTTGGTGCAATCCTCACAAAATGGCAGAATTGGCTTTCTACTCAAAATCTCATGCTGCTTGCAGAGCTGAAGATGCACCTCCATGAGGAACACATTCATACAGGGGCTGTCAGGAAGTGCCTGAAATGGTGTTACTGCGAGAACCCAACAATTGAGATCAACCAGTCAGCAGAGTCATCTTGTGTGACTGCAGAGGCCGACACAGATGCCTTTGGCAGTGAACCCCAACAGATGTGTAGTAGTGGGACTCACAAGCACTGAGGGCTGTGGCAAATTGCTGCACACCTTATACAAGCTGTCAAGGATGAGGAGACTTTGACAACCTCTGAGATTATGGAGGTGGCTGCTAATTCTTCTGACTTCCGGTGCATCCCTATCAAAGATCTCTTCAATTTCTCTTGTGCTCAAGACTGGTTGGGATCTTTCTATCAGACAGCCATCTGAGGCTTAGATACTGAGATTGAGTTATATGAGCTGTTGGATTTAGATGCCGAGGGTATTGATGACCCAGAATTTCCTCAGGCAGATGAGATTTTGGATGAGTAAAAGTTTGCTGTTGCAGGCCTTAGCCAATCAGATGTGATTATATAATATTTTCCCTTGGACTCCTGGTACCATAGCTGTTCACATTCACCCGTAGACATAGAGACATTCACCGGGAACGTTCACCAACATTTGTAAATGTTCAACGACCAGCCAAACACTGCATAAGACAAGCAGGCTATACAGTGGCTCAAAAAAGTGTCTCAATGTTTGCACATTTTCATATAATTGCATCATTGTGAGCCAGGGTGTAGGAATATAATAGGGCTATAGGGACATGTCTGAATCCCTCATATCCAGGATTGAATCCGAGATATGCAGTGTGGGAAAGTGATGTCATGGAGCAGAGATATGGCTATTTTAGTTTAGTGACTCATTGAGACACTTATTTGACTTTATATCAAAATCATGGAATTAGACCACCTACACATGATGTGATCAATGACACATGTCTTAGAATATCATATGGGATGTGAAAGTATAAAAATAATAAAAATAAAGCCAAAAAAGGTTGATTTTTGGCTTTATTTTTATTATTTTTATACTTTCACATCCCATATGATATTCTAAGACATGTGTCATTGATCACATCATGTGTAGGTGGTCTAATTCCATGATTTTGATATAAAGTCAAATAAGTGTCTCAATGAGTCACTAAACTAAAATAGCCATATCTCTGCTCCATGACATCACTTTCCCACACTGCATATCTCGGATTCAATCCTGGATATGAGGGATTCAGACATGTCCCTATAGCCCTATTATATTCCTACACCCTGGCTCACAATGATGCAATTATATGAAAATGTGCAAACATTGAGACACTTTTTTGAGCCACTGTATGTCATTCTGATGCATCAAAGTAGGCTAACTAGTAGTGTTTTGTCATGCATTAATCAACATTGCTAGCTAGCCATTTTCTCCATTAGGGAATGTGATGCATTACTTTATCACACATTTACTTTGCTTATCACTCAGTTAGTTGTGAATGGATCTTTCTACAAATTCAGAGGTGGTATCATGAGTATATGTCCAACATATAGCAAGTGTCTGACTACACAGATGCATCCTCGTGAGACCCTAGAAGTAAATATGGCTGACATATCCCTGATATCAGTACTCTGATCTATTTCTTCCTGATCCTGACCAAGGGAGGACTTTATATATGTACTAGAAGTGAAATATAAACAGTTTGGATAGTTTGTGCAATGATAATGTAGTGAAAAACCTCACAAATGCAAAAGTGTGCAGCAGTATAGCCAGGAGGAGATATTTCATTGTAGAGAAGGATTATGTTGCTATTATAATGCAGCCATGCAATTTAAATACTAGATATCAATAGGAACAGGTCCCCTACCATCCTGGAGGGCCGGAGCCACGGTAAAAAACTTTCCCAGGGGGTGAACTACCAGGAGAGGGTAAGCACATAGCACCACAGGGACCAATCCTGTTGACATAGGCTCTTGACATTTGTTTATATTATTCAAGGGATGCTGGGGATCATATTTCCAAGTCTATGTACCTAAAGCCCAAAAAATGCGTAGCTATTTTCTATTTTATGCTAGTACAGCACAGCAGGTGATATAGGGTGCTCTAGGGGGCAAATAAGGGCTGGGATCAGTTCATATATTTTCATAGACATATGATAAACACTCTAGAGCACCACCATACAAAAGGGGCAAAAATGTGTAACTGTTTTTGATATGTTTTCTATTATGTCACACTTGCAGAGGCTCTGTACCAAGTATGTGTGCAAAAATAGACAGAAAAAGCGGTCTATTATGTTCTATTATGTGTATATAGCCTATAAAACTACTCAAATGCAGCCTGTATCTAATAATGGTGTGGTGGTGTGCCAGGGATGGACTGGGGAGGGTGTGGGAAAGGTTGATATTATGGAGAATGACCAAAATGGGCTATGTTTTGGGTGTTGTGGGGAAGTTCTCACAGTAGTTGGCTAAAAATGCGAATGTGGCTCTGTGGCTGACAGTACAGCCTAATCCGTCAGCCGGCATATTCTGATGCATCACTACCTATGCTAACTAGCATAGTTGATGTATTAGCTTTGTCCCCTAACTAGCAGATATGATGCATCAATCCTACAGGGACTGGTGAGACAAGGGTCGAGGCGAACACGTGTCGTTATCTTTTGGGTTTTGATACAGGTGTCCATTGCCAGACTCCAGAGTGCATCTATGATCCTCGCAACAAGTGTTCCAAATTCAGGTTAATGGTATCGAGGGCGATGACAGACGAGTCCGGAGCTAAGTCAAAACAATCGGAATACATGATACTAGTCCTCCGAGTCCTCATCAGAATCAGGATATTGGTTCCAGGTGCAAGTGTAGCTGTCACGCTTCGACGACTCTGTTGACTCTTCATGCCCATCCCAATCAACATCTGCAACCACTTCCTCCAGGAGTTGCACCTGCTTGGCCATCAAGTTCATGCACATCGCGAATCGGAGTCTGCGTATACAGGCACCGTGTTTAGCCCGCATTGTGATGATGTCCCAAAGTTTTTCAGGTTCCTCAAATTCGAAGTCAATATTCTCGAGCTCTATGGCATGGAGCGAGGGATACATTATATCTGAGGTCTGTGCACCTTCAATGCAAAGCGTAGCAATTAAACCTCCAACCGAGGGCCCGGTCAGATGAATAACTTTGAGCTCCGGGAGGTTAACGGACCCAGCGCGCCAGAAATTTTCTGGGAGATCACTGGTAAGGAGCGATGAGACAAACAAGTTTTGGATTTTGTGCTGCGCGATGATCCGACTTGCGTCAAATACAACGCCTGGCTGTAACTCTCCAGATTCGAATTGGATCGAGAGTCGTATATCATCGTCATATATATTGTCGTCACGAGGGTTCCAGGAATGATTAGATCTAAACGTCGTTGATGTGCTGAATTGGATACCCAATTCACCGTATAAAACGCTGGTGCGCAGAGACCGAATGATGGAACCAAATTCGTTAGGATCTTTATCCATGGCCGAAAGTAGTTCGGAAAAGCTTTGAGGACCTTGGACGGTTCCTGCGAGGTTTAGAGCGACGGTGACATCAATGGGAAGGGCCAGATGTGCGAAGAGAGTTACGACGGATGTGAGGGGAAGGATGTAATCTAGCGCTATATGTTTCAACTGAGAGAGTGGGAATTTGCCTAAGAGCTGGGTTTCCTCGGGAAATATCAGCAGTCGCCGGAGCGAAAGCTGCTCCAAGTCAGGCATACGTCTCAGAGCTGATAGGAGCTCTGAGGAAGTAAAGACAAAGCCTGTGTCTCTCACATCGAGTGTCCGAAGCCCGCTGAAAATACAAGATGTCCAGTTGAAAGGACAATACACAAGCTCGACGCTCCGAAGTCGGGGTACTCGTCCTTGGAAGATTGTGTCTGATATGGGCCAGGGCTTCGCTGAGTGATGGAGCCCCGCGCAGTGCGAGAGTCTGAATGTTTGAAGCAATGGTGCGGGCTGCGATGATAAACAGTCCAGAACGACATCGACCTCCGAATATGAAAATAAGCACAACTGGAGGACTTTGATTCGGGGTAACTGTGAAAGCACTTGCTCCAAACAAGGTTGTAAGGCCTGTGCACTGTATGTGACAACCAAAGCATCATTTTTCGACCTCTCGAGCATCATTGGTAGCCACCGAGCAGAGGCACAATTGATAGATGCCCAAAGAGCTGGGAAGTCGAGGGCGACTTGGCGCCAGTGCCTGCAGACGTGTGTGACTATCAGACACGCAGGCGCACAATAACGGGGAGTGTTCTCAGGAGTGTGCCCGGGATAACTCTTGAGAACCTCCTCGTCTGCGATGTATTTGAAGACAGTCGCGAGAATCTCGGGTGGAAGGCAAGATATACGGGCGAGATCATTCCTGCGAGAGCGAAGGACGCGCACAGACTCGAGTAATGCAGCCGTGTCTTTGTCGATTTGTGTGCGACACTGCTCCACGAGGGCGCTTGCGCTTCTAGAGGTGACACCCAGGTGAACAGAAAGCGTCGTCATGGAGAACCTGTGGAGTGGAGTACTAGTCAGTCGAATCCAGATGGAATATAGCACTCAGAAGAATTACCTCTCGTCGTCCAAGAGGTTGAACGCAGATTCCGAACACTGACGCGCCACCTAAGTACTACGTATCAAGCTAGTTTCCCTGCGTCCTTCAAATTGTTCAATTGGAATGGGCGGGCTTCAGCGTGTTGAATGTTCTTGGTCGATGGTAAGTCGACGGTATAATTTTCAGAATCAAAGGAGATAATCAGGAAGTTCCCACACTGCACTTTGTAAGTAATGCATCGAGAATTTTCAATGTGTCTCCAAAGTCCCCCTAGGTGATGGTCCCAAGCAGACAAGCAAGCATCGCAGTGCGCAAGTCGATTAATATGGACATGAGATACATACACGGTGGGACCAGCCCAGCGACACATCATGATGTCCATTAAACCTCAACCCCCAACGTTGAGAACTGGGCTTCATCAAACTGCATCTCAGATACTTCTGAATCCGATAGTATTGTATGATTTCGCGAGCGTCCTTCACTTTCTCGTAGGTTGAAAAGGATCCGAGATGCGAGGACGCTGTGGATGACGATCTGTGGACTAGAAATGTGTACGTGATCAGTTGGTAATGTGGTCGTTCAAGTTGATGTACTTACGAGTCTGTGATAGAAACCCATGTAATCTGTGCTCAACGATGAGTGCATGGAAGTTAAGTAGCAGGC